GATAAACCTCTTCACGGCACACTAGGTTCTTATGAGAGAACTGTACGCTGTATCACATTCTCAGGTGACAGCCGGATCTTCGCCTGTGGTGACCTCGCTGGGTATGTGGACGTTTGGTCCCTTGATCGCAGGAATGATGACCCTGCCACAATCCAAGAAACTGAGGATGCAAATGCGGATTCTTCAGACGAGGATTCGGATTCAGACGACGAGGACAGCTTACCATCTGGGGTGTGGTGGAAACACACGCCTTCTGAAGCTATTCTTCCTCGCCTGAACTCCAGCGTTCTGCTGATGACCTTCCGCCCTACCCTCGAAGCATCTAACATATCGAAGAGTAAACGGACATCTACCATGCCAGTTCCCCATGAATCCGAACTCTGTGCGTCGGACGACAGGTTAATGATATTAACTTCCGAGCATCATTTAACTGAATTTAACGCGCTTAAAGGAAAGCTTTCCGACTGGGCAAGAAGAAACCCGAAGGCGTGTATGCCCTCGGAATTTACCATTATTAAAGATAGAGCCATGGGCGCCATTTGGGACATTGCAGGAGGTCGAGATCGCCTCTGGCTGTATGGTCCAGCTTGGCTCTGGATGTTTGATTTATTGCAAGACTATCCAGAGCCACAGCATGCCAGTACCTCGGGGCATCCATCTCCTCACAAGAGAAAACGTCAAGACCATGAAGAACATAGCACCGAAGGGGAGAGGAAGAAAAAGAAGACAAATACTGGTGCAGGAGACAGAGTGGCGCTTGCAGATACTGAAGTCGGTTTTGGACCGGCGATTAAGAAAGGCGTGGGAGCAAATGGGACGAATGCCGAATTGGTACCCATTGAGAGCCAAAAGAATGACAACTCGCTGCCTGATGATGAGGATGATGATGATGATGGTGACATCGATGAGCTTGCTCTCGCTAACGAAGCGACACTCGCTTCACTGCGCAGACAGCAGTTCCCTGGAGTTAACGGACAGGCTATAAATGGTAAGAGTGTCCTTTCCGGGCCAGAATATCGCCGTTCCTATGCTGATAACGAGCCTGTTCTAGGGAACCATCTATCAAATGGATCAGGGCATGGGAATCAGGTAGCGAAGCTATCCACGCCAGAGCCAGAATCAGACCACAATGCAGAATCACGCCCTCGCCAGTGGTGGTCTATCTTCAAATATCGAGACATCCTAGGAATTGTGCCTTTAAGCCACAATTCTCAATCCACAGTGGAGAGTGCAGATCTATCAGAAGCAGAAGACGCGAAATCGGTGCCTCTGGAAGTCGTGGTGATAGAGAGACCGATATGGGACGTTGACCTGCCGGGCAGATATATACGAGACTACGAATAAATAAATAAATAGATATTGTGTAGTTACTGGAATAAAACCTTGAGCATTTCATCGGCAAACGCCTCGCCTTTCTGACTATCAAATCACCAACAACAAACTGACTTAACTAGCGCCAAGCTGAGGCACAACCGCTGCAGGAGGCGCATTAGAACCTCGCCCATGCACCGCTTGCATGAATCTGTTTCAGACGCAGTGCAGCATGGTAGTTAGTTATTGGGCTATGATGCAAGTATTGCTTCTGCCTGGATGACTACGCCGTCTACGTCAGGCGGCAGCATTAACTACGGTGCAGCGGACAGAAGCATCAACATCGCCTTATAAACAATCTTCCCCTCTATCGTCTAGATTTCATCTTCTAACGTTCCGTTGTTTATCGTTTTCGCCATTTAATCATATCTTCGACTAGTTAACTAGTTATCAAATTGTGGCAATGTCTTCTTCTGGGGCGCCGTACTGTATCATCTGCGGCGCATTAATCCATAACCGCACCCGCCGCAATGAATGGCCCGGTCAATACAGAGCCGGTAAGCATGTCTGTTTTCATCATTATATCAACAGTTATGGGACAAATCCTGCTCACACTATTCGATTAGTCCGAGCTGCTTCATTGAATGAAGAGCCATTCCTGACAGGCGTGGCGAGGTTTGTACATGGCGAAAGACTGCTACGTGCGCCATCAAACCCCTACGAACGATATGAAAACGACAGGTACACCAATGAGACCAAGTCGGACGAATTTCCGTCGCAGGGGAGAACCTCTGAAGATCATCCATTACCTGGCTTCGTATTCCACGATGCCTGCTGGGGGATCCTAAAGGCGCTCGTTCATCCCCAAGAGATCTCTATACCCCGGCTATATGACCTCTGTCTATCATTTCCTTCACAGGAGTTCGGTCTTCTTACCTGGGGCCACGGGTATGAGAGCAGTGTCTCTGATGCTGAAATAGTAACACAGTACCGGTCAACGTACCAGCAATCCTTCTTTCTTCGGGATCCCTTTGATATCCCGGAGTTACAGGAGGCACTTGACGAAGCAGAAAAAGAGAGATCCAACGAAAGCACTGCTGTACGCAATATTATCACCGAGAGGGCTGACTGTGACAAGTTCTACTCTCTACCATTTGAAATTAGGGAAGATATCCAATGTATGCTCAGCCTGCGTGATGTATTCAATTTACGGATAGCTTCAAGGTCATTTGGTAGCATGCCACTATCCCAGCATTTCTGGCGGTCCCGATTCCTACCATCTTTTGAAAGGGGGTTCATCTTTGAAGCCCTACGTCCTCAGTTGGATCAATCAACATCCGGCGCGACTATTCATTACAACTGGAAGGCTCTGTATGAGAAAACAAACCCGAACTTAAAGCATTTCGAAGCTATACGGAACCGAAAGAGAATATGGGAATGCAACAAGTCCCTTGCAGCATTGCTTATTTCACAGCCTCCGTTGGAAGATGGCGGTGCATATTCCATGGAAGAACATAACCATGTCCTCTGGCGGACAGCAGCAGCCAAACCACTAGAACCTCCCCGAACGCAGCCTGGTAGGGGGCGGTTTCCTGGCTCTGCTCCACTCCCTCCTCCCAGCATTGTCAAGGAACATGCAATTCGTGTCCCTATGCAGGTATCGCATGTTGGCATGTCCCTTGTTTGTTTCGGAGGGAATACATATGTTTCCGGCATACGCATCAGCACACCAGACGAAAAGGAAGTTCGGCTGGGCTACATCCGTCCTGACAATGAAGTCATTTTCGACATTAGTCAGAAAGGCGCAGAGTCGAACTCTCATCCTCTCACAGGGTTTGCCATCTGTGCTGATCCCGGCGGTATTCGAGGAATCAGAACAGCCACGGCAGATGGCACCTTATCAAACTGGGCAGGCGATCACCATGACGTGCCCAGCACCTTACGCCTATGTCTCAACGAACGGGTAACACACATCAAAGCGAAATTTGACGTAAGTAATATCTTCCATAAAAAACTGTAATAAATGGAAACTAACTTAACTCTTCCCATCACAGGCGTTCAGAATGATATCCCTCTCTGTCCCGGAAGAAGAGAAGATACATAGCCAGAACCCGCCTTGCTTGTCTCCACGCAAAGCAACGCTCTGGTACCCGCATATACCGTGCGAACACCAGTCTCTGCATGAACTAGATTTTGTATATCAGGATGAGCCTCAGCCTTCCCTGCTGAGTTATCAACAGCCTCATATACTGCTTATGTTCGGTGGTGAGAAAGGGAGTTATCTGCCCTACCTTACTAAGATATCAGTTAGTACGTTGGGGGGTATATTGACCTGGATTGATTTCCATTACGAATGCGACGGAGCACCTCTCAGCTGTCTGCCTGTGTACCAGGCTAGAGAAAAGCATGGCAACCAGTCGAAGATACAGTTTAACATTGACGGACCCGGTGGTGAGAGAGTCACCGGGTTCAGAGTGAAAGATAAGCAGTGGCGGACTCCAAAGAACGAGCCGATCAGTTTCAGTATTGCGACGCTGGAGGTAAGGTATTCATTCGCCTCTGTTTGCAATGCCTCAGATATCTAATCCGGGTCGTTTGGTTTATGTTTTAGGTTACTACGAACCGTGGAAGGTCTTTTACGTTTGATGCCAATGTGCTTCCGAAAATCAGGCTGCCTTTGGGACATGGCCAGCAAAAGAAGAAGAAACTTGATATCGAACCAGGCTCGACTATAACTGGCATATATATCACCCACGTAAGTAGTCTTTGCTGCAAGTGTTCCCTTGTCATAATATGTAGTATTATCTGACATTCTTGTACAGGAGCCTCCAAATGGATTGACGGGGCTTGGTATAGTTTCTGAGAAGGTATGAGTATAGATGATAGAGTGAGAAGGAAAGTTATGAAGATGAAGCATTTTCATGTATTTGAGCTAGCTATTAAAACAGCGTAGAATAGCGCGGCTAAAAAAAAACAGAGCTAAATGAACTCATATCATAAAGCAGACTCGTCCCAGAAAGAAGGGCGGAATGGAGTAATTGACATGACGAAGTAAGACATGACAGGTAAAAAGTGTGATAGATAAAGAAGAAGAAGAAGAAGAAGCAGAAGCGACGGAATTGGTATGCTGGCGATGGGCGTATTAAGAAGCTTGAAAGCTGGGGAAGAGAAAGTCAAATCAAAAGGATGGACTGTGAGTACGCAGACAAAGCACTTTTCTATTAGAGTAAGGATCGTTTGTGCAGTGGATTATATGTGTATGTATATAAGAGGATAAAATAGGCGAGGCGGGTATATAAGGGGAGGGAGTATATTAATCCAATAGGTGCAATGGCGGGTATAGATTAAGGGGGGAAGATTTAGTTGATCAACAAAGGAGACGTAGAGTTGTGCTCGGTAGACGAGGCTGTATAGAGGTTGGTTCGCTGACCTGATTAGTTGGGTGGTTAGGTAAATAAATATGCAAGGAGTCAGTTGCCCTTGATTAATATGTTTCCTTTCCCATTTGTCGCATGTAACAAGAACCAACATGTCCAAAGGAGGATAATCCAAGGTAGCAAGCAAACAGGCTTAATACGCGCAGTAGAAATGGGACGGGATGCCAGGAGATTCACGTCATGCAGAAGAAGATCGGAGTATGAAGAGGTCTGGAGAGAAGTATAGGAAGAGTAAAAAAAGGCCCAGAAAGGATGTCTACCGGAGCACCTGAACGCCTTGGTATATATCGTGATGCCGACGAGGAAATGGAAGAGCCAGAAGAGAAGAAACGGATCGAGAGAGAGAGAGAAAGGGGGAAAAAAGGGAAGAGATAGTATTGGTATCAAGATGGAAAATGGGTCGGTCAAGAAGGGTTGGGTAGAAAAGAAGAGTCGGCCGTTAAGTCAAGGAAGAAAAGGGTTCGTAGAGGTGGATTTGACGTCGTACAACTTTGACATCAGGGTTCGTTCGATCATGACGGCGTGAAAAGGTAGTATGGATAGAGGAATGCAGAGCTGTCATCGATGCCTCCTAGACGGATCTGGATTTGGCTGACCCGTCCGTTCAACTCCACTCTGTCCCGTTGTCGTTGCAGCTGCAGAGACAGGAACCTTGACTTCGTCACCGGGAGCCGGCGCCGAGACACCGTTGGGATTCAGTCGGCTGAGTTCAGTTGCGATGCTCTGGGCGACGTATCCACGAAGCTCACGCTCTTCACGTTCATCCTCTTTTACCAACCGCCTTCGTTCTTCCTTGGAAAGGTTCTCACGACGCATGCGTCTGATCTCGTGGATGACCCAGAGTAATACCTCATCGGGAGCACGAGAACGGTCGAGGCCATGTTTGGCAGGGTTTCGTACGTAGCGACGGGTAACATCCGTGGCTCCATCGATGGAGAAGGCGATACAATAGGCCATTCTTCGGTTCCAGCCTGGAAGCATGTTAGTCGCACGGACGGAAAAAAAGAAAGCGAAAACGAAAGCAAAATAGAATGAGAGGGGGGAAGAATGGATGCTTACCTTCTGTGTAGAGGCGGGGATTGTCCCAAGCCTCTTCGCAGGCGTCGACATGAATCCATCTTTTCTGATGCTCAGAGTAAACTTCGGTCCATACGTGGTCTTCTGAGTTCCAGACCCAACGTACGCGGCCACCGACGGCTCTGCACAGCATGCTAAAGCAATTGGCCCACTCGCCTACTCTGCCGCGTCTGGACTGCAGCAGAGTCCATACGTCAGAGTATCGAGGGAATCGCTCAGGGCTGGCGCAGGAGGGCTCTGAGCAGATGTAGAGTTCGACTCTGGTGGCTCCCCGGGCGGTTTCGTCTGGAGTTGGGGGCGTCATGCCCTGAAGAAGGGTTGGTCTGAGGCATCTCGAGCAAGGGGGATTATTGATGAACTGGAAGAACGAGCGTTTGAACCATCTACCACGGCTAGTTAGTATCATATCAACTATAGAAAGAGAGAGAGAGGGGAAAAAACAAAAGGGTCCGTACCTGAGGAGAGCCTTGATGACGCAGTCCTGGTAGCCCCAGGTTGGTTTCACGTTCTCACCCATGCTTGCCGCCTCTGCCTGCAGAATCTGACACTCTTCCTCTGCCTCTGCGTAGAGACGGTCGAGAGGAACGTGGGAGAGCGCCTCGTCCAGCAGGCCAGGGTTCTCATATTTCATAGGTGTTACGGAAAGGACATGGAGGAGGTTGCGAAACTTGAGGGAGGCAGAATCCTGTGGCGGCGTCGGAAAGATAGGAAAACTGCGAATAGACGAGTACGATGGCGGCTGCGAGGGCAATGGCCGGCCGTGGGCGTGCTGGCTGTGATGGTGAGGATGATGCGGTGATGCTGGCGTTGATGCTGGCGTTGACGACGAAGGCATGGGCGAAGAGGTGCGTGATCTGGATCGTTCCTGGAGAGTGTTCAACCTTCTTGTCCGCAGCAACTGTTCGAACTGGCGAGCGAGCTCGGAGGCGTCAACGGCAGGGCCCGAGCCTGCCGGCCGTCGAGATCTGTCTGTCATTTTTGGCGATGGCCTTTGGCTGTTCACCCGGAGTAGGCTGGAGATGAGATGGATAATGAGGGCTGGCAGTCAACCGGATGACTGTCAGCGCCCACCGCAGGCCAGCCGGACCGTCTTCAGTCGGGCGAAGGTTTTCAGTCTGTGTTCTTTTCTGACGCTGCAGTCGGTGTCGTCGTCGTCGAAACGAGTGTCGTGATTGATGCTGGCGGGCGGTTTGTGAGAGAAAGAGAGAGAGAGAGAGAGAGAGAGAGAGAGAGAGAGAGAGAAGTGAGATCGATGGGAGGAGGTCGGTTTGAGTCGCTGAGCCGTCCCGTCCAGGAAGAAGGAGACGAAAAGATATGTTTAGATGATGCGCAGCAAGCACAGCCCTTGGCCCTTGATTGCGGTTCCACGCTAACCCTAATCGTCGACCCTTTTTTCGTTCTCGCAGTCCTCGTCAGCGAACAGCTTGTCTGCTTGACGCTGCAGCTCTTTCTATCGGTTCTATCGAGGCCTGGTTGCCAGCTGGCAGGTTATGTTAGCGAACGAGAGCGGTAGATGTTGAAGTTGAAGTTGAAGTTGAAGTCGAAGTCGAAGTCGAGAAAGGCGAGCGTCGCGGAGGGAAAAAGCGGCGTGAGGTGGCAGAAACCAACCCTCGCCCAAGACAGGCAAAAGAGTAATGGGCGTATGCGGATTACCAAGTTACAGGCCTCGTAATGCTGTTTAGGGTGGGTACCTGACGGTACACGCGGTACGGCCAATACGCAGACGGTGACGAGGCCCCTGGGTACGCTAGTCCGCTTTGGGGCGTCAGCGTCGTCAGCCTCTTTTGCTTATGTAAGATTAGAAGGGGGAAAAAGTACTCCGTACCTACCTCCTCTTGTCTCTGCAGTCGGTCCCCGTCTCGCCCTTTTATATACGGAGTCCCCCGTATCCTCTTCTACCCTCGTCCATTCCCTTCTGCCTCGTCGTCGTCTTGTCTTCATCCTCGTCCTCGTCCTCGTCCTTCCTTCGTCATCGTCGCCGTCGTCGCCGTCCGTCGCCGCGTCGTCGTCGCTTCTGCGGCCTCTGTCTAGATCGTCAACCCAACGACGACGATCGCCAAGACCTCGGATGAAGCTTACGCGGCGTGAACAGTGACCCATGTCTTGGCGCCGCCTAGCCTTCTTCGGCCATTGCAGACGCTTGCTGACTCAGCACTTGCGTCGTTCGTGTTAGAAAAGAAGCGAAGGCGCTGGCAAAGCGACAAGTAAAGCAAGCAAGCAAGCAAGCAAGCATGGGAAAGCATGGGAAAGAAAAGGCAAAAAAAGCCGGGCTTCCCTCTAGACGCGTGTTTTAGGTGTGACTCTCGACTCCTCCTCCTGCCTGGCCTGCGACGACGCCTGCGACGACGACAAGCCTGCTCCGTATGGAGTCCCGCCTCCTGATGTGTTATAACGACATAATTCCCACCTTATAGCCCACCTTAACCCACTGCTATTGTTGCTGCCTAATTCTCTTATAGGAGGAGGATGCTGGCCGACTCGCAGCGAACCGAGAAAACCGGCCTTGCGGAGACTTAACTAGCTCCCTGAGCAGGGCGAGCTTTGTGGGCTCCCTCTCCACGCGCGTCACCGACTTGTTCAGGATCAGCGTCTCTCTCTCTCTCGAACGCTCGCTACGCGGATAGAATATGTTGGGCAGGGTTAACTGGAAAGCGATCGATCAGATCAGCGGTCTCTCCCTTGCAAAGTAACCGGTTTTATACTTCTCGTAGATCGATCGTGGCAGAGGGAAAAAAAAACTTGAATTTGTGGATAACGAGTATACTAATAAGGTCTATCAAACTTCGAACTGCTTACAGCACGGCAAACGCAGAAACATAGCTCACTGAGCTGTCTTGGACCGAGAAGCAGTCAGAGCTCCGTTCGTACCTTATAAAGTAGAACTTGCCCTTCTTCACCCCGTCCTGCGTCACTGCTGCTCCCATGGTTGTTTCTGCCTGATGCTGTAATCCCTCGATCCCCGCCATCACCACGCCAATCGGATGACGCCCGCATACAGTGTTTCCAGTCCGCCGTAATGCTTCCTGAAATACGTCCGTATTGCCACTGGCTATTGCAGACATGCATGCCATGTCACACGCAGAGACGCTCTCGTGGATAGCCCACATATATTTCTCCTTGTTGTATGACTTGTCGTTCTCTCTCAGCATCCGCCCTGACGACGCTGCACGCACTTCCTCCGCCGCCCTTTCTGCGGTCAGCATGTCCGACGGAACCGGTAGAGAAGGGTACGTAAGCGGCAGCTTGTAGGTTGTTGGGCCAGGTGCCTGCACGTAGTACGTATATGCGAACCTCGTGCCCCAGTGACAAAAGTCAGACGAGATCACAAACGCGTTCTCTTCGTCAGCCAGGTAAGGCCGAAGGATCGAGCCAAACACTCGCTCGTTTGCCGCAGAGGTGCTGCCCACCATCATCGGCACTAGCGGGGGGTAGGCTGACGTCGGCATTGTGGGATATAAGCGCTGCAGAAGGCGGTGGATGTACGGTAGATGGAGCTCCATGCTGTGTTCCTGTTCGTCAACAGATCGAGACATTCTAGAAAAGGGCCTGTCCGCTGAGGAAGCCTCCTGCTCGATCTTAGCCAGCACCTCGGTGTCGAGAGGCAGCGGCATAGGCGAAAGCGGTGTCAGGTATTCGGTCAACTGTGGCACCGCGATGGTCGTAAGATGGAGGTGGTGGGATGGGCCGATCAGGAAGATCCGCTTTCTGGCTCCAGCTATTAGTCCCCTTTCTCTCTCTCATATCCATATTTATTTCGTCTTGTCTCAGTGAAGCTTACGCCTTGGATAGGTCGAGACATTTGTACGCAAAGGCCGCGCAAGGGCCAGAGTAGGCATATCCTGCATGTCTACAAGACAGTCAACTGGTTGGTACTATGCATCTCAAGCCTTTGTATCTTGTTGCTAGTTGTCAATGTACTCACGGAGCTATGATCACTCTTGCTCCCGGCACTGGTAGCTTGCCCAGCCCCTCGAGCTCGCCAGGCACAAGGTCCAACCACTGATCGAGCTGTGCTTCCAGGGTTGGCCCGTGGTCGGAGTACCAGGAACCGGCGTGAGTATGGCGGCGGATAGACATCGTGTCTTGTACAGCTACTCTGTATCCTGTCTCTTGTGTCTCTGCTCTCTTCGCGTTGACGATCTTCAGAAATTGAGAAAGAGACGTCCAAGCAAGGTGAAACTCTGTTTTTGGTTAGTTGCGGGGGAGGGGCTCTTTACTCTTTCGGCATCCCGGCTTGGCATCGACTAGCTAATCGGCATCCCGAAACTCTATTATCTAATCAGAAAATGGTCGAACAACGCCGCCCAATTCAAACAGAAAATGATACCGATAGCGGTAGATTGTAAGATAGCATCGAGAACACGGCCCGTTATGAGTTTACTCCTGAATAGCGATGTCATAGATATGATCTTCTCTGTGACACTCGTATTACTATGTGTAAATCATTTACCCTGTCTTGACACTCGCGCGAGACCGCGTAAAAAGCCATTAAACCCATTCCAGACTAGCGGTATCAGCCTGATACACGTAATAATCATCCAACCAATAAACATCGATTATTCAGATCTTGGCATCCCTGAGGCTGTAAAATACGCCTCTTCTCACTGCAATGCGAAACGCGACCAAAACCAAACCTCGTTCATCCCAGGCGCAACCAAGTTTCCAACCTCACCTCATCTCAACACTTCACTTCTTTATAGCCATTCTGGCATCTTCGTCTCATCTGGCCTCATACTGCGCACTGCCGGGAGACGCAATAATATAGTGAACACACTCGACAATGAAGCGCAAAGCCTCCCTCTCAACGATCCTCTCTCCCCGGTCCTCAACATCCTTCTACGACCGCACCGTCTCTCCCATCCCATGCTCAATCGGTGATGCCATGGTCATAGACGACACACCTCAGCACCTTCACAGCCGGACGAGGAAGCGATTCAGAAACGACCGTCCAGACGAACAGGCTGTCTACGGTATGCCATGTCGTCACTACACCATCATCACCTTGCTCACCCGTCATCTCCGTTAACTCTTAACCTCTCAGACAACACCTTACGATGGCTCTTCTCCGCCCAGAGACAAGCAGAGAACCACGGACTCTACCCAGAACCCATCACTAGTATCGACGACAGCCTCGAAAGTCTTGAAGAGGACTCTTCCTTCCAAGAAGACTCTACGACTTCTCTACCAAAGCCTGACCCGTCGCAAAAGACGCTGCATCATTTCTTCCGTCCTGCGTCTGCGCCTGCTCGCGTGTCCCTGGCAGAAGCCAACGGTAACTGCGCCGCAACAAGTAACAACACGGATACAAACCCCTCGGCCTCAACGTCTACTCATATCATGTCGTCGCAAGTGCCCAGCTCTTCTTCCACCTCGGTCGGTAACGCCTCATTATCCTCATCTACCTCTGGTGCTGGCCCTGGTAATGGGACCGATACGGTTGAATGCGAAGACATCGATATGGACAGAGATACTCATACGTTCACAGCTAGTGCTACGGCCTTAACTCCGGCATTCCAGCAGAGGGCGTGGATGGACGGCAAAGACCTCACTCAGCCTTCAAGTTGCTACTATCTTCTCAGCTAGTAGACCACAAGCGTCTTTTTGTTTTTTTCCCACATTTTACCTTTTCACCTTTTTTTGGAAAAGCTGGTGTTTGGCATATTATTACCAGGATTTCTCTTAATTGTTTGCTGCTTGTCTTCTTCTTTCATCATAGCTAAGCTGGGGTTCCTGATGGACGGCTGGAGTTCGTGTGAGGGTCATAACTGCTGTGCTGGTCTATGAAACTGTATAATACTCATCAATTTTCCTTTCAGTCAACTATACTGCCGGGATAAAAAATATCAAAGACATCTTCCGCTACCCACAAACAAAAAAACATCTGCAATCCCTACAGCTTAACTGTCCTTTTATCTCTGACGTCGTAAAAGCCTTTTGGGCAGAGGCAACTGGCTTAGTCATCCCCGCCCCCAGGAAAATCGGCCTTTGCAACCGCCAAACCGACGAAGGCAAATGCTGCGCCCGCCTCAGGAGTTTCAGCGTCTTCCTTCGCTGCATAGGTAAATATCACAAGTTCTACTGCGACGAGCAAGTCTCCTGGGGGCTTCTTCTCCCCTTTCCCCATCTGCCGAACCGAGCGTCGATAAACCCCGATCTGGCATCCGCTTTTAAGCTGTGTTTTTATACCTAACGACCCACACGGAGGCTTAAGTTAGCTAAAGGGGGAGAAAGACGAGACACCCAACAGCCAGCAGAAAGACAGACAGACAGAACCGCATCTCTCCTTGCTTACCTTCTTCCTACCCTCGTTTAACGGGCAGACGATTCGCCTGCTCTCGTCGGTCATTGCTCTACCATAGCTGAGCACGCTGTATCATGACCTACTTCGCACCGCAAACCAGCTGAGAACAACATCCCTACACAGCCCCCGACAATGGTTGGTTCAAGCTTTGAGAAGTCCGTCAAGGGCGCGACCAAGTCGAAGGTATGGAGTATCTTGTCGGTTTCTCGATAGAGGAGTCTGGATCTAACGTTTTTTTTGTGGGAAAATAGAATGCTGCCCCGAAATCAAAATACATCGAACACATCCTCACAGCCACCTACAGCGATGCAGGCACGGCCGAGATCTTTCGCACGCTCCAGATCAGACTGCGCGAGTCGGCGTGGACAGTCGTTTTCAAAGCGCTTATAGTGATACACATGATGGTACGCGAGGGTGCCCCGGGGGCTGCGCTCGCCTATCTCTCGCAATATCCTCGGAAATTCGCGATAACAAGCATCTCGGACGGTGTGTACAATATTCCCCTCGACGAAGAATATAAATAATGGCCGCGTGAATGAACAAGAGGACTTGTTTGTTTTGCTGATCTCGTATGGCTATAATAGCACAGTTCCAGGGAGCGAACATATGGAGATACTCGGAGTATCTAATCGCGCGGTCTCTGGCCTTCTCAGAGACAAAGACGGACTATGTTCGCAACGGACAAGGCAGACTGAAGACCTTAACTGTCTCAAAGGGTCTATTGCGAGAAACAGAGATTGTTCAGAAGCAAATTAAGGCTCTTTTGAAATGTGATGTGCGCATATACCATCTTGCGTTTGTTTGTTTATCGGGAACCACCTTTACTAATTTATTTCTTTGACTAGCTCCTGAGTGATGAACCCGATAATGAAATCACTTTAACTGGCTTCCGGCTAGTGACGCTTGATCTGTTGACGCTTTATTCTGTTATGAATGAGGGTGTCATCAATGTCCTGGGTTAGTGGCTCGCTGCCCCTTTTGGCGTGTATACACACAACTTCTAACATATCTTGGCTAGAACACTACTTCGAGATGTCTCGGACAGACAGCGAACGAGCATTGCATTTGTACAAAGTTTTTAGCGCCCTAACGGATGATGTCGTTGCATTTTTACGAGTTGCCAGACAGTACGAACATGCTACTCGACTTGAGATACCCAATTTAAAGCATGCATCTACGGATTTGGCGAAGTTGCTAGAAGATGACCTGCATGACCCCGATTTTGCAATCCGCCGGAAGGAATACCGTGAACAGAAGTTTGGAAAATCCAAAGGTGAAAGTAGCTCAGCATCAAAAGCTGCAAAATCACAACCCTCGTCCAAGGCGAACAATAGCACGTCTTCTAAAGACGTACCAAGCTCTGGTACTAAAGCTCCAGCTGCGGATCTAATCGACTTCTTTGGGTCCATTGAGGAAAATCAACCGCCAGCGAATCAACAGCTACCACCACAACAGCCACAGCAGCAGAATACGCCAATGCAATTCCAGCAAACAGGTTTCCAGCAGCAGCCGGTACCAGCCGAGTTCCTACAGAATCAAACGGGATTTGCCCCCAATCCAATGGGACAAAACATCAACCCGTTCGGCCAGTACGATACACAAATGCAACAACAGCAACAGCAACAACCTCCAGCGGCCCAGCCACTACAAGCTTCTCACACAGGCGCTGGATTCGGGGGTTACACCCCACAGCCTTTCCAGAGTCCAAGTCCACTTTCTGCTATTCCACAGAACGGGGCAGTTCCCTTTCAGCGACCCATGACAGCGGGTGCCACACCACGGGCCAACAACCCTTTCCGACAGTCTATGCTTCCCACCGCAGACAACTTATCATCCCCCCAGTTACAGTCTCCTTCAACATTGGCCATGAAGCGGCAATCTACCAACCCGTTTGCGAAACAACCTCCTGCTATCCCTCCACAGTACCAAATTCCCAACCCCAACCAATACCCAATGCCATCATCGTCTCCACCCCCTTCACAACAACAGCCTCAGCCCCTTCAGCCTCAGCGAACAGGAACAAACCCGTTTGCGCGGCCTCAGCCACAACAAAGCCAGGAAGCACTACCGGCCCAACGTCTACAGCCAAACCCAACTGGCAGCACAAACCCTTTCCGCCAAAGTGCTTTTATAAACCAAGCCACGGGTCAAGGATGGCAGAACGTTCCGCAAGGAACCATGGGCGGACTAGAGAAGCTAGAAACCATCCCTGTGTTCCCTCGGCCAGGTCAAATGGCATAGCAGAGATTCCGATCATGTGTAACATTTCCCTTTTTCTCAGCCTTTTGTTTTCACCTTCTACTCTTCCATTCTATTATCTTCACGCAAACCCCATGCTCTGGCTTTTTGTTTTTTTCTTCTTCTTTATTTATTTTGGGATCCCCCCCGAGCGTGCATCTACATGGGAGCTACAGTTTTAAAAAAAACCTGAGGGCGGAAAACAAAGTCATGTCCTGGAGACCGGCAAACAACCTCAGACGTTGTTTTTTTCTCTACTTTCCCTATGACCATTGATTGATATCATCTCTTCCTTCTATTCTACTTGACAGCTTTCACGTTATCGTCTGCAGTTCTATAGATGTTTACCTGCGTCCATGAGCTCTCAATATCAGAATAGCATTGTTAATTTCCAGCATCATTTTTCGCCTAACCACTATCCATATGATCTCTTCCCTTTAAGATACGACTAAACAGAGATTCTGCTCCAGTAAAACACGGATAAATCAAGAGAAGTGCTGGTTAGTGGTCAGATTTCTTGTGTGTTAACATTTTAGACCCGCCAAGTAGTTAGTTAGCTTGTAGCGGTTTAGCAGAGGTTGAACCTCAGCACAAAGTGTTAATTGTTTAATTTAACGTCAACCAATGCTACTCAATGCAACAACATCAATTTATCCAGAGAGGTTGAAAAAAATAAAAAGAGGCACACCATCATCGTCGCGATTAATTATTATTTAGAGAAAGAATACGGCAATTTATCCAGATTTCATGTCAAAAGGCCAGAAGATTAAACCACCTCGCGCTCAGTCTTGACTCGCTGGTTGCCCATCCATGGCAGACGTCCAAGCGGGAACTTGATGAAGCTGTTGTTTGGGTCTGCCATTCCAGAGAGGGCACAGTACCAGGCGAGTAGAGCAGCCAGGATACCAAAGAAGCCGCCGGTCTTGATGAGAGGTATGTAGATCTTCCCAGGGGCAGATTCGATAAGGTGACCAACTCCAAGGAACAAAAACGCGAGGTCGAGAGTGAAGAAAAGGAGGACGAAGGCGATGTTGGTCTTGAAGGTGCAGACAAGGCAGAGAGTGGTGAAAATCCACCAGGACTAGATCGAAGATCGCATTAGCAACGGGGTTGACGTGACCCTAGGGAACAAGGGAGCAATATACCATGAGCCAGAAGCCGGTTACGTTGTTTACACCGGTTATACCGTTCGCTTCCTTGATATTTTCAATGATATTGAAGCCACCAGGAGTGAAGATAATGCCGTACGAGATCCAGAATCCACCGTACGAGGAGAGAGCAGTGGCTCCAAAGGTGTTTCCAACGGCCATTTCCCTATATTACGGTTAGCACTCAAAAAAAAGGGCAAGAGAGTGTAGACAGGAAGACGGCCACAACTTACCACATGCCAGCGAGAAGCTGTACCAATCCACCGTACCCAAAAGCTGAAGCAACGACAAGATGAGGCGCGGTGACGCCGCGAGCTTGCATGTTGATCAGACTAAGCACCATAGTGGTGAGGGCGAAAGCAGACAGTCCCAAGGGCCCAGGGTTTGCGAAGGACTTGCTGGGTGCTGCTGCTGCTGGCGCTGGTGCTGGCGACGGCTGGAATTTCCCAAACGCAGCTACGCTGGTGTTTCCGTTGGCTAGAGGACCGTATCCATAGCGAGCTGCTGCCTCTGCGACTTCTCGCTCTTCGACAGACATGCCCTTGAGGGAGCTCTCATGGGTCGTGGTTCTACCAGCCGTGTCCTTCTCGATATCGGAACTCATTGTGCCAGACAGCTAAGTCAAGATTCCTATATGGATGGTCAGCTTCCAGGATATACATTATCCTTAATTCTGTCTTCTACTTGAATTTGCGGGTTCCATCTTGACCAGAACATACCTTTTTGCCGGGTAAATAGCAGAAAGCAAGTAGTAAGACGAGCGACTAGAGCTGCGAAGGAAGGAAGAAACAAGAGGAGAGGAAGGATGAACGCAAACAGCGGGGAAACAACGGTAATTAATAACTATTTAAAGGGACATGCACAGCATTTACAGCTGGCTCTTTGGGGGGGGGGAACCAGGGCGTCCGTATGGATGTGTACTCCCCGACCCCCAAACACACCGCGAGCTTCAGCGAGCGGGCTAGATACTACTACTGCCTTTCTCGCATGATATTTTACTCTCTAGCGAACATGCCCATGTCGATCTTCACCAGCTCCACCCAAAGAAAAGATTCCTTGCATGGGGGTTTGACCTAAAATAATGAAGAGAGGCATCCTCCCTGTATCGTACAGAGTACATCAACCCTCCTTGCTGGGAGTCCAATTCCCACACAGAGAGCGAGAGGGTCGACATGTACTCTGTACGAAGCGCATACACAATACCGGCACTTCCTAGTAACCGTTCTCCGTTCTTTAGGGTCTGTTCTCGCTGGCGGATCATCATTCAAGGTGTGATCTGGAGCTACAAAGTGTCTGCTCACAGCCCATAGGTGCACAGAGTTGTACGGGGTGACATACAAGGGCTTGTTTCTACCCTGGTCGGCAAACTCACAAGTTTGATACATGGGAGGACAAGGAGGCAGCGGGACGGCCGGGGGGTTGCCTCCTCCCTTGGGTCGTACCTCTGCCCAATTTTTTCGACTCTCAGCCCGTTGTCTGAGCTATATCGATCTTCTGGTTTCCGCCCGGGTTCGGCGCAGTGATGGTGAAACTTCCCTCAGCAGCCTCAACGCCATGATATCTTCTTTGTGGGAAGGACTATCTGGATCCTGCCCATTTGCTCATGGCTTGCTGTGTGTAATTCATGGAATACTTGCTTCGTACAGAGACCGATCTCCAGCTTGTCTGGGGAATCTGGCTTTGGGGGATCAAGCAAGCGGACGTGGATCCCCGACCCAACCATTCATTAGCTAGAAGGCGGGCTAAATTCATCCGAGGCAGTCAAGATCGAGGCTGGAACGGACATCCACATGCACAAAAGTATTTCAGCTATCGGGGTGTCGCCCGTATCAACTGCTGTCTACTACGGAGCACTTCGTACGGAGTACAGCGAAGCGGAAAAGGGGTAAAGACTAAGATAAACAAAAAAACTCGACATGATGCTTAACTGTCGACTCGAGTTTTCGGAAAGGCCAAAAATATGTTTACTAAATAAGCTCGCTTTCCCCTGTTTGAGCGATGGAGAAATGGCAAGCCAGGGCCGGTTGTTTGACCGAAAAATATCAGAGGGAACAGAACTTAAAGGATGCAGTGCAACACATTCACATGAGGACAATGTGACCTCGTATTTTATATCGAATGGAAACTTTCGCATGCATGCACTGGCATCGCTGGATGGAATATATTTTATTTTAAATGATGCGACGGGGGTGGAATACTTCGAAGGATTTGGCTCTCGATCTGACTCGCTGGAGTCCCGTCTGTTAAGAAAGGAGAAAAAGGAAAGCTTGCATCGGTAAGTGACTCGGACAAGCATCTCCCCCGTCGCTCTTCACTCTAAATCTATTGAGTTCTGTCATCAGCTTAGCCTGTGGCTTGAGGATACAATTTCCTACATACTATAAATCGGTTTCACCATTCCATGGCTTCTTGGTGGTGGATTGGGTGGCGGATATCACTCGCCTCCACAGGGACAGACAGACGAGGATCAAGAGCTGCTTCGATTTAGCGGTGGACTTGTTTTATTTGGCGAGCCCTCGACCGTTTAAAATGGAGTTGTCAGATAAGAAATTTAAGAACGAACTTGATGAATCGCAAGCATCAAGCTAATCCAGGGGAACAGAAGTCTAGGCTGGGCCTGAAGGAAATGCTAACCACGGCTCTGCATCCGAAAAGCAAAACCAAGCTCTGAGCTGTCCTCGCTTGAGAAAGTCAAGAAATTCCGCTGCATCAAATCATCATATTCTGCAGGAGATGGCGCTGTTCAAACCGGTCCTCCCTACCACCGCTCTCGATGTTGACCCAAGGAAACCAGCTCGGCCTTCCGTCTCCAGGGAAACTTCTCTTGATCATCGCATTCCTGAGCGGTCGTCTCCTCCAAACGGCGGGTGAGAAGTTGAATATCTTTACACCGCCGTACGGGATACCTAGTGCATGTTACTTGGAGAGCCAGGCTGCCGATAGAGGTTCCATGGTTATAGGTGCATCGTTCCACTCTTCGGACAGAAGAAACAGTGGATTTCGCTGCAGTGATGAGCCCCAGCTTCACCGTTCAGTGGAACAAGGGCTTTTTTTGGGGCTTTTGCTAAATGTCGATCCGACTCTTATCGATGGAGCTTCATGTTGAATGTCTTGCTAAGGCATTTACTTTGACCCAACTAGTTACATGTCCAGAAACGAAGACCAAAATTGATATGGTATGTGGCTAGACGCAATTGTATGTCGACTCCCAAAGTGTTACGAGTGTATGGAATGAAACAAGCAGGTGAGCTGAATCACTGACATGGCTTTCAAAGTCGTGGTCGTGCGTATTGATAAGTTTTGCTCTTTGACAGAGACAGTACTGGATAAAAACTAATCAATTATCAGGGTTTGCCCTTGATATCCATAGCTAACCACTGGCTGTTACTCACAAGAAAGCTCGAAGCTCGTTTCTTCGGCAGCTATATACAGTAGTTTGTCTATGCTCGTTGGACAACGTCACCTATACCAGTCACGATATAGCACACAGAATGATAATGCAGAGGCCGCGGCACTTTGAATCTACGAGATCCTGATGTCATAAGCATGCATCGCATTATTTTGCACCTGTCTCGCATGTCGGCGTCATGTTGGGGGGTTTCAGGGCATCCATCGCGGACGTTTGCGGGACCCCAGCTCGTTTGGAAGTCTCGCTTTCTCTTGGATATTAGTTCTCCAATTGTCCCCGAGTTCATCTTTCCCAATTCTCTCTATATCCTGGGCAACTTGATCACCAATGTCCTTCCATTGGTCCCCCTCATCTAGATCTGTAATAGGAACAATGTCTAGACAATGCCCTGCCCAGGAATCATGGCGAATATCCGATGGAAGCTCATCATACCAAATCGTCCTGGAGAGAATAACCTCCCCAAAACCAATTAAGTCGATGAATGGACCATGGATGTAAGCTTTATCTAGCGCAACTGCGGCAGGACGAACGAACTCACGAGTGGTCAGGTTTCGAAGTACCCATTCCTGGTCTGTGGGATAAAATGTACTTGGAATCAGAAATGTACGTACTTGAAGGGCGCCTGGTTCGAAAGTGTCTTTTACAGGAATGTTGGGGAGGAGGCACAAGATATAGCCAGGATTGAGATGCTGGGGGTCATCATATCTGGCGCCAGCTAGTTCAAAGAGGTTGACGGGAGACCAGGCATAACAATCTTCCATATCGCGAGGCATTTCTTCTGGGTCCAGCCCCTCGTCTAATTCATCAAGATCTTCAGGCCATAGTAGTGTTGGGGGGTAAGGATTATCTCCGCCAACCGTATCTAAGTCACTGGTGCAGATGACAGGTGTTCCAGCCCAAGTGCCCAAGGTCGCCATGAGTCGCCGTACGAGTACAGGAATCATTACTTCCCAGAGACGACGACAGGTAATTCCCAGAGTAAATAACTCCTGCGCAGACAATGAGTCAAAAATAATATAGTGTATCTCAACGGGCAGTCCCGCTAGGTCGGCCTGAGTAGCTCTGGTTTGCAGAGATGTATGAGAAGTAGATGGCACGAATGCGGTGACTGACTCTCTTCGCCGTTGTTGTGGAGTGCTCGTTCTTCCCTGAACAACGGGTTGAAAACTTTGGGCGGCGGCTTCCACTAGCGAGGATGGGAAGATGGGCCTGGCAAATTGAGCAACGAGATCATATGTAGGAGCATCAAATAGTAAATCACTTAAAGTGTGGCCCTTATCTCCACAAGCAGAGGTATACCAAAAAAACTGTTGGCGAAGCTGAGGCGCTACCAAGCAGAATCTTGGTTCTCGTCTATATGGCATTGTCAACCTGGGGTGCCAACCTAGGTAAACCTAGGATTGAATCGAGGAGTTCACAGTATTGTTGCTTGCATAGAGAATGGTTATTATCAAATCCGGTTCTGTTTGATGAGTTCGATTGATAACGAGGTAGCCACCGGGCGTTATTACGCTTTATTAAATGACGTTAATATTATGAGGCTGATTCTCCACGACGTTGCCGAGACGGTTATTACTAATACCGCTCTTAGCGTGACATCGGTAGGATTGTTATGATCCTCGGCGGTCTAATAACGCGGCTGTTCTTTGCAGCTGGCTGTTGAATGATTTCACTTGATTCAATAAGCCGCCGTGGGAGTCGGAAGATGAAGAGCAGACGTCTTGAGAAACAGTCCGTAGAAGAAACTCGAGGCCAGCGAAGGGATTGGTAGAGCCATCAACATCTTCATTACCAACCTTCTTCTGGCTTCTATCAACTGCGAGTTGGAGGTCGTGAAGGGCGTTGTTGATCGCCCCATGTTCCTGGTAGATATCTGATTAGAGAGTCGCTTCTGACATGCGAGTAGGTTGAACAGCTTACCGTTTTGGCGCTCTCATCTGCAGAAAACCTCCTCCTGACCTCGTCTGCTTGAAGGGCAATCTCATCTCTCTCCTTTCGTATATCCATCAGTTGGTTTCGTAGCGCTAGGACCTCCTTCTTCTCCTTTCTTAGACGCATTGCAAGCACGTAATTACTGTCCAGCAGTTCGCTCATTTCAAATAGCCTACCCTCCAGCTCTGTACCAAATGCCTCTACCACCTTGCGTTTTCGGGTCCATTCTACCTGGCGAGTGCGATTTGACTCCCGTTCTATCGCAGAATCCAGCGTTGATAATGTCTTTTCTAGTGTTTCACGGCATATCTGACTGAGAACGTCGGCAGCATTCATGCCACTGCGGGATGGGATCTGTGGAGGACGCAAGGATGGATTTACAGATGCTGGCTCTCGGACATCCGCTGGAGTAGATCGAGTAGACTCTTCTGCATCGGACCATTCCTGCAGAGCCGAAATTTTAGGGAGTCTATGGACTCGAACGGGGACAGTTGACCGTCCCTCGCTCTTGTCTTTCTTCTGACTGGCTTTTCCTTTTTGTGTGGGAGCATCGGTCCCCTGGCCCTTTTTCTTTCGTTTCCTGGAATTCTTTGGTGCTGTGACTTGATTCTCTGTGTTATCTTGGTCTCTAACTGAGCTTCCCTCCCTTTGGGCGGTATCTGGCTCGACACCTTGAGCTTCTTGGGCTTCGGGCGATGGCAATTGGTTTTCTGATACTAGGTCGCCCACATCATTTTCGGCTGCTGGGCTGGGAACTACTGGATTATCACTCGCTTCCTTGCCATCTGTTTGCTCTGATGCTTCTTCATCCACCTGTTCGTCGATAATCGGGGGAGAGTGTACTCGGGGTGACTCCGTAGGCTCATTCCCCGGTACACTGGGGTCATTTGGGTCTGGTGAATCGCCGCGATCTAATCCTGCATCCGGAGTCGAGTCCTTGGGCGAAGATTGTAGTTGCTCGCTTCCGTCCTTAGCTTCAGTTTCGTGGCTCTCAGGGACCTCCGGCGGTTGCAGTAAGCTCTTGCGTTTCTTTTTCGGATGTTGAACAACTGATTTCCTCTTTCGTCGCCTCTGTTTTGGCCCGGCTGGCTGCTTCTGAGTTACATTGGGTGATCGGACATCGCTATCCTGATTTTCATCTCTAAGGGAGGGTGGTGCAGAAACCGAGGACTCGACCGAAGGCCTGATGTTCTCTAAAGGCGATGTATTCCGTAAGGAGGATCCAGTAGGAGATGCCGTTCGCCTGATTGACGAGGACCTCCCGCTTGCTCGTTTGTCTGTGACTCCAGGCTCGAGTTGCGGTGGCTGTCGTACACTGGTACGGTGGGCAGTGGGTGAGCTCTCTATGCCCGAGCTTTCAAATGATTTGCCTATATATATCCCGTCAGCGGTTGTGTACAGACCGGTAACAGAGCCACTGTGAGCCTTACTTATCCGTCTCCGTTTTGAGCTCCTCTCCTCTGGCCCGTCATCATCAGGAGGAATATCATATATCGACACATCATCGTGCAGTTTCCGCGCAGAGCTACGGGCTGCTGAGCGCCTGCTAGATGCCCGGGATGGTATAGAAAGCTGTTTGTTTGAAGTTGTAGAGTGACGCGACTGAGGTGTTATGGGGGGTTTCTCGGGAAGGCCTGGGGGTGACTGAGGCGGAGGAGGCGGGGACGGCGGAGCTGGAGATCCAAAGGTGAAGCCAAAATTGACATCTTTGACTTTGTGATTGCTGTGATACAAGTAGAGAGCAATCAGTAATCGCATTTATATTCGCAGGGACAAGTTGACACGCGCGTCTGGAGTAGACATACCCTGCGCCGCGCAGTCGCATCTGCTTCCGCTCCTCGCGGCCTAATTAAGAGTCAGTAAAGCGCGAACTGGTGTCCCGCAGAAATGCATGACTTACTCGGTGCTGTCGCCATCTCTCCTACATCTCTAGCCGTCGAGGTTGCAGGTCTATCAAAAAAAGACCGACGCGGCTCTAGTGTTGAAGACGTAAATAGGATTGCGATCCTTGGCGTTTAGGCAAATTGAACGTCGATCAAAAGAAATAAAAAAAGTGCCATCCAAAGCATCCAAAGCCTACAATATTTGAACATCGAGAACAAAACAGACGAACACTACGGAGTACGAACTATTCATACCAGAAGCCGTGACTGCCAGCAGAATCAATGGGCTGGTTTTGGGGCAACTCTTCGTCTTCCGACGCCGACCCGACAAAGAAGCTGGATCCCAGCTTGCGAGAGTACCTCGAACAGGAGTCTCCGGCCAAATATACGCCCACAGCAGCTGGCATAGCACCGCAGCAGCAGCAGAAGCAATCTCCAGAGAAGGTGCCTACAGAGTCCTCTAGCTTGCAAGATCGAAAAGCCGAAGCTGCAAGTCCCGTTCCCTCTGCTTCGCTTTTCCCGGACGGACGATATGCACACATATGGAAAGACTACAAGACTCTCGAGGAGATCGAAGGGCCCAGCATCTCACCGGCGGAAAGGGTAGTCGAACAGTTTAAACAACGAAAGGATGTGCTGAATAGAGCTGCGTTGGAGAATTGCTCGGAAGAGCATGAGGATCTGTCGCTGTGTTTCAAGAGGGGGACGTTTGCAGACAAGATCAAGGCGCGGTTGACCATGTGTGGAGAGCAGAATGCGCGCTTCTCAAGGTGTTATACAATGCAGTCTGTGAGTATCGACACTCTTTGGTTCCTGAGAGGCTGTCTTGCAGGTGCTGATATGCCTTCATAGAAATTCCTTCAAGCTCTAGGGTACGGCTCCTCGTTTGTATGGGACATGGAAAAGGAAGAGCGGATCCAGATGCATGCGGACAAACTATACCATCGTATGTTGGACTACGAAAGAAGGGTGGCTGAGGCAAAAGAAGCAGGCCGTGAACCTCCACATCCAAAGTCTCTGTTCAAGTCAGAAGCAGAGATAGCGGCATCCGAACAGCCTGGCCGGCCAGATGACGAGTGTCTCATACCGGGTGGAGAGGGCCTGCCAGCCGGGGCGAAGCCATATAAGCCGTTGAAGGAGATGACACCACACGAGCGCGAGCTGGAGGTGCAGTCTTTGAAACAACAGATGGCTCAACGAGATGTTTACATGAAGGAGGTGGCACCGGTACTGAAGGCCGAAGAAGAGGCGAAGAACAAACGAAGAGAAAAGTTCTCCAGCTGGTTTGGAGAGACCATTGGGAGCTGGCTAGCATGATCTATCTACCTCCTGGTATACGAGTCTGCCTGCATTTAAAAAGCACAGTCCGCTGGCGTCCTGGCGTTGCAAGCTTTCTCTCTGTCCACCTTGATGTATCAAATCCTCAATGGCCTTCTGCTTATTGAGTAGGAGCACGCCGTTTACACTACCACTAGGCTAGCGAGGCCTTTGCAGCATCCAGATGAGGATCTACACGGCCTATATGCTCGCTGGTATGGCCTGCTATGCTAGCCATCCTTATAAACTGTGAGCGAGCAGACTTTGCAGGCCTCCGCTAGTACCCCTAGGCGTTATATCACAGGGAAGTACAATAGCTCTCCAGAGCTGTTAGGGGAGTGTACAAATGGCCAGAATAGGGATTGATGGATGTAATTAGTATTAATTGACATGAGATAACCCATGGTTTTGAAATAACAGAGACCCAGTATCAAAACAAACGACTCATCAGGATGAAGGTACATCTTTTGATACCCAGGAATTCTCGTCAAACTTACTCTGGCTATTCTCTTTACAAAAAGAAAGCCGAAGTTGTCGGAGGAAGCTTTCCATGTCAAGCACTCCGTCAGGAAAGAAATTCTCTCTTCTTTTTGAAGGGTTTGTTTCCTTTCGGCTGAGATCTGGGGTTGAGCTCGCAAGCAATATTGCTTTCATAAGGTTGATATATAGAATCAACAGGCCGACAAAGCCTGAAAATAGGAATTTAGAGCAGTCTCTACAGATGCCCAAGCCTTCTATCAGGGGTATCGATCTCGTTCCTGGGAGTCTGCAGGAAGGAGGCTTTGTTGCTGGAAGGAGATGATACTTGGTCTTCGCGGCGCCAGCTGGGCATCACCTATATAGTAGTAGCAGCAGACGGAGTGAAGGAAACCTTACCAAAGGGTGTCCTGGTGAACTACAGTCAAGTCAGCGATATACATTGACAGCCAGATGGTTCAGTAGTTAACTAGTTAGTTATATTGACTGGTGTAGTATGTGAACCTGCTTGCGGTAACTCCGCGGTCCTGTGTCTTTCGGCGGCATCGCAACAGGCTGGCCACGCCTCGTATCAGCAGAGAGGCAGAGATGGACATCGAGAGTCAGAGAGCCAGTCGAGATCCGTATGTGAGATCCAATCATGGCGGTTGCATAGCATGTTGTCGCCAGCTAGTCATGCAGGCCAGCCGTCGCTAGCTGGAGGAAACACGACTCCGCGTAACTCGCCCGGCCACTCAGCTCCTGGTCCTCCTGGCCCTCCTGGCTTCCTGGCTGGCTGGCGAGCATTCGAACAAACAAACAAACAGGCCGTGGCGAGGAGCTGTTTGCATGAAGAAATAGTCGATGCGCCCTCGAGGGTGGTGGGCTTGTTTGTTGCAGGGCGTCATCACATCCAGCCAGTTGATTAGTTGTTGGCGGAGCTGCGTCTCGACTTCTCGCTGACAACCGCCTGCGTTGCTCTCTGCGTTCCATCCTCTCACCACCACGACCACCATCGCTCCTCGCAGCCATCGCCCGCCGCTGCAAAGCCCCGATTGCTGAGCCAGCAGCCTCTTTGGCTTGGATACTCGCCCCGACGAGCCCACGACCTGCCTGTGTCGCCGTCGCTTCAATGGTGTTTTGACCTGCGAAGCTAAAACACAACACCCCTGGATATTCGACCAGAGCTCCCCGTCTCACGCAGCCCACGAGCTGGTTTTGGATAGCCCTCTCAGCTGGCATAGCAGGCGGATCCTGAAGCTGCGGCGCCAGTCGACAGACGCTCTACCACGCTCCTGGCGGCAGGGGAACTTCCGGCTCGTTTTGGTCGGCCCTCTGTTGGCTGTCCTTAAACCGCTACGATGAAGGCCACCCCTCTGCTCATTGCCTGGCACGACGACAATGCCCCTATCTACTCGGTGCACTTCGATCCTCATGGCAAGGGCCGACTGGCCACGGCTGGGAAGTACGTTTGCTCTCCGAATATGAACCACGATCTTTCTGTTGATAAAGCTGCGTGGTACTGGTAACTAACCGGCTGATGACCTTAGTGATAACAACGTTCGCGTACGGCTAAGCTCTTCCTCCTTATATCCCCCCCCCTTTTTTTTGCTTCGTCTTTTCTTCGGGAGCTCCAATTCCTCGTGATTCTGACATTTGGATAGCTGTGGAAGGTCGAGTCGACTGGAGAAGAGCGCAAGGTTACCTACCTTAGTACTCTGATCAAGCACACGCAGGCCGTCAATGTTGTCCGCTTCTGCCCCAAAGGTACTGCTTTTTTTTCTGTCTACTCCGTCCCTGACCCTTAGACATACATGTATATGAATCTCAATAAGAAAACTGACATAGGTATAGGAGAGATGCTGGCATCTGCCGGAGACGATGGCAACGTTCTTCTCTGGGTTCCCTCCGAGACACAAACACAGCCGGCGTTCGGACAGGAAGCATTGGACGATAAGGAAACCTGGCGAGTAAAGCATATGTGTAGATCGTCAGGAGCAGAGATATACGATCTAGCATGGTCTCCAGATGGTGTCTTTATCATCACCGGCAGCATGGACAACATTGCTCGGATCTACAATGCCCAAACAGGTACTGACTAACTACATATATCCATGAACTTATTGTAGCACAATTCTAACAGCTCCTTACAGGCCAGATGGTTCGACAGATTGCCGAGCACTCTCACTATGTACAAGGCGTTGCCTGGGACCCATTGAACGAGTACGTGGCCACACAGTCTTCGGATAGATCGGTGCATATCTACGCTCTCAAGACAAAGGACGGCCAATTCACTTTGACAACGCATGGAAAGTTTTTGAAGATGGACCTTCCAGCGAAACGGGTAGCTTCGAGCAGCCCGGTGCCCGACTTTGGTGGAAACAGGGTTCAATCGACCTCGGGAAACCCTATGACTGTGTCCTCCCCTGGTGCTTCAACGCCAGGCACTCCCTTGACGGCTCCTCTGCCCATGGATCCGCCACCCGTGTCTCTCAGCCGCCGTTCCTCATTTGGTTCTTCACCATCAATCCGCAGGTCAGCATCTCCGGCGCCTTCTATGCCGTTACCTGCTGTGAAACCTCTCGAGGCTGCATCTCCGGGCCTTTTTGGTGGAATAGGCGTGAAGAACGCTAGCATTTATGCCAACGAGACCTTCAACTCTTTCTTCAGACGCTTGACATTTGCTCCAGACGGCAGCTTGCTCTTTACGCCAGCCGGACAGTACAAGGTTTCCCTTGCCGGTCAGAACGATAAGGTCGTGGAAGATATAATTAACACAGTCTACGTCTACACCCGCGCTGGTTTCAACAAACCGCCGATAGCTCATCTCCCTGGCCATAAAAAGCCGTCTGTTGCTGTTAAATGTTCCCCAGTATACTATACGTTGAGGCAAGGCACCAAGCCCACTCGACAGATATTTTTGGATTCCTCGTCCGGTGAAGAGGCATTCCCATCCCTCCCGGACTCTGTTATTTCTCAGCCAGCTATGGAGCCTCCATCCAGTGCTCCACCTTCAGCCACTAGCGAGACGGCACGTTCTTTTCCTCAACTGGGGACAAACGAAAATGACACCGGCTCACAGAACGCCCCTATTCCCCCAGTATTTGCGTTGCCGTATCGCATGGTCTACGCTGTTGCTACCCAAGATGCAGTTCTGGTATACGATACGCAGCAGCAGACACCGCTTTGTGTAGTAAATAACCTGCACTTTGCTACCTTTACCGATCTTTCCTGGTAGGCCCTTTCTTATCTATACTTTCCTCAATACCTAGTTTGATACTAACTAAAATATCAGGTCGCACGACGGGCTTACCCTTATAATGAGTTCCTCTGATGGATTCTGCTCATCGCTCTCCTTTTCTCCCGGAGAACTAGGCCAGGTGTACACTATGGAGAAGCCACATCCGATCTCGTCCAACGTGGGAGTGTCCTCAAATGCCCCCACTGTACAATCACCAATTTTGACTTCTCCCCGCAAAAATTCCGCTGGCAAGGCTTCTTTAGCGGCAATTGGAACCCCGGCGCCAACCCCAACCGCAGTCCCTGCCCGTGCAGCTAGCTCTGGTCCAGCCACACCTTCTTCGGCCACTTCCAAGGCAGCTAATGTTGTGAACAACCCAACTCCTATTCTTGGCACTGTACCCTCAGTCACTGCCACGAACTCTAGCCAGCCCTTTAGCACGCCACCGGAAACCCCCATGTCGTCCCATAGCGCTACCAATTCCATTAGTGGAAGTGTCTTGGGGAAGCGAGATATAAGCACGGTTAGCGAATCAGAGAAAGAAGACTCTCACGACAAGGACGAAGACGACCAAACAGGAAACAACGCCGCCCAGCGAGAGCCAAAGAGAAAACGAATTGCACCAACGCTGGTTTCTTCTGCAAGCTCAGGGATGCCAAACTCAGAAGATTCCAATAAGCCATCCAGCTAAAAGTAATATGTGAACGGGAAACGCCATCAAAAGAGTTGTGCTTTCTACCCAAGACGGGGCAAAATTGACTAAAAAGAATTGAATTCACCTCACTTGGCCTCCAATACCCCAACCACCTCTTGGCTCCTTATATCGGCTTCTTCCCAGCCAACCCCATACATTAACGTTCTATTATTCTGTCTTATCTTTGATGCCCCTTTTCCCTGCTTCTTCTTCGCCTTGTACATATGAGGGGTGTTATCAGGTCGCTCCATCTCACCCCGGCCCGTTTTCCTTTTTCTCTTTGTTCCCTTTATCAACCTCTCCTATCTCTACGTTACGGCTCCCTTTTCTCATCACTATCCAGAGTGCTTGAAACTGGCATTCCAAGTCTCGTCTATCTTTTATATCATAATCCCTATTACCGATGATATATCTTGTTTGGAGAAAGCTTCTCTTATCCTTCCGCTTCCCTTTTTTTCATTACCATGTTTGACTACAGTGATCCTTTATCCTTTTCCACTTTTTTTCTTTTTTGATCATCCTTAGTTTCATCCTCATGCTTCATACTTCATCTGCTATTTTGAACCGGTCCGTCTTGTAGCAGAGGCAGATGGATGGCTACCCTCTTCTCCGGGGGTTGGAATTGTTACCATTGGATTATTTTATGTAGGAAAGCTGCAACCTTGGAGTTGTCACTACAGGTTACCTCTAGTTAATGCTATTGACGTATTATTTGACATGAATGTATGTCTTGAGACTCTTTATTTCCTGGACAGCGGACGGGGGCGATTGTTATTCAATCGAAGAACGGTAAAAAAAGTAACTATTCCTTCTCCCTCCTTCCACGTGGGATTATCAATACATCTGCATGTGCATCAAAAGAAGCTGTACCGGAAAGGGATAAGAGATAAGAAACGAGTCTTTTCTTTTTTTTTTTTTTATATGTAGGTATAATATATAAAACCGAACTGGGCAGAGTAGACAGTAAAGAGGTGGTATTAATTTGCTAGGTATAAACAGAAGAAAAATATGAAAAGCACGAAATGAACAACAAAAGCAGTCATGATAAAGTAGAACAGAGCAAAAGAAATCTCATTGAACACGTCAAAGAGCAAAAGAACAAGCCACGGGAGCCTTAATGGATGCAAATATTACAGTCCCTTCGCTCATGACACCGGCTATCATCACACCAATTAAACAGACGAAAGCCGAGCAAAGCGTCAAGAAGAAAAAAGAAGTGGTCATGTCGCTACAAAAAATACATCAAGTTCTCCCGGCCTTGTGCAAGTAGATACGTCCAATAATTACAGGGAAGAAGAGGCGAAAAGTAAGATCCTAGGAAGCGTGGAAAGCCGGAAATGGTGTGCTGATAAGGGCACCTGGACCTGGGAAAGCGAGGCTTGCGAGATCGTTAATGATTGGCTGGTCGGGCATTATTGTTCGGTTTCATGGGAGGCTGGCGAGTCATGCGGGTGTCTGTTGGTCTAAGACAGCATGGCATGGCATGGCATGGCATGGGTTCTTGTCCTTGCCATGGAGTATGGATTGGCTGAGTTGGGAAGAGAATGGCGGGTGGTATTGCTTCATATATCGCAGCGTCGGTATTAGTTATCCGTCCCGTTTGAGGCTGCATGTTGGTTAAAGTAGGCGTACGCAATAAATTCCCAACCCTTGGTAAATTGTTTGTAGCACGAGGAAGAAGAGTGTGCAAGGCTGAAAAGGCCAGCAATTAGTGGAAGGAAATAAGAAGCGTCTGGCTCTTGAATTTTCTCTCTCTTTCTCCTCTCGTACGACAGTTAAGAGTAGACCTCTAGCGGGTGTGAATAGTAGGTAGGGTATCTTAGATCACTATCAATAACTCTGCGCAGAAACCATAGCAGGCTGGAGGGAAGCGAGTTAGTATTTATATTGCAGATACGATTTGCCGTTGTGAGAAACAGATTAATAGTCGACGGCGATGGAGGTTGAGAACTTACTGGACTGTTGAGGACGTTGTTTCTTTTATTTCTGCCTTTCTTTATGTGGTTCTTCAGAGCACTTGAATCGAGAGGCTTGAGCAGCTCGAAACTGCAGAGGAGTTCATCAGATACGGACATAATGGCTCCCCAATTGTCGAATGCGCCGCAATACTATGAAAACAGTTAGATGATGTTAATGCAATGTTAATGGGGGAGAAAGAGCAGCTTACATTAGGAGCAGAAAAAACAGTGACAAGGATGCGATCGTTAAAGAACTCATAGCCATCCTCGACAACCATATGTGCGCGACAAACAAGGTCGAAGTCATGTCTCTGCAAGAATTCCATAATGACCTTTTTACCAAAGCAATAACTTACGCCTCGTTCGTTAGGTTCCCAGTCCTCTTCCATTTCTGCTGGATCGCTCCATAGTAGATCATTCAATAGTCCATAATCAGGAACGTCAGTTGGTCGAGCGATACCGCGAATATCGTCCATGTGAGAAAGGCTGGGAGAGAGACCACCGTGAACGCAGAATATCTTGCCGGCAACAATAGCAGCGATGGGAAGGCAGTTGAACGTATCGACGAATGTTTTCCAAATCTTAATGTTGCATCGACGTTTGCACTCATCGTAGAATCCGTAAACTCGTGTAACATTGGCGCACTCATGATTTCCGCGAAGTAGGAAGAAATTCTCGGGGTATTTAAGCTTGTAGCAGAGTAAGAGAAGGATAGTCTCTAGAGATTGTTTCCCTCTGTCGACGTAGTCACCAAGGAAAAGATAGTTAGAATTTGGAGGGAACCCGCACATTTCGAAAAGTCTGATCAGGTCAGTGTATTGGCCATGAACATCGCCGACGATCTTCACTGGTGCTGAGAGCTCGAGTAAAGCTGGTTGTGTCAAGAGAAGTTCGCGAGCAGCGGTGCAGACGGCAATAATTTCAGCGTTTTTGAGACACACTGCTTTCGTGACTTTGGTGGAATAGCCAGCGTCAAGGAGTCGCGTTATCATATCGTCAACATCGATGGACTTGAGCGCTCCAATAGTCATGCCGGGGGATCCGTTGGTCCCATTCTGGTCTATTACTGACCTAGCGCCAGACTCGTTCAAGACGGGGTTGAGAGAATTCTCTCTCTTGATCAGGATGGACTCGCCGGCCTTTTGAGCAACGGTCGTTGGAGCAACATGTTGCGGACCAGCATCAGACACGTGGTCAACTTCTCCAGATTTTTGTGCGGCCTTGACATCCTTGTGGCCACGACCGATTGATGATGAATGTGGAGGAGAAGGTGGTGGGTTTGGCGCTTCATCCTGCAAATCGTCCTGTGAGTTGATAGGTGGAATTGGCATAGAAGAGCCAGAGAGGTTGCGGGCATGTCGCGAAATGGAGGAGCGAGCAAACGCAGCGTCTAACCCTTCGGGAGGAGCACTGTCTGAGCGCGCAAGGGTTCCATTAGAGGCCCTCGGGCTGTCCGTCTTATCACTTCTGCCACTTCCTGGTATCTTGGAGCGAATCGAGCCACGGATGGAACGGCTGGAGTCCTTGGTGTCGGATTTTGAGATCGAGGGATACGCTTGTAAGCCTTCGACCTGCAATCCTCCCCCATTCGACCGGGACACATTCTTCGATTGCTGCTGTCCCATGCTGAAGAGGACTTGTATCTTGGTCTTGTTTGTATCCTGCCCTGGTTTTCCTTTCGTTTCTCTCTCTCCTCTACTTTACCTTTCTTTGCTGTTTCAGGTTGCTTGAAGGAATGACCGTTAAGGTGGCTCGAAGAGGGTGGAGATGAAGCAGAGGAAACTAGCCTCTACAAATGAGGTAGTGTGCGACAGTATCTTGCAAGACTTGATGGTGGACGTGAGACGGTCGTCCAGGTTATTGTGAGGAGGAGGAAGAGGAGCACGACGACGGTAAAATGGCTCCAGGTTCGTAGATTTAACCGCTCGTCTGAGCAAGGATGAAGACAGTGGGAACGCAAGAGAAAGTAACGCCTTTTGACGGGGGTGGCAGGGTCAGGATCTGGGCACTATAAGGATTTTCCAGCGGTATCTACGGGTAGTGGCGAGTTAGTTTCAGGTCCACAAAGAAGCAACCAGCGTCTCCGGCAGGCGATCCGCGGACGAGCGAGCGCTGGCAGACAGCAGGATGGCCGTGGACTGATTCCCGCCGGGCTGTGTATGTGTTACGCACCTATCTGGCGGCGAGAGAGCAGGGAGGAGGGGCGGTGGTGGAAGGCCCAGAGAGATAAAGGGACTCAAGTTGAGCAGGGGCAAAGCTGCAGACCAACTTGCGGGTACAGAAGGGTCCTAAGGAGTGTCGGCAGACATTAGACGTAGCAAAACACGGAGTCCGCGGCAGGTTTCGTCGTCGGCGTCGTCGTCGTCTTCTCCTTCTTGTGCGTAAGAAGCTGAACGGGTGGCTTGCTGGTGGGCGTTCTTGGTGACGGCTTGGACGGAGGTTGAGTTGAGGGCGAGAAGTTCGGCGATGGTTTTTCCCTTTCAAGATAAAGTCGAGATGCGGGAGCGAAAAAAGGCAAAAGAAAAAAAAAAAAAAATCCAAAAAGGGCGGACAGGCCGGCGCCGGAATTTCGTTTTGCCGAAGCGCGCGTGGCGACCGTCGACCTAGGTTATTTTGACCTTTGAAGATATCAAGATGGGACGAGACAGACAGAGATGGCGAGAGAGCGCGACGACGGGACGAGGGCGAGAACAGGAACGGTGACGGCGGTGGTGAAGACGAGGAGTCAGTGAGGACGGGCGTCAGCCTTATGGCGAGGTCTCACAGCGCCAGGGCTTGCAGGCAGCGGCAGGGAGTACAGAAGTGCACAGCAAAGACACGTATATAATAAGCCAGCTATCGACTCTACTGATGGAGCACGGAATACGGAGTACGGATGCTATCCTTCGGCCTGGAAGCTCGATAAGCAGATATATATACCTGCTCTGTCTATCAGTCGTCTCGTGTATCAGAAGCTGCTTGAGCTCCATGTTGTTGCTGATTCTGACGATCTAAAAGCAATATACGTGCCCCCAACCAGTTCGTCCAATGTGATGCTCGCTTATCGTCCCGAAGTGCGAATCACAGTGGACGCTAACTTTCAGTTTCATCAAATGGCCTGTTGCTGCTGAGGCCTGGCCAGGACTAGTCCAGCAACGGCTGCAGATCCATCGCGAGGGTCACTGTTCCTCCACGATAACTGGATATCTGGGACGTGTTCCCGCAAAGTTTATTGTTCCGACTGAAGAGACGAAAAAGGCGACAAAGACTCGAGATCATATTTTATGGAGTACTGTCTGCATTTCCCCAATACCTATTGTCGGTCTAGATATATTCGATTACTACACCCGTTCTGCGCAGTCCTTTGCAAGTAATACATTCGCCACATTTATGCGGGTCGATATCGTGGCAGCCTCCTTTGGTGTGACCTGAGCGTTCAAGGAGAAAAAAAAAAAAACACCTCTCCATGGACTCGGCGTGCAGAGAAGCTCACACACTCCAGGCTGCCGTTTTGGGCTGTGCGTAGCTATATCGGATGCACCCTATGTTCCAGCCAGCAGTCCTGCGGAACGTGGTTCCTGCTGATCGGTTCCTCCATGTTATTTCATTCCTTTTTTCGCCCTTGGGTCTCTGTGACAATAATTTTCCCTACTCTTCCCGTCCTTGTTTCTCCCCCGCCGCACGTCAAGGCGCACAAAACACCCCAGTCCGGCTTTCTTGGCTTTTTATGCACCCGTGTGATTCAACCCACTTCGCCGCTGTCGGAGCGTGATAAAAAAAGGGAGGTGTCTCTCGAGTTGCCTTATTTGTTTTATGGTCAATGTTGAGACACTGACCATCGCTCTCAGCCACCGTGTGCACCTGTTGTAGGTTTATCAAGCTCAATCTTTGTGATGTGCTGGCCCGGAATCACAACCAGCCCAATGAACCGCCGGGACATGTCAGTATTAAGATCGAGTGGTTCGTTGCAGGCCGCCTTCGGGCCTTCCATCTCATCCGAAGAGGCTTGTTCAGCAGGAGCTGGCTCTGTTGGGCAGCGATACTCATGCGTGGTGCTCAGTATCATATTTCGGTCCTATATATAACACAATATCCAGAGTTTAATCATCCGCAAGTCCCAATGTCGAACCTGAGGAATGTCACAGGTTTACCCACGTTATCTGTGCATTTGAACAAACCTACGAACACTCGCGAGTCCGAGGTGTGTACACGGAGGACCTTGTCCACCAGGCTCTCAAGGTACTCCCGCGCTTCGTCTCTCTCCATTGCAACCTGCTGTCTCGTATGCCCCTTGTCTAATTATTCCTCGTCGTCGTTGTCACCGGTTATGTCGAATTTGGCATTTGTCTCCAGTGTCGTGTTTCTCTCCTATCGAGAATCTTGGCGCCTGTCCGCTCAAAAGGTGAGTCACGTGAAACATTATTTAGTGCAAAGCTTGGCTTCTTTGTGCATAAAATTATGCGCATTGAGATAACTAACTCGTACTGAGCAACGGTGAGCCGAGTCGAAGGACGAGGAGACAGGGACAGGAGCGAAGAAGCGGAGAAGAAAGTTGATAGGCAGGTAATCTGGGGCACCCTGGGGTAGACCCAATATATTGACACCTGCGTCCCTTTTTAAGATTGATGGGTTTGACCGGGGAGAGATGCTTAATCACTGCATGCATCATCATGGTCACTACGGAGTACTATGTACAAACTTCCCACATTTCCATACCAACACCACAGAGAACAAGGTGCTCCCTGTCTTGTCCGCTGGCTGTCACTGTGAATTGATCTATTGCGGACAGATCGGCCACGGCGGTGTACACATCACCCTGCAGAGATACCTGAACATCCCCGTCTACACTATCAACCAATGCAGACCATAGTTTGATCCTTTGGTCATTCCCGCTTGATGCGACAAGGAATTCAACCATCCTTTTATCCGCTCCATGTTCAATCCGCCGCACCTGGCTGATGGCATTGATTGCCGAAGCATGCGCATCTGGATACGAAGCCGTTGAGAAGCGGCTGATAAGGCTCGGACGGGGCCCGGAGGTTGAAGACTCCGAGAATCTGAGGGTCGAAAAAGCGAGGCAATTATCATCTCCACCAGTGATGAGCAGGACTTGTGCCCCTGATAGCGGGAGCAGCTCCATTGCCTTTATGCTGCTCTGGTGTGCGGGTCTACGATCCCCCCATTTGATCGGCACCGGCTCGGCAGGGAACGGTACGGCATCCCTGCGCCTGATAGATCTGCCGCCTAAATCAAAATATGGCTTGATCGATGGTGTTAAATCCCAAACTGCTATGTGTCCATCTGTCGACCCTGTGATAAGTTGCAGCTCAGAACCCGACATCACTAGCCGGATTTGTGTAAGGCAGTTGCTTGTGTATACCCCCTGCGCTAGGAGTGTAAACTCTCCACCTTCTGCAGACGACAAATAGTGAAATACCTGTGGGGTCCTTCCCGTTAACGTCATGTTACATAGGCGTTCAGAAGTAAATTGGGGGTTTCATTTACCTTTGCAGTCGAATTAGAGTAGGCCATGGCGATCAGGAATGATTCATGCCCGCTATCATCTGCTGTGACGTTGATAACTTCGAAATGCGTTGTCCGTAGATCAGAATTCGCTCGAGACTTAGGAGCTTCACTTTCGTTCAAAACACCGATCCCAAATCCAGGTATCCATCTAATCCTCCAGACATAGAACTCCTCCCTTCCGGCACTACTGAACAAAAATCTGCCGCTCGTTGACCATTGGAGGTGCTGCAAGCCTGCGCTATGTTTCTTGATGGCTCGTATGGAACGAAAGCCACCATTCCCTTCTGCCCCTTCTTTAAGCGTGAAGAAACGTATTTCGGTATCTTCAGCGCCGGTTGCAAGTACCGTCCATGGGGCTTTAGCGCTGTCAACCTGCATTTTGGATATTGACATGGCTTTTATTTCCCTGCCATGTCCCCCTTGTCTTACGCGGCGATGACACTGGAATTGCTCTGACATAATATTAAAAGTCGATGCCTTAATCCACAAGAGCACATGGCCCATATTCCCGAAATGGTATGTCCATCTTCTATGAGCACCTCCACATTCAACTGACAAGATTTCTGTCTGAGTTGTCTCATCCCACAAAATGAAATATGTGCTTCGGAAACCCCATAGTATCAGGTGTCCTGTCTTAGGATCTAGTCTTGAACCCTCAATATACGGACCGAATGGGGCACTTATCCGGTGAAGTGTTTCCATCTTGAACTGAATACCCGACCTATCAAGTCGATGGATGCAATAGATTCCATCCCTTCCCGTTGTAATAAGATCCACAAAACCTAAGTTTTGGTCTTCCCGCAGGTAAGTGATGGACGTGACTGCATCCTTTTTGTGCGTTGGGAAGACACATAACGGATCTTCTGGCATTTCTCTCTGTAATTCAGAGCTAAAACGAAACACGACAATGTCTCCCCATCTAGCACCAAGGATCAGCAATGACATCGAGGGAATTGAAAGAGCACTTGAGACCACAAATTCTGCTGGCAATGCAAGTTTTTGATTTGCAAGGACTTTAGGGGATGGCGAAGTCTCAATAATAAAAAGGTTGGCGTGTGAAAATGCCCTAGAGCTGCTGATAAATGTAACGGGGCAGGTATCATTGCCATCATAGCCCTTGGGGGGTTGGATGACGAAGATATCGGATATCCCTTGGCCTATATCTGCGAGCTCCTCCACACGTCTTTCTTTGTGACTGTACCATAATAGTCGCCCAGTACTCGTGCCGATTAGACCAATCTCCCTCTCTGGAATGCCAGTTATTGCGCTGTAGGAACCTACTCCCCCAATCGTAGGAATGGTGCTCCACTGTAGCACGCTTCCGTCCTGTGATCGTATATCCTGCGGCTCAGCTGTGGAAACCTGACCAAGGAGAGCAACTCCTTCAGTAAATGGCGCGATAAAAGAATCTTCTGAAACAAATCCAAAGGAGTTTATTTTGCCATCATTTCTAGGATTCTTTGTGTGCCCATCGCTCACAACAGGGTGGTTGTTAATGCGAAGGAATTCATCATAAACTCTGCCATAGGTATAAGTCTCTGCCCTTCTTCCGGGAATATACGCTCCAGTTAGCTGTGGAACGATAAGGGATGATATATTGCTATCAGCCCCTCCAGTGAGCACAACAAATGAACCCATATTTTCCATAACATCCATGGACCATATATTTTTACCCACATGGTAGGAATGAGATGATATTGGCTTCAAGGTAGTCTGGCTTTTCCGTAGTATATATTTATCATTGACGAGTTCATATTTCGTTGTGAGGTTCCAAACGACCGAGGTGCAATCCTCGGACCTAGATATCAAGTTGAAGGTGATGTAGTCATCAGAGACCTCGAAGTCAAGAAATCGAATCCCCCATATACGTGCTTCATGGCCATATTCTTTCGCAAGACAGAATTCTTGCGCCACAGATGTTTCATCGGCCGGAGTTATATAGAATCCAGTTCCACGGCTATTTGTGTTGGTTTCGCAGGCTGATAATTCATCGTTGCTGGAGAACCCTTGGTCGTACGAAGATATATCCCAGATACGGACAGTTCTATCGTCACTGCAGCTGGCAACAAATTTTTTCGTTGTCTGTCCACCGTTTATCGGTATGTCTGGGGAAATATCCACCCCGAATATTGAGCCTTCATGGCCAGTGAAAAAGTGGTTGATGGTTATAGAATCATCGGCTTGCTGGCATGGATCTGAATCCAGCGCTAATTGACAGGACCATATTATTATCTCGCCGAATACTGTTCCAGCAGCAACAAGGACGCGGTTGGAGCTCCAGGTGATATCAGCAGAGTATAGAATAGGTCTCAGATTCGATCCTAGTTCATGTAATTGGATAATGTTTTCATCACCCTGTTCAGTTTTGTGGAGGAGGAATGTAAGGGTAAAAACTACGTTATGTGCAGTAATTAATAATCCCTTGATAGCCCCTTTATTTTCGGCGCTGGTACTAGGAACGGTTGTATCCAAAATCCAATCTGGCGCACGACATTCACCGCTTCCTGCCAATAGAGATGCATTTTCTGTTTCCTCTGATCCTTGCAAATGTAACTTAACGATTCGAAGAGAATATCCTCCCCACACTAGGAAACTGGAGGTATAATCGTTGCCATCCCTCCAGCACTCTTCAATCGCCTGGATTCCATGAACAGTATTCCGTTCAAACACTCGGAATCGATCGAGCAAGATGCCATTGGATTCATCAAGTAGTTGAACAAATGGTCCACTACCATTAAGTAGCAATCTTCTGCCGGGTATATTAACATGTTTAAGGGCCGTTATGGGAAGGCATGTGTCATGGTTCTGTGATACTTTTAGTACAAAAAGCACAAAATTAAAGCGAGGAGGGATAGCTTGGAGATTCACCTTGATTGAGCATGACATTGATGCTAATTATGTATACAACAAAAATTCCTATGAAATGGTACCTTATTCATATCAATAATTTATCCTATAACCAACCCTCTGCCCCTCCAGGAAATTATCAATTTTCATGTTCAATTTTGGAGGGGAACAAGGTTTGAGTGCAAAACAAGGTTTAGAGCCTCATATAAACATGTGATCACGCGTCTCCATGATGACTAAGCTGGTGCCTTGAACTAACAGGCTGAAGTGGCTGAAGCTTCGGTCTTCTCGACTCATGTTCACTTCATCCACGAAGACTCTATCTATCTAGAGACAGGCACGGGAGTACAAGCTGTGATGTTGGCAAGCATTGTGCTGTACGTGTCAATACTGCCGCTGGCTATACGTCATGGGTGTGACCGGTCTTTGGACGGTCGTAAAGCCTTGCGCGCGGCTTATCAAACTTGAAACCCTTAACAAGAGGAGGCTCGCCATCGATGCATCTATATGGATATACCAATTTCTCAAAGCCGTACGTGATAAAGAGGGCAATGCTCTACGAAATGCACATATCGTTGGGTTTTTCAGGCGAATATGCAAACTACTCTATTTTGGCATTAAGCCGGTCTTCGTTTTTGACGGTGGTGCACCGATACTTAAGCGGCAGACGATTGCAAACCGAAAGAGACGCAGAGAAGGAAGAAGAGAAGATGCTGCAAGAACTGCTAGCAAATTGTTGGCCATTCAAATCCAAAGGCAGGCTGAGGAGGAAGCAGCAAGAAGAAAAACAAAGTCTCAACATGAACCGCAAGAGGAGGAACAGCTGCCAGACGAATTAGTCTATGCTGAAGAAATCCTAATGACCAAGGCAGAGAGGCAAAGAAATAGACCGTTTAGGAAAACTGATGCGTATCATCTTCCAGAGCTGGAGATGTCTCTAGCAGAGATGGGCGCACCGAATGACCCTAGGATCATGTCACACGAAGAACTGGAAGCTTACGCACAGCAGTTTAAGTCTGGTGAAAATATCAATCTCTATGATTTTTCAAAAATTGACTTTGATGGGCCATTTTTCCTTAGCCTACCCGCTAGCGATCGGTATAATATACTGAACGCTGCCAGGCTTCGAAGCAGGCTACGAATGGGGTATTCTAAAGACCAGCTAGACACCATGTTTCCGGATCGCATGGCCTTTTCCAGATTCCAAATAGAGCGAGTGGCTGAGCGTAATAGCCTTACTCAACGCCTCATGAATCTCAATGGGATGAATGGTGATAATCTTGCTTATGGAAGCGGGTCTTCCCGAGTTGCTGGAGAGAGAGACAGGGAGTACATACTAGTGAAAGACAGTGGAGTCGAAGGTGGATGGGCTCTAGGTGTTTTGGGTAATAAAGAAGGCTCTTCTATAAACAAGCCCATTGAAGTAGATAAACAGGAGGAAAGCCATTTGCTGGACGACGATGATGAGGGCGAAGAGTTCGAGGACGTACCAATTGAAGGCCTCAATCGCCTTCCAAAGCTGCCGATATTTGAACCAGGTGTATTCGACGAGTCTATCGCACAACAGCGCCGCACACAGTTGGCGACGGACGCGATGGAAGCCACTGAAGGTGGTGTGGACGATGCCTTGTTTGTTGATGATGGGGCAGAAGCAGAGGCTGCTGGGGTTGATGAACTTTTCGAGCATTTAGAAGCCGAAGAAGCTAAAGATCTTTCCAGAGCAATTGACTTATCCCTGGAAGATATACCTGAAGCCGATCATCCTGTACTTGAAGAGTGGGTAGGAAGAGCTACCACCAGTGACCCAACCAATGTGAAAGATATCCCAAGCCAGTCAGATAGTGATGATGATATGGAGTTCTTCTCTGCCTTGGCCAAATCTAAGGTTACAAAACAACCAGCGAGTAACACCCAGCCTTCGCACCCATTCTCTGGCCCGCTACCATTTGAACCGCTGAGGGTAATCAGGGGTCCGCAGGAACCTCTTAGCGCGAATAAAGTCCCAGAAGATACAGATGCTGGAGATTTTGAGATTTCTGAACCCAAAGGAAAAGAAGCCCAACCGCTTCCTCCTTGGTTTACGGGTCCATCTGAACAAAAGGAGTTCATATCAAAAGAGGAGTCTCAAGTTAAGAACTACCACCAGTCATTACAAACTAGCAATATTCTCTCTCGCTCAAATGCGATAGATATAACAGATAGCGACGACGATAAGGGCGCCGAGAACGAAGTCATTGACCTGGCATCTCCCACGCCGAGTGGCAGTGCCCAGCTACCGACCTCCCCGGTGAAATTGCAGGATGAAAAAACCATGACCACTGACCACTCACTAAGCACTGCCAGTCACATTTCTCCTGATGTACCAGAAGATACCACATTGAAGTCAATATCTGAGGAAGTTGAAGGGATTCGCCAACCTCAAAAGTTGTCTAAATCCAGCGAAGATGTACCCAGCACCATGCCTATGCCACTAAGCCTTGGGGCTAGAGATGAAGTTACACAGACTCTGCCTTCTGGCCCTTCGACTTTCAATGTGGAAGCTGAAGGCTCGGAGAACCAATTGGGAGGGTATCCTGACGCGGATGACGAGTATTCCGATCCAGAAGATGACGAACTGATGTATCAGCTGGCTATGGAAGCTGAGGAGCATGCCCGCTTTGCTTCAACTTTGAATTCTAAGAGTCAAGCTGAAAATGCTTTTGACTATGAGCAGGAACTGAAGCAACTTCGTTCCCAACAGAAGAAGGATAGACGGGATGCTGATGAAGTATCTCAAATCATGGTTACAGAATGTCAGCAATTACTACGATTATTTGGGCTTCCGTACATTACGGCTCCAATGGAAGCTGAGGCACAATGTGCGGAACTCGTGGCTTTAGGGCTAGTTGACGGTATCGTCACAGACGATAGCGATACATTTTTATTTGGAGGCACCCGGATCTACAAAAACATGTTCAACCAATCGAAATATGTGGAGTGCTATCTTTCAAGCGACCTAGAGAAGGAATACACATTGGATAGGAAAAAGCTCGTCAGCTTTTCCCACTTGCTAGGGAGTGACTATACGGAGGGGATTCCAGGCATAGGTCCTGTGACGGCGCTTGAGATACTCACGGAATTTTCGGACTTGGAAGAGTTCAAGGACTGGTGGTCACAAGTCCAGTTAGGAAATAAAATCCCCGATGATCCCCATGCAGGGTTCCGCAAGAAGTTTAAAAAGAATATCACGAAGCTATTTTTACCTCCAGGTTTCCCAGACAAAGCGGTTGAGAAGGCTTATCTGGAGCCCGAGGTAGATTCCGATCCCTCTGAGTTTAAATGGGGAGTTCCTGATTTGGATGCTGTGAGACAATTCCTAATGGCAACAGTCGGATGGTCACCAGAACGGACCGATGAAGTCCTCGTCCCCGTAATACGGGATGCAAACCGAAGAGAGCAGGAGGGTACCCAATCAAATATAACTGGGTTCTTCCAAGGCCCTCAGGGCGCAGGAGCCTTTGCCCCTCGACAGCGGACTGCAGGCAAAAGTCGTATTGAAAAAGCTTTTGGAAGGTTGAGGAACCAAGCAGAAGCAAAACAAACAACTTTGGGCTCGTCCATCGACGAGGACACCAATTCAGCTGAAAGAGTTGTTGGAAGTGATGATAATGCCTCTGCAGCATCGAGACGACGGACCAGAGCCACCGACACATCCATCGATGTAGACGATGAAACTGCCAGCAAGCAGCCCCCACGCAAGGCCAGGAAAAAAGCAAAAGACACGAGGATATAATTGTACTTGGATATGAATAAGAGCTTCAGCGGCAATTTGTACAGCCACCCTCACTTATCAATTGACTTTTTGAGCAGCTCACGGATAATTCTCCGATGATCTGCACGAATGAGAAGCCAGCACAGCTGTTCTAGATTGAACTACCAAATGTAAATCCCCGTCTCCGTTTCAGATTCATTCACAATGTTGGCAGTCCCGGTGGAGACATGACGTAGAAAAGCGATGTGACGTTTGATGGGCTGCAACTTGAGTCTGGCGGAGGGACGGTGGGCGAAAGTAGAGACAAGCCACTCTCCTGCAAGGGGCCCCCCTAATAGTAACTTCGCTCCTTTGTATCCCTACAGATACCAAACTGTCAAATCGAACAAAGCCGCTTGTGTGACAGACCGTGGAAGCGGCTGAAAGGAGGGATATGCTGAGTCATCAACGACGTCATCATCCTTCCGAATATTTAATAACAAAACAAACGCCCAACTCTTCCCACCCAAGCTCAAACACCCAACATCGCCTCCAGACGTCCGCCGGTCCCTTGCAACGATACCGCACCCTGATTAACCGATTATACCGCCAATTGCTACCGCTGGAATACTGCTGCTGAGGCTGCAAAGTCACTCTCTATCACTCTCTGCGCCGCTGACAGCAGAAGGCCGTTGATTTCGTCGATTTCCTTCCGTTCCTTCCTATAGCACAGGCAAGAAGAAGGAGGATTGGAGGAATTTACGGCGCTATACAGTCGTCTGCTTTCCGTTGACTGATTGGCATTTTTGATTCCTATTTCTTTCGTTACTGTTTGGATTCTTCATACGTGCTGCCGTTCAATATGCACCGAACCTATTCTTTGCGCCAGACTCGTGCGCCCACTGCTTCCCAAATTGAGAGCCCCCCGCCACCCATCTCGTCGACCAAGACCAACAGACTTTTTGGGAACACAAGCCTTGGTATGTTTTGCTTGTTCTCTGGCGAAAGGATTCGCTTTGCTGCATCTCCAGACTTGCCTGGGACATACCAAGGAGCCCTCGATTGGTAGAGGGAAAATATACCAATAATGACATAGCTTATATCCCTGGTATATCCCCCGGCTAACGATATACTCTTCTTTAGGCCATGCTTTCCGCAAAACAGCCGCCGGCAGTTTTGGCCCTGATCTCGCCAAGAAGCTTTCACAACTTGTGAAGATGGAGAAAAATGTCATGCGCAGTATGGAATTGGTCGGCAGAGAGCGAATGGATGTTGCAGTACGTCTCCCACTGGCGAATACCCAAATGCATGGCATAGATTCTAACCTAGCTGGTAGCAACAACTATCTCTGTGGGGGGAAGGCTGTGATGACGATGTTTCTGATATCACTGACAAACTTGGGGTCCTAATATATGAAATTGGCGAGCTGGAAGACCAATTCATCGATCGGTACGACCAATATCGGGTAACAATCAAGAGTATCCGTAACATTGAAGCTTCCGTTCAACCCAGCAGAGACCGTGAGTCTATTCTTATTCTGCTTTCCGTCACACGCCATCTTACTAACTCCACGCTAGGCAAACAAAAGATCACTGATCAGATTGCGCAGCTTAAATACAAGGATCCTAACTCACCCCGCCTGGTCGTATTAGAGCAAGAGCTTGTCCGAGCTGAAGCAGAATCTCTTGTTGCTGAAGCGCAACTTTCAAATATTACCCGCGAGAAAGTCAAGGCTGCCTTCAACTACCAGTTTGACGCCTTGAGGGAGCACTGTGAGAAATTAGCAATTATTGCAGGCTACGGAAAGCACCTTGTTGAACTGATTGATGACACGCCCGTTACCCCTGGCGAAACACGAGCAGCTTATGACGGATATGATGCCAGCAAAGCTATAATCCAAGACTGTGAGGACGCATTGACAAATTGGGTCTCGTCCGGCGCGGCAGTTCACTCAAAGCTTTCCACACGGTCTCGAACTTTATCCCAACGAAGGCGGAACAACATCTCAAAAGCTCGTGCTGATGGAGGAGGCATGGGCAGCCATGAACAGTCAATGCGTGGAGATCGTGACTCTTGGGTGCCAGCGGAGCAACACCCCAATTATACCCCGTCACAAGCAGAGGACGATGATATCTATGAAGATGATGAGGTTGTCCAGAATGGTGATGCAGTGAGAGAGGAGGAGAGAGCACAAGTTGCTGCGTAAAGCAGCTTGTGTGATCTTACCTTGCCCCACCTAACCTCCTCTTGCTTATACCCTAAAGATTTCTGTAAAGCCTTGCTTCGAATCACCCGCCCATTAGGAACCAACTCAGTGACATGATCCCACACGAACTTAATACCCATTGTTGTCCCTGATGTGTAAAGAACACGTTGCTCACCTGTGTATCATTGTCTTTCGTCTTATGTCTTTGAGCTACTGCTTTTGGAGCTGGTCATAGGTAAAGTGAGTACCGAGTGGCTACATGAGTGGTGTAATTCCAGTGGGGATATACTACTTTCCTCCGCAGTTGCCAACTAGCCCAAGTACTCGAATCCTTAAAAGATGTGTCATTGTTGGCTGTTTTTTATGTATGGGTTTGCACCATTAGTGCCCTTTTAATGTTAATGTTGTAATGTCATATCTAAAGTAGCTGCAAATGAGCCAGCGGTTTGAAAATTAAAAGTATTGTTAAATGGAATATCCAGCCTCTTTGCTGCCAATTTGTGTGCACGCCTTTTAGGTTGACCTGATTCCCTCGTATCTAATATCATTGAATCACAGCAACTGGCACCTAGTGTACTGGTTATGGATGTATCTTAGGTAAATAGCTGATGTGAAGGGGTCCATATTCTACTTTTTTTGATATCCCCCGTTAAATTTTTGGTAACATGTTGCTACAAGCTAGCAGACAATTACCCTACATATATATCCTCCATGGAAGCCTACTAAGGGAGAGTTATAGGGGGTATAAAGGAATAACTCCTGAAATTATACCTGTCTGGCTTTCCCAATATAATCTATGAAGTGTTTTTCTCATGGAACAGTAACACAATAACAAGAATCTGCCAACGAGGCATTGTTTGTATATAATTAATATACTATCTGCATGGACTACAGCTATGTATAGAGAAGTTGACTGACGTGAGAGAAAGATATCCAGACAAAATAACTGGTAGCTGGCGGATGTTATTTGGCTGGCCTTGACTGAATACGTACACAGCGGGATTCTCGTTCTAACAGGCAGTTAGTTGTGGCTGTATATTAGGATTATTCTACAGCTATGGCTCCTCATCTAGTTACACACTCCATATCCGAACCTTGATTTCTTCCCAGACTCCTACGTACGTTAACGCTGCTACCGCTCCCGGTCCCTTCTTCGTGCGCTATACTTGTTCTCATGGCGAACACAGCATCCGCACCCAAGAGAACAATGGCCATAGTACAAGCTTTTATCAGGATAAAGGCCGCGCGGTTTTAAACAACACTGGCAGGACCTTGCGCAGCACCCACCCCGTGTCTTGCAAAGCTGCACCAGACGTCTCTGTGACAGATATTTGGCTGGATTGTTGGCTAAAATTTGGTCCTTTCTAGACAGAGAGATACCATATTGCCGGGAGATTGGGCCGTCAGGTTGGTTTAGGTATCTTTCGTGCATTTCCTTCTGGATTGTCCAAGTTTTATAGCCCGCATCTCGTAGCTTCTCTTTCCAGTGCCTAGGACCGGAGTAAAGCGGCTTTATAGTCTGCCCAAGCTTCCCTTCAATTGCACGCTAGATAAAGAGCTCCCTGAGGAAGATGTTTCTTGTAGCAAGAAGTCGTGATTATTGAACGTTTCATCCATTTCCTCAATCCACTTTACCTGTTTGTCATAGTTCTCCGGGATTTGGAACCATCCTTTGACTTTCCGAAGTAGGTCAGAGATGTAGAATATTCCTAAGTCGTCAAACATCTGTTCGATGGTTGGGCCAATGCCCAATGATAATTTGAACAAGTGCAGAGAAAAATACTTCCTTTTTGGCTTTCGGTGACCATTCTCAATGTTGCGTAGGTGTCAATTATTAACAAATATGCCTTGGGTTGTAGGGTATTGAGGTGTCCGGACGGATGAAGAAAAAGCGGAAAAATCCAGGTGTGTAAGCGCTTTTATATTACCCAAGTGGCGCAATATATCTGATCAGACGAGTCGAAGTGCAAACTGTATGACGTTGCAGTTGCATTCGACAATTTGTTGATTAACCCAAGCGCCACATTAGGCAATGCATCATATATCTATCCGTGGCGTGCTGTGGGTAGCAATCGAGCACCGTTTATCTTGATTGCCATCGTGTAGTTTAAAACGGGTAGTAAGAGGCGTTATGCCGGCAATCCTCTAATTAAATAATATAATTTAGTAGTAAATGGGAAGATGCAAATAACCTATATAGATCCCCATGCTAATTCCCAAACCCAACAGATCCACACCAATTGCTGATCAAGTCGTTATTCATTTATACAACGCTGACATACCAAAAACAATGCAATGCCCTAGTTCACTTATGCATGGAACACTCTCTTCTCAACGGCTTTCACTGTGGCTCTTAACAGACCACCGCCAAAACTCTGGTTGGGCTTTTCCATCAGTTTGGTCAAGAGATCATTCATACGCAAATCATGCGTTTGGGAATCATTGGAGGGTTCAAATCCATATACTGTGCTTGCAGCGGCATCAAAATCTACCCCAACGCCAATATTTGGACCGTCAGCATATTTGTCAAGAGCTTTTGGCTTTGCAATGAAGTCAATATCAACCCTTGCTCGTTCTCCTTGTTTCTTCTTTAGTTGATTGACTTTCTCTGGTGAGATTTTGTCTTTTATGTTGCCTAGCAGAGTGCAGCGAATTTTCAACTGCATGGGCTCAGATTGCCTGGTCCCTATTGGTTTGATGCTAACAATTCCGCAATATCCTAGCATTCTAATTTCTTCTTGCAAAGACTTTGCAGTCTCCCAACATCTCGCAATGCCACTCAGCAATTGCTTCAACGAAACGGGGGATAGCAAAGCATAGGAAACCTGCATGCGTATAGCATTAAGGATTAAAGAAGCTCCTGGGCTAGGATTTACAGCGGCATATTGCGGCCCATTTCCCTTGGGGGCATATGTCAAGGTCAAGGGCAAGGTATCGTGCTGAGGGGCTTGTCGTTCACCCTTGATTAAATTTTGTGAAAGGGCGTGAATATGGCTTGGATTACAGTCGAGTTGAAGCTCTCCGCCATACCGCATCGAGAGAGTAGTGCCTTTCACAACATCCATGCTTGGTTTTGCAGAGATGATAGTCCAACCAGTCTGTTTCTCTAGAGAGTGAACAGAATCTGTGCAAGACTAGTCAGCTTATCAATTCTAGAGGGCAAATGTTGGGTTAAATGTATGGAAATCAGCTTACCCTGTAACACTCGGACCTCTTTCCCATCCCAACCACGGCATTCCTCTTTGATACTCTCAGCTTCGCGAATCTCTTGCAACAATTCTTCTTTTCGCGCTTGGGCTTTCTCTAGCAAGTCACTCTTCGTCTCAAGCCTACTCTGTGCCTGAGTGTATTTATCTTTGTAACCGGAGAGTTCGGTTTCAACAGCTAGAAGCTTCTTTCTGGCATCCCGCAGTTCCTCTTGGTCGCAGCTTTCGATTTCATCTATCACTTTCTGGAGATTTTGGGAATCAATCTTTAGCTTGTCATGCCTCTCAACTAAGCCGGGAACCACATTCGCCAGAATGTTTTCCTTCCTCGAGAGAATCGCATCGTCCTGCTTCATTTCGTCAAGATGCCGATCTAGACCTTGTTTCAAGCCTTCCAGTAGTTTCATTCGCCATTCATACCACATTTCCTTACTTAATAGCCGCGCGTGAGTTTTGACATTACGGAATTGATTATCCATCAATAGCCGAATATCCGGCGTGGCTGTGATATACTCCTGGAACAACGGGGGATTTTCCGCGTATGTCTCTGCTTCTATAGATCGGATGATGCGTCGACCTTCAGAAATATATGATTTAAGTTCTCGGCACGACTGTGAATTGCGTTAGTTGAGGGACATGATTTCTTCTAGACTCGAAGATCCCAAGTGGTGAGCTTACATGTTGGTATAACTCAAGCATCGGTAAAGTGCAGAATCCAGCAGCGACACGGTCCTCGAGGCCAAACTCCTTTGCCCCCTGCAGGCTCTCTGTACCACATTTTTCGGGGCTTCCAGGAGCAATGGTATGTCTTCGTTTCGTTGTTGTCAACTCCATAAAGTGTATATTGGTCATTTCAAGAAAGTCGGAAAGCTTTATTGGTTCAACTGGGGTGGTAATGCCTGCAGGTGAAATGTTATTCTCTTCCTTGGCCTCCTCCTGTATGGAAGCTTGGTCATTTGGAGTATGCACCACATTGTCCTTGGGAGAGGCGCTGTTTTTTGCAGGAGAAATATTTTTATCGATGAATGGCGACACATTCCTGTCATAATGGAGGGTTCGTTGACTAGGTCGACCAACAGTATCGGCGATTGAAGCGGGGGCGGGTAGCTTAATATTTTTAACCGGGCTAGCTTCCCTTCCTCGGAGGCGCTTTTGTGGTGTCAGATCTTCATCGGCATCTTCCATATCAAGCTCAGGGGGGCGTTTCCCGAGAAGACCTCTAGCTGCACCCACATGAAGGCTCTTGCGTCCTTTGAGCTTGTTTTTCTTTGGGGTAAGGCTTGAAATCAGTTCTCTTAAATTAAGAGTTGTCTCCTTTTCAGATTCTTGACTAGTCCTGGGGAAAGTATCCTCTTCATTCCCCTTTTCGTACTCTTGCCCAGTTTTTAACATATCATCAAACTTGACGCCTCGACTGGGAGTTGGTTTCAAAACAAACTCTTGGGCATCTTCCCCAATAGAGCGCCGTCTGTCTAATATTTCAGCAATTCGTGGCGAACCCCGTGCCTCGTTGATACCGTGAGAAGCATGGTTTAATGCTTTCAAAACAAAAGTTGGTGTCGATTGCCCTGTCAGCGAGTTTCTCTGGAACAAAGAAGCAGGTATAGCTTTGACAGGGGGCTGATTTGTTTGCGAAATATGTCGCTTTTGAGGTGATGCACTTCTTGACTTAGGTTTAATGGGGCTTCCTTCAGGGGTGGCAGGCGTTAGTTGCCTGACTGCACGTGGTGACCGTTGTTTCGAGAGAGTTGAATGGCCTTTGCCTGGAGATGACTGCTGGGACGTTGATCTTCTGGGAGAGCTAGATGGTTGTCGAGAAGTACTGTTCAACCTGGGTATCGCCCGCAATGGACTCCCACCTTCTGATGTGACCAGATCTGGATGTGGCGGCAACGGGGCTCTGGCAGGAGATGCAGGTATATTTTCTTGAAATGGGGAGCTTGGGGGGCCCTCTTCATATTCGTCAAATATCCTGTTCTTGCCCTTTAGGTTGTTGACCTGAAAGGGTGCAAGAATTTTGCCCACAGCGTTTGTCATATCCATCCCCATAGTCCCGTCATCGGAGGGCTCTGTTCGCTCTTCAATTGGGGGCAATATTCCACCGACCGCACCGGTCATCTCCATATCATCCTCTCCTAGATTAGGATATGTTATATCCCCTTCATCACCATGACTGTATTTTGGGTCTTCTTGAGATGCGTAATCATCTTTCCTTTCGAACTTTTGTTTGTTAAGGACCCCACCCAAGACGTTGGTAAACTCCATGGTCATTTCCTCATCCGTATCGACATTGCTCTCTGTGTCAGGCCTTCTAGGGGAGGCACTTTTGATACCGCCGATGACGTTTGTAAACTCCATTGTCTGGTCTCCAAGATTTGTTATGGCTGACGTTCGACGAGAGGCCTGTTGATAGCCATAGTTTTGGTAATTCGGATACGGACGGATCCCTTCACTGCTGCCGCTAGTTATATTGCTTTTCCTCCGAAGTATACCACCAACCGGTTTTGTAATGTCCATGCTCATATCTCCATCATCCTCGTTAACTTGAGCTGCTCTAATAGGATTTGACGCAGCCATTTTTGTGGAACCAATGTTCTCCTGGTCAAAGCGAGAGGTAAGGTCTTCAGCATCAAATTTTGCGCTCGATCCTTTTTTAACCCAGGGTTGAAAAGCACCAACAATTTCATGACCAGTGAACTCCATGGATAGATCTCCATTCTCGTCAAATTCGATACCTCTGGTGCCTGCCGCCAGAGCGGCTTTCTTCAACGATCGATCCAAACTACTAGAATTGGGGGAGGAGTCATTGGACTCGGACGAAAGAGGCTGTTCCGTAACGTTTTCCATGCTCATACTCGTGCTCTCATCTTCAGGCCCTGAGCTTAGCGAGTCACTCCCCATTTCCATATTTCCTTGGGGAAAACCAGTATCATTCTCAGCAGCGGAGCCACCACTGAAGGGGCTAGAAGAAAATGCTTCATCGGCCAGTTCTTCCAGATGAGCTGCTGATTGAGGTGGATTGGCGTCCTCAAGTTCATATTTTCCTGGTGAGGATGGTGGTTCAGACTCATCTGACCCCTGATTTCTGTGACCAGCCATCAACGAGGAATTCCTGCGAGTCGTATTAGCACCCGTGGAAGCGGTTGAATCTTCCATTAGCTCGACAACATTCCAAGTATGTAGCGTTGCCTCAGGCGCAAACGAAACTCGGCGATTCGCTAGAATAGAAAATTAGAACTATCATCAACAACGAATTCAAGGATATATTTGTTACCCATAGATTTCCTTCGTGCAGCTCGCTGTTCTAGGATTGCCTTCTTCTTCTCCCTCTCCCGCTCAATTCGTTCTTTTTCTTCCCTTTCTCTCTGTGCGGCCATGTCTTTGGCTCTAGACGGTGGTATCGGGTTGAAATTATCGAACGGGTTGATCAAACTGTCAGTACCGACAACTGGCACAGCGGGGGTCGAAAGGTCAATAAGATCATCATTCCCGGATGGTTTATGATTACTCCCAAAACCGTCACGATGTGGTGTTTTCCTGCGTGTTTCAGCAAAGCTTGGAATATGGCTTATTGGCGAGACGGGAATCGTCGGCTTCAGTATCGACTTCAATTGAACAGCGGCGGTAGACTAGTAAAGGAAGGTTAACTCTAGCCCAAAGGCGGACACACAAGCGTACAAAAACTGCGCACCTTTCTTCTATCATTGCCGCCATTTTTCAAGAGATCCAACCCTCCAGGTCCCAGACTCTTACTACGAGACCGCTTATCATTCCCCAATGCCCTAGAAGGTATATTGCTCTGCTTCTGAGCAGCACTGAAGTCCGTAGTCACATTCTCTTTGTCAATATCGATGCCGCTGCCTCTATGGGGCATCTGCGCTAGTGAGCGTCGAGCTCTCACGCGAGCAACGTTGCTCGGATCGCGGGTATAGGATGACATTGCAGCTCATATATCGCTCGGCAGGGCAAAATAACAAACGACAAAACCAAAAACGGGGATTCCCAAGATAATGAGCCAGCTTCCAGCGCCGTGCAATGACTTCACAGTCGTTTTCCCCTAAGCCGCATCCTGCGCCTCCAAGTCGAGATGTCTGTAGATGCTGTTGCCCCCCTGGAAAAACGAGCTTGAAGTCGCGTTAAAGATATCATATTACCGTATCGGGACTAGCGCTGTAAACAAAGCAAAAGCCCTAAGCCAAGATACGCTATACCGTATTTGGGATGGAGCCCTACTTTCTCTCCCACATTGGAAATTGGCGAGAAAAAAGATCGAAAGTCAAAGCCCGAAGGAAGATTCGACACTCTCTCGCACCTTTCGACGAACTTTGCGGACTCACGACGACGACCTTTCCGACCTTTCCAACCATAGCCCATTTACCCGCGCGAGCAGGAGTTGGAATACCGCAACCATGGCGACCGAGTTGACCGTCCAGTCGGAGCGTGCCTTTATGAAGCAGCCGCACATCTTCACCAACTCCAAAGTAAAGTCCAAGAGCAAGTCTGTCGGAAAGGGTGGACGAAGATGGTACAAGGACGTTGGTCTGGGCTTCAGGACACCAAAGACCGCCATTGAGGGAAACTACATTGGTATGCACACGGCAAAGGATTCAAACCTGGGACAATCGCGGTTTTTCTTGCAAGGGGTTTCGAGATAGGCACCGGACGGAGGTCCCAAGAAAAGAAAATGGAAAATGAGAATTTGAAGCGCCCATGCTTGTTCATGGAAGGGCTCGTTACTACAATGCGGACTGGCTGAGACTGAGAATACTCTGAAGCCCCCGTTCTGTGCCAATCTCGGGAACATACCTATAAGAATTACAATGACAAATGTCCTTGGACTAGAGAATTTGGAAGTCGATTCTAACGAGTTTATTCTTTATAGACAAGAAGTGCCCCTTCACTGGTCAGGTTTCCATCCGTGGCCGTATCTTGACCGGTACCGTTGTTTCCACCAAGATGCACCGTACCCTTGTCATCCGACGAGAATACCTCCACTACATCCCCAAGTACTCCCGTTACGAGAAGCGACACAAGAACCTCGCCGCTCACGTTTCCCCCGCCTTCCGTGTTGAAGAAGGTGACCAGGTCACCGTTGGCCAGTGCCGACCATTGAGCAAGACTGTACGTGTTTCCTGATGGAGCTGAGGATGTAATAATAGATCCGGAAAAGTTATAACTAACAATGCTACAGGTCCGATTCAACGTTCTCCGCGTTCTACCACGCACCGGCAAGGCCGTCAAGGCATTCCAGAAATTCTAAATCAGGGCATAATGGCGTGAATGGAAGGTTGTTTTGTCTACGTGCGCTGATGGACCCTTACTGCATGATATGATGGGATATATGGTGCCTTAGAAATCGTCAGGAGAAATCGAGATCAGTGGACTGGACAGGACAAGTGAGACAAAAAAAAATATGATACTCCAATTCAAACTTCAAGCCCTTGTTCTCCGTTCGATTTCTCTTGTACTCTTTTGACTTTGAAGAAGGAGCTCCTTATCGAGGGCAGCGTTTTAGCATGTCTTTTCAAGGGGCTAGATTCTAATTGGAGTTTGTCTAGCTTCCTGCGAAATGAAAACAGTTTTCATTTCCCTCGATGATAATTACCATCACAGTATCCGAATGAAACCATTTAATGTTCACACAAGTCATTTGACATAAATTTTAACACAGGTCCATCATTCTCCTTAACGAAAGAAATCAATCACCGCTACCATTTCAACATTGCTGCAATGCTTGCACGTTTCGTGGCGAATGGATCAGCTACTCCACTGGCCAAATCAATATCATCCCCCGCATCCTTTTGTACTTCGTCTTGACAATCAAATTCGGCGCTTTCATCTTCACGATCAGATTCAAGTTCTTCGTAGTATTGACCTGTTGCATCCTCCTCTTGCTCACTTTCAGTACTCTCTGCATCAGGAGGTGGGAGTTTGAGGCTGTAAGCGCTTATGAAACCTCGTTGAACACCTTGCAAAAACGCCGCACGTTTGTCTCCCGGAGATCTCCATGACCACTTTGTAGCAAATAACATCGCTAAAGTAGATATATGCGGCTGTGGAACATTGAGTAACTTTAAAAACTGACCCACAGACCGTCCAGAGTGCATATCCGCCATGATATTTTTGGACCCAAGTTTCCTAATGAGGGGGGCTCTGTTGAATTTCGCATTTTTGATCAAATGAAGCTGCAATAACTTCCCAATACTGGGATATTCAGTGGAGATGGAAAACAAGGTATCCGTAGAGAAGGTAGTAAGGATAGCCTCAGGTGGTATAACTCCCCAAACTAGCCATTCGCCCTGGCCAAAGTACCGGGACTTCCCCTCACTGCCATATATGATGGGTTCGTGCCTGAGAAAGGGGATAACAGAGAACAAGTGGGACTGATTCATCTTAGATGTGTCTAATATGGAAATGTTTGCCCTTCCGGCTCTAAGGGCGCGATGGAACACCCCAAGGGGGCTGGTAGACAAGGAGATAAAGGCTGACGAGACATTGATCCTGGTAAGATGCATCCGAACTAGCGTAGATATTATTCGGGGATGAATAGTAGAATGATCGGGTATCGGGGTAGTTGCATCTTGATCCCACATGCCTGCGACAAACTTGTTGGAAGAATTTACGCCACCACTGTTCTCATCCCAAAACCGAAATAGTAGCGGAGGGGGAGTTACATCTGGCCGGACACTTTGAAGAGGACTCGGCAGTGATGATGGTGGCGTTGAATTGTAATGGGCAGACTGGCTAGGGCTCTGTGCTGGTGTCGGCGTCTCGCTGGGTAAATACTCTCTGGCTGGCGGGGGCGGCACATGTGAGTCAGATACTGGTGTCGGCAGTAGCTGGGAACGGACTGGAGATGTTGTTTGAATTGGTGATTCTGGTGGAGTATGCTGGATTCGTGTCTGAGTTGGTGTAGTAGATGAGGAGGATATGCGTTCTAAACGTGCTTCTTTCCCCATTGCAAGAAGATGCGGGATGTCCACGCCTCGTTGAGCAAAGAGACGGACTTTCCCATGAGCTGTACGTTCAATCATCTCCACAAATAAACTAAGACCGGCCCATTGGGCTAAAGGAGTGCAGTTGACACAGGTCCAGATAGGGTCCTTCCAATGCTTTAGATGATTCCATTGGCTTCGCAATGGTTGGATTCGAGTACCTTCATGAAACCCGCACGCTTTAAGATTGTTTGCAAACACAATATTAAAGAGATCTGTAAACTTTCCCCAATCGGGTGTGTAGCAGCGGACCATAACGCATAGGAACGTCTTCATCGTGTTATTCCACTTGATTTTAGTTGACATCCTCGGATCGATCTGCGTGTGCTTGAACCTCCGGGAACGCATAATGTGCCGTTAACGTCGTGATCGAGTAACTGTATGACTGCGGTGGTGGAACAGATTTCAGAACAAAAGGCAGGACGGTGTCGTGTAATAGGAATAGACGAGAGAAGAGAAGAGTGTATTTCGTGTTAGTTAAACACACGAAACCGACGCGCTGAGAAGTGAGAAGACAGGACATAGCGAGAGCAGGACAGATCCGTCGTCGACGCATTCTGTGTTCGCTATCCCTCGCTTCTCGCTTCCTCGGCCTACTTGTCACTTGCTTGGGTATATTTACTCCATACTTACTCCGCACAGCTCTGCCGAAGACAAACGCCTCCTTCAGAATTATACTAGGTTGTAATTCTTTCCATACCCTTTCTCGACTAAGAGAACCTTTATTACGGTTCAACATCCCTTTTCTGAACCCTTCGGGTCCTCTCTTCAGGGTCTATCTTCCTACCCATTGTATCTGGGGTTTTGGCTGTGGGTATTTGATATAAGACGTTCCCTCTTCTAGGGAGGGTAGAGTTGGGGAGGGATATCGATGTTATTCAGTTGACTCTTAGAGGTATATGAGCATCGCGAGTAAGTTATACCCTCCACACACAAGAGCATCTAGATCTCGGTATCTCAAGCCATCACCAGCGCAGCGTCAACGCAGGCGCAGTCGAAGGACGCGCTGGTGAGTTGCAGGAAGTTATAAAAGAGTGCGAGCCGCTTTTCCTGTTTGGGGTAAAAACCTTGAACTGGGAAGGAGCGAAGCTGAGAAAAAAGTGGAGCCGTTCCCGCTCAGCCATGACACTAGGCCTGAAGAGGCTAGCGGCGCCACGAGGAGCCAGGAATAGAAACCAGTTCCAAAAGAGGACAAGCCTTGGCCTCGTGTATTTGTCATTCCTTCGGTATTTAATACGCAGCATCCCTGCAATTGACGCGGACAGCCGCTGACGCACCCCGTATTCCAAATACAGCCCGCTCTTTCACTTAGCTAATCAGCCTGTCGTTGCCCTGCCACGGACCCACCAGCGACTGCTTTGCTCTCACTCGGCTCAGCCATGCGGCGCGCGTCAGCTTGAGATATATTAAGGGCCTGCAGCCCTCCGCTAACAGAAAATCATCAACAACAAACAAACGGCAAAGTCATCTTCTTCCCCTTTAATATATTCTCGGACTTGACGTCTTTGCACCCAGTTTCTTCTCCATCATCACCTCACTTCGCTGTTCTAGCTATTCTCTCCGTCATATAGCAGCATCTATCTTAAAACCAACACTTTCAGGCAACATCTCGGGTATCAACAAGCCAAAATGGGCAAGGGCGGTCGATTTGCGTGCATATTTCTGCCGTACATTCTCTCAATTGGCACACTTGTATGCCTTGCTCTAGTTGGCCTAGGATGCTACAACACCAACACTCTCACCGATGTTTACTTTGCAAAGGTAAGCTTGTGTATTTTTGTTGCTGCTTTGTCTGTTTTTCCTTCGGGCAGCTCTGACTCATTCTGTACAGGTTAATATGAAAGATATCAACACATCCCCGTCCGGGCTAAATAGCCAACTACAACCGCTCGCACATGGCCTCGAACAGGCCAAAGCCAAAGGCGATATCCACGACTTCTATATCGTTGGCATGTGGAACTACTGCTACGGAGACAGCAAGGACGGAAGCGACAAGGTCACGTTTTGCTCCCCTCGCCGAATGAGATTCTGGTTTAATCCTGCCGAAGTCTGGGGTGTCGATGATACTATCCAACAGCTCTACCCATCATCCCTGCAAAGGGGCCTGAATACCTATCAGAAGGTTGCTGGATGGATATATGTTGCTTACGCTGTTGCCATCTCTGCCTCTGCCATTCAGCTTCTTGTTGGAATCTCTGCTATCTTCAGCAGATGGGGTAGCTTTTTCACTACTCTCATTGCAGGTGTAAGTTTTACCATCTAAATAACAGCATGACCTAGGCCAAAAAGGAGCTAACGATTTTCCACCAGGTTGCCGCTGTATTTACTATCGGTGGTGCAGCTACTGCCTCCGTTCTCTACGGTATCCTTGTCGGAGCTATTAAAGCAGGTCTCAGGCCGTTTGATATCAAGGCCGACGTCGGAACTCGCATGCTCGCCATCTACTGGCTTGGTGGCCTCTTCACCCTTGCCGGAGGATTCTTCTGGCTCCTCAGTGTCTGCTGCTGCTCTGGCCGCTCTCCATATGGCCACCGTGATGACCGACGTGGTATTACTGCTGAGAAGGCTCCTTACACTTACGAGCGTGTTGCTAGCCCGTACGGTGTCCACCCAGGATCTGCTGTCCCAATGCATAACATGCCTCCCCACCATACCCAGGACACTGCCTACGAACCCTTCAGACATGACCACCGCGTATAAGTCTTTTTCATGTTTTCATATACCCAAGTTTTCGTTTTCATTTCTTTAAAACGGTCCAAGAGAAAGACAGAGAAAGTAATGACCCGTTCATGACCACTGGTGAACTTTGGCATCGCTATCTGAGTTTGTTAGATTCTCTACATCTGTGTTCCCTTTTGTTTTGTTTTCAAGTATCTGGTACTCATTTCCATGGTGCGGGGATGGCGTTGGCCTGGCCTTGACATTTTTTTCGTTGTTTCTTCTTGTATCTACAATATTGACATATGGAGTACATATTATGTGACACCCTGTTTGTACAGAAATGACAGCCACTTCAATGATATGAATACGAATTTATCCATAGACCCGAAGATAGTAATGCCGGAGAAGCATCCATCTAGCTGTGAGACGATGTTCTGCCTACCTAAGACAACTCCATCTATAAACACCCTATAATGACCACGTGTCTTAAATATGAGGACCTGACTCAGTTCACTACTAACTAGGAACTTGTGGAATAAAATGTCTTATGTGAATAACATTGGTTCCTGTGATAAATCCAAGCTAAGCTTGGCTTTAGGCTCCAGGATTCTGGTGGTTGGTGTATGGAGCCTGATACACCAATCCTCTGAAGACCTGCTCTAGTAGTAATATAAATACGTATGAATTATAGTGAAGGAATAGAGCTGGTGTGTGCTTGATAAATATAGCCATGAAATATCTGAAGGTACTATACAGGGTAAGGTGGTGATTACCCGGGGGAAAGTAGAAAGCGTGGAGAGTTGAAAATCATGACCGCGTGGAGCAGATATTTCCAGGCAGCAATCAAACCTCCCACTCGATGATAGTGTGTTTCTCTGGGTATGTGATGTGCCGGGCGTTCTTGTGATCGTCATGAAGGGTGAGGCTCCCCCGTCGTTGAGGCTATCAATTCATAACATCATATCTCCTCTAGGCCAAAAAGAGCATGACAGAGACGAGAGGCAGCGTTCATATTCCACACAAGAAAAATTGAGAAATATTATAGTGAAACAGTAGACCAAGGAAAGCAATCAAGCTCGCACGCTAAAAGAGGAAGGGGGCAAAAGAGGTAATGTGACGGAGGAGAGACTGGGTAGACCATGGGAAAAACGAGATGTTCTCGGCTGTGATCACCGCTTGCGCTCGAAATATCCGCTCGATCCCAGCACCGCGATGCTCTGGTCCATCACCCATTCACCAACACCGAGATAGCCGTCGAGCCATCGTTTAACTTCTTTGCTCTCTGTGATTTTGTCAGAGTTCAGGCTGGGGCTAACGTCATGCTTGGCCGTTCGTCCACGGCCCATGCGATGCTCGTCCGACTCAATCCACCACACCGCGTTTTCTCCCTTCCTGCTGAGTCCAGGTATAACGGGCATGGTTGGAGGGAGCCGGACAGCGATCACATGGAGCGGACGGGCGGGAGGACACAAGAGTTAGCTGGGGTCGCTTCAACTTGGGGAGGGCGTATGTAGATGTAGTGATAGTTATTATATCGTGTGGCTGGGAGTATAGCTGGGCTGGGAGTAGTTACGTTAAACCTGTCGACCGTTTGATTCCTGCTAGAAAGGCAGAGACTGGGAAGAAGTTGTTAGTATGTCATCCTTGGCACACAAAGGAGAGACTATGGCAAGTACGTACATAGTACAGCGTCGAAAGCATAGTGGGTGAGACGTCCGAACTATTGATCAACGGTGTTAGCTAGCTTCAAGAGAGCGCCAGGAGAAGAGGAACATGCCACCATCTTGTACGGAGTAGAGCTGGAGAGGTATGTCCTGAGCAGAGGTGAAAAGTGGAAGAGCAGAGAAGAGTGTCAAGCTGTATAATATTCTTTCCCGTTGAGCCGGCGTTGTCTATGGCGACCGAGAAGGAGAGAAGCAAAGGCCGTTTCCCTTCTTGGCCAGCTGATAATCGATAGGGTCGGTTTCCTTGGGGACGGTCATATGATATATGACTAATATTATGACTAATATATTATATCATCAATATTATATAAGCCATCTCTCTCCCCATTTTGGACTAGCGCCATCAGTCTTATCTCCGGGCCCACTTTTGCGGAAGTAAGATGATCCGGAAGCCTGATAAGAGATGGGCCAATCAGAGAGCTCGGGCGGGTCGGCTCATTGTTTGAACCCCGCCAAGTCCGAGCGTCTTTTTGATAGAGAAAAGAGAAAAAAAGGACGACGGCGAGGAGAGACAGCGAGAGAGCGAGAGACGGCGATGGGAGAGTAGAATGCATGGCGGTTGAATGAAGGTTGTGATGGTCGAGGTTCAGGTGGAAGCAGTGGCAGGGTGAGACGGGCGCTGCACAGATATAACATCAAACAGGCAGAGGACCTGAGACGAGTGACGTAGCTGGAAAGCATCCTGTGGTTTTTCTTGTAAGCAAGTGGGCTCTCCTCTCATGCAGGGAGAGCCCCTGTGCATTCTGAGGTCTCCAGAGCAGCGATCTTAGCACCAGCAGCGCATCCTCCACGGCGGGCGAGCAGCACAGCTGAATCCATGGGCGAGAACGACCAGAGCGACGCTGGAGCAACGTCCGCAGAGTGGCATCGAGCATCCAAAAACCACACAAAACTAGATTAATTCTCACTTAACAACCAACGAGTAAGAGCAGCCAAAAAGAAAATAAAAGGCTACGCCTGCCGGCAAGTTGTGTGCCTAAAGTAAGTCCCGCTAAAAAAAAGTCACTCAACGCCCAACAAAAAAGCAACCAACTCGACTCTCGCATTAAAACACGACTTCAAGCGTCGTCGTCTCTCCGACCTGCGTCTGTCCTTGTTGCATCTCAAGCTCCCTGCACTGCTGCTCCCTTGGACTGCGCCACTGCCAGCGATCGATCTGTATAAAACCAGCCAGCGAGCCCTCCCGTCGCCATCGTGTTTTACCGCCTCACACCGACACTGACACCTCCCAGCGCACACCTCACAACTTCCCGTCTCTGCCACTGCAACCACCAGCAACCACCAGCCATGGCGAACTCGTTAGACCATCTCTCCAACAGGATGAAGCTGGAGTGGCATTCCCAGCTGGATACGGAGTACAAGCCTGCCAATAACTACCGCCGCACCTCCATCATCTGCACTATTGGTGAGTGACACAGCTGCGTACAGAGCTAGAGAGCTATTGTACCAAAGGGACTAACATCTCTATTCAATTGCAGGTCCAAAGACAAACTCAGTTGAAAAGATTAACATGCTTCGTGAAGGTCTGCATTCTCTTTCTCTGGGCCTGTAGATAGATATTGTTCTCCTAATTGCTCGCTGTCTATAGCTGGTCTCAATGTTGTCCGCATGAACTTCTCCCATGGAACTCACGAGGTAGGAACTTGCTTTCATTATCATCCTAACTGGTTATTCTTTTCAGCTAACCTTCCTTTGATCTGCCTGTGTAGTACCACAAGTCTGTCATTGATAATGCCAGAGAAGCTGAACGCCTCCAAGCTGGCCGCCCACTCGCAATTGCCCTCGATACCGTACGTTAGCTGAACCACACACACACTCACTCACTCATGGAATTAGACCTGTTGTTTAGCAAGCAACAGGTCTTATAAAGATGGATCTGAGCTGACATCCCTGCAGAAAGGACCTGAGATCCGTACTGGCAACACTCCCGATGACAAGGATATTCCAATCAAGGAGGGAACAGAATTGAACATTACAACCGACGATAAATATGCCACCTGCAGTGATGACAAGAACATGTTTGTTTCCCGACATCTAGTTGCTTTTCTTCTCCCTTCCCAAGCTAACCGCGGTATGCTCAGGTACGTCGACTACAAGAACATCACCAAAGTCATCTCCAAGGGTAAGCTGGTATACGTAGACGACGGTGTCCTCTCCTTCGAAGTTCTCGATATCGTCGACGACAAGACCCTGCGCGTCAAGTGTCTGAACAATGGCAACATCTCATCCAAAAAGGGTGTCAACCTTCCCGGAACAGACGTCGATCTCCCTGCCCTGTCTGAAAAGGACAAGCAGGATCTCAAGTTCGGTGTCGAAAACGGCGTAGACATGATCTTCGCCTCCTTTATCCGTCACGGAAGCGACATCAGGGACATCCGGGCTGTCCTGGGTGAGGCCGGAAAGGAGATCCAGATCATTGCCAAGATCGAAAACCAGCAAGGAATGAACAACTTTGACGAGATTCTGCAAGAGACCGACGGCGTCATGGTTGCTCGTGGTGATCTCGGCATCGAAATCCCTGCCGCAAAGGTCTTTATCGCCCAGAAGATGATGATTGCCAAGTGCAATATCAAGGGCAAGCCAGTCATTTGCGCCACTCAGATGCTCGAGTCCATGACCTATAACCCGCGTCCAACCCGTGCAGAGGTATCTGATGTCGCCAATGCTGTGCTTGACGGCGCAGACTGCGTCATGTTGTCCGGTGAGACTGCCAAGGGTAACTACCCCAAGGAAGCCGTAGTGATGATGCACGAGACCTGTCTTCTCGCTGAAGTTGCGATCCCATACGTCAGCGTATTCGACGAGCTGCGCAACCTTGCCCCTAGACCAGCGGATACTCTAGAATCTATCGCCATGGCAGCCGTTTCCGCCAGTTTGGAACTAAACGCCAGTGCCATCTTGGTTCTCACCACTTCGTAAGTAGCTGAACACTCCTTATTCCTGCTCTGCAGAGTATAACTGACATACAACGTTCTTGTCACTGTAGCGGAAACACTGCTCGTCTGCTATCCAAGTACCGTCCAGTCTGTCCAATCATCATGGTCACTCGCAACCCAAGAGCCGCACGGGTAAGTTTACCTATTAGTTAGCATTCAACGTCAATGTGCGCTCACTAACCGTTCCGCGCACACAGTACTCCCATCTATACCGTGGCGTCTACCCCTTCATTTTCAACGAGCCCAAGCCCGACTATAACGTCACCGAATGGCAGAAGAACGTCGATCTCCGTCTCAAATGGGGTATTGCTCAAGCCATTGAGCTCAAGATCATTTCCAAAGGCACTTCAGTGGTCTGTGTTCAAGGCTGGCGTGGTGGCCAGGGACACACCAACACCATCCGTGTCGTCCCCGCTGAACCAGACCACCTCGGTCTCGTTTAAACGACGGACTCCTGACCCAAAAAATAATAAAAAACAGACACAAAAAAAAAAAAAAATTGGCGAGAGAGAAAAGAGAGAGACAGGATATAGGGTAAATAGTTCTCTTTCTGGACGAGTATTTGGTTCTCATTTCTTGTTTTCGTTGCATGGGAGATAATAAATGCTGGGATTGAATGTTTATGTCCCCCCCTTTTCTTTTCATGAGCTATATGACCCGTCATCGTCCCCTTTTGAGCTTTGTTGAATAAATGTGCATCTTCACGATAGCAATTTAATCCAGACTCGGGAATAAAACCCACGCTGAAATATTGTAAACGAGAGGGGGAAAAAAACGTGAAGGCTAGGGAGAAAAAGGGCGTTGAAGGCGTACCTACCTAACCATCGGGTAGTTTCGGGCTAGGCGGCCGACGGGTTTGCGAGCCGAGGTCGGTTTTTTTTACTCCACGCGCAACGACGTCAGTCAGTCCACCCTACGTCACTTTGCTTGACTTGCTTCAACTGGCGACTGTGAAGGGAACGAAGATGATAGTGACCAGAACCAAAAATATGTTTTTACTACATATAATATAGAGAAGAGTGAAGATAACTGGCTTGATGATTTACAGGAGCCACAAAACTTTCAGGGGAAAAAAAAATAATAATAAAAAAGGGTAAGAAATATGAGTAAAAGAGTATAGTAGTATAACAACAAACCGGCCCCAAATCGGCCAAAAGGTAGGTATCAAGCGGGGTAGCCGTCACAGGCAAGATGAATAAGTAATGGGGGTTGGGGGTACGAGGGAGGTGACGAAGTAAGTGGTTGGTGAGGTGGTGTGATGGTATGGATGTCTATAAGGCGGGGGGAGATAGGTCGGTTAGGTAGGTAGGCAGATAAGAAGGGAGAGAGAGGTAGAATGCAACGGCTAAACGGAAGTTTCACAAGAAAGCAAGATATCCAACTATTAGCCCGAGAGATGAAATTCCAATTTGAGTAGTATATGGTTTTATGCGAGTGTGTAAATGGTTCTAGGGGTGTGGTGGGTTCGCGAGATCTAAATGGTTAAAAGGGGAGGGTTTAATGTCCATGAACCGGTGTAGTGTGTGCCGGCTACGCTTCAATTGCTGTAGGCTCAACATTCTTTGCTGGAATTTGCTCCGGCTCGGATTCCACGGGCTTTGGTTGGTCTTTCTTTGATTCTTCAGACTTTGGTTCCTGTGGCTTGGTCTCTTCTGGCTTGGGCTCCTCTGGCTCAGTTTCCACGGCTTCAGTCTCCTTTGACTGTGGCTCTGTAGAAGTAGTATTCTCAGTCTTAACCTCGTCCTGAGCTTCATCCTGAGCTTCAGTTTGAGGCTCTGGCTGAGGTTCCTTTGGCTTAGTTTCTTCCTGCTTGGCCTCCGTTTGAACCTCCGCTGGCTTCTCCTCCTCTACCTCAGCTGCTTTCGCAGCTTCAGGTTCGGTCTCTTCCACTACAGGCAGGGAGTGAGCTTCAACCTCATCTTCAGCAGGAGCCGGGGCGGGAGAATCTTTCTCGTCCTTCACTGGTTCCACAGGCTTTTCTTCTTTCACAGGTACCGGTTCAGCAGCAGCAGGTTTCGGTGGCGCCACTTCAGGTGCAGCAGTAGGTCGTACAGACGATTTAGTCGACTTGGTTCTCGCAGGACTTCCGGTGTGAGCTGCTGCCGTCGTTGTCGTATTCGTCTTTTCTGCAGTTGGTTTCTTGGTAGTGTGTGCCTTGTTGGCAGCAAGTCTGGGGGGACTAGCAATATCGAGCTTCTCCTGCCTCTTACTCGCTGAACTCGCAGTTGGTCGTATTAGCCTTGCCAGAGAAGAGTCATCGACGGGTCTGGAGCTAGGGACGCTGGCGCGAGAAGTCGGCCTGTCGTGGGCGGACGAAGAGTGTTGTGGTGCAAGGGAGGCACGGGAACCTTGTTTGCGAACCGTGGTTGTGGTTGTGGTGGTAGTGGCGGACGGGGCAGAAGGTTTGGATGAACCTGTGGTTCGAGGGGCGGAAGAACGTAAGCTTGATGGTTTGCGGCTCAGGGCTTGAGCTTTGGTAGCATTGGCAGGAACGCTGGTCCGGCTGGATGGGCGTGACGGTGACGAGTTGGGTGCTTTTGCTGCGGATGCCGCTGTGGGAGCCAGCATGGAGTCATGAGCGCGGGTTGGACGAGTAGGAGACTTGGGGCCGCCGTTCTTGTGAGTTGAAGCAGCGGGTTTGAGTTTGGCAGCAGTGTTGTTGTTGTTGCTGCTGGTGGTGCTGGTAGTGTGAGTTTTGCCTGCTGGTTCTTGTAGGACTTTGTTGAGCTTCTTGGTTGCGTTTATAGTTTGGGACTGTGCGCTTTCCTTTGCCGTTGTACCTGGCACAGCAGGGGATTTGGCAGACTTGGGAGCAGAGGATGGCTTGGAACCTGCCACTGACTGCCGTGGTGTAGCTTTTGACTTGTTGTCTGCAGAGCTAGAGCTGTTGGCCAGACGTGAGCCAGTCTTGGATGTAGCGCTAGCAGTGGTAGGAGTAGCTGTTTTCGTCTTTCCATTCGGCTTGTCGTCTGTCTTATTCGCCTGTTTGCCGGTCTGTCGACTCTTTGCCGGGCTCGGAGGAGCACTGGTGTCTTCAAAGGGCGATCCCTTCAGGATAGCACCCAGGCCGGCCTTGGACTTGCCGTCAACAGCAGCAGCAGTCTTGTCCACCTCCACGTTTGACACAATCGGATCAGAGATCTTTCGAGGCGAGACAACCCCGTCCAGGCTGTTCTGCTGTTGCTGCTGCTGGGGGGTGCCCCATTTCCTCGGTGAGGTACTGTCCACCGGGGTGCGGGTGGTGTTTCTATCAATTGGGCTGCCCATCTCGTCTGTCACGCTTCGTGGGGGCGCACCAAAGGACTCTCCAGCTTCGCCTACTCTCTTGAGGCCGAGTATAGGGGAACCCGAGGTGCCTGGTATGTTGCGTTCGACGGCGACAAAGCTAGCGCGGACCTTGGACAGCGGCCTGCCAGCAGCGGAGTGGTCTGACCCGGCAGGAGAGCGGCCTCGAGACGGCGGAGAAGTCGATATGTTGCTGACGTTGTTGTTTTCGAACTTCGCCAAAAGGCCACGAACGCCTGTAGGAGCCGACATGGCGAAGAGAGCAGAAGAAAGAGAGGGAGAGAGAGGGAGAGGGAGGGAGCAGAGAGCGAGCGAGCGCGAGAGAGACGAGAGAGGTTCAAGGATATCAGATGTGACCTGAACCTCTACCCCCTTTTTTTCCTCCCTCCCTTGCTGTCTTTCCTTACGTCTCTTCCTTCGTTCCTGGGGGGTTCGAGAGAGCTGTGTCGGTCTCGGTCCCGTATTTTAACCCTGTAAGCTCGATACCTGTTCACCCAGGGCGGACAGACAGTATTTATTTATCTGATTTTCTAGAATAATGCAAGCAGAAAGCGTGTCGGGCGAGCGAGCGGGTTGCTGTGTGGAGGAGGATGATTTCACGCCGTTCTAAAAGGGACGCTGCAGGTGGCCACGGCAACCGGGGGAAATTAGCATGAAACAAAGCACGAGAGGGCCGGCGACCGTTTCTCTTCTCATGCGATCATCAAACTGGGCCGTTCAAGGGCTGCGCTGGCAAGGGTGTGTGGTAAGGGAGACGAAGGGAACAGAGGAGCAAGCAGCAGCGGGAGTTACATACATAACTACTCCGTCGTTGGGGGCCCAAAGGGAGGTTTTTTTTTCAGGGTGGAGGAAGCTAGACACGGCACTATTGAAAGTCTGTAATGACGATGAGATGCAGACAGAAACCACGGCAACGGACAGTCAGTGCGAGGGCCAGGCCAGACAGCGAGACGAAAAGCTGACGGATCCAACGGGAGATGCGAGTGAAACGGCCGTCGTCGTCGTTGTTGTTGCTGTTGTTGATTACTATCAGTCAGTCAGTCGGTTAGTTAGCTGTTGTTTGGCTGCCTGCGAGAGAGAGACGGGGATGAGACGAGACGCCCAGCAGCGAAGAAACCCCGTATATAAAACGGTCCAACTGTAACAAACAGCTGAGGTGTCTCTGGTCTGGCCGCTGGTTAGGCTGCTGTCTCTGCGCTCTTTTGGCCGCTACCCAAGCAATAACAGGCTGTGATATAGCCAACTCTACAGCTAGCTATGGAGCACAGCTAGCTACGACTGGAGCTTCCTGGGCTGGCCGGCCGGGTCCCTCTCGCAGGTGCCCGTCTTGCTCTGCATCTCGCAGGCGGCCCGGTATCATATTTACCTGTCGACTCTGCCCTTACACAGGGTCGCCGCCAGCCACGAAACAGGAGAAAAGACGGCCTTGTTTGATCATAAAAATACTGCTCCAGCTCATCTCGTCGCCGTCGCCGTCGCCCTTCGTATAACCTCGTTACTGTAAACAAACTGACTGTCATGGCTTGCTTCAGCCTTTCGTCTCGTCTCGTCTCCCCCCACCGGTTCGTCCTCGTCCGCTTCAGGCATCACCACCTTCGCCCTCTATCCCTTTATCGTGCAGCTTTATCTTCTTCATGGCAAGTTCTTTTAATCTTCTTCGGTTTTGCTGCTTTTATTTTATTTTATTTTATTTTATTTACCTTTTTTTTTTTTTTTTTTTCATCTGATAGAATGAGCATGCTGACTCAGCAGGCTCTCCAGCAAAAAAAAAAAAAAGAAAAGAAAAAGTAAAATAAAAAACCTCCAAGATGAGTCGAAGAAAGTCGAAGCCAAAGCAGCGACAGCGCACGCAAGATGGCTGCCAGAACACTCAGGATAGGTCAATTGATTCCTAAAGCTGCCTGTGCTACCTGACAAAATGCTAACGCTGCCGTAGGTCTCATTCCGGGCGACGGGATCGGTAGGGAGGTTATCCCGGTACGTTGAAGCAGCTCTCCTGCAGCTTGTGAAGAAGAGAAATACAACCCCCCGCCAGAGCTCCATTGACCAAGGATCTGTTCTGCAATAGGCCGGTCGACGCATTCTCGAAGCTCTTCCAGCGTCGTTGGGCTTAAAGTTCTCCTTTGTCGACCTCGACGCGGGCTATGACACCTTTCTGCGCACCAAGACTGCCCTGCCAGACAAGACGGTCGAGACCCTCAAGAAGGAATGTGACGGTGCTCTGTTCGGAGCTGTCAGGTAGGCCCAGCTCTGTCTGTAACTATTGACCAGCATGGAATTGAGATAAGTGGGCTAAAATGACTGCCCTAGCTCTCCATCAACCAAGGTCGCAGGATACTCGTCCCCCATCGTCGCCCTTCGTAAGAAGCTAGACCTCTATGCGAACGTACGCCCAGTCAAGACCACGGCCGGCGCCAACGCCTCTGTCAGACCAATTGACCTTGTCATCGTCCGTGAGAACACTGAGGACCTCTACGTCAAGGAAGAGAAGACCTACGACACCCCCAACGGCAAGGTAGCAGAGGCCATCAAGCGCATCTCTGAAAACGCCTCGTTCCGAATCGGTACCATGGCGGGCGAGATTGCTCTCCGACGACAGAAGATCCGTCAGGCTCAGTCTGCCAATACCACTACTGCCAGCCCCATGGTCACCATCACGCACAAGAGTAACGTCCTCAGCCAAAGTGACGGCTTGTTCCGCGAGACATGCCGCAAGGCCCTGGCCAACGAAAAATTCAGCGGCGTCAACGTCGAGGAACAAATCGTCGACTCAATGGTGTACAAGCTCTTCAGACAACCCTCATACTACGATGTCATCGTTGCTCCCAACCTGTACGGAGATATTCTGTCGGACGGTGCTGCCGCGCTCGTTGGAAGTCTAGGTCTGGTTCCTAGCGCCAATGTCGGAGATGGGTTCGCTATTGGTGAACCATGCCATGGCAGTGCTCCCGACATCGAGGGCAAGGGTATTGCCAACCCCATTGCCACCATACGAAGCACAGCTTTGATGTTGGAGTTCTTGGGCGAAGGTGCGGCTGCTGCTAAGATTTATGCGGCTGTCGACGCCAATTTAGACGAGGGCAAGCTCCTTTCCCCTGACCTTGGTGGCAAGGCCACTACTGCCGAGGTTCTGGAAGATGTCCTCAAGAAACTCTAGGTCTTTTTCCTAGTATAGAGATTTGCCTACCACTTCTACAAGCTCTGATCTTGTACACTTAGACAGATGGTTCATACCAAGTAAAAAAAAAGAAAAAGAAAAAGAAAACTTTCCTGCCAAATGACTCCTCTATATACCCCCCCGCTAACCTCTATGCAAACCATCACGTTACAAGTAGGTCTAGTCAACCTCTGCCTCTGCCTCACCTGACGCACTCTCATCCTTTAGTGGCTCTACCTCTGCCCCATTTTGCATCAGAAGCGTAAACAGCACCACGAAGTAGATGTCCCCAGTAGTCTTGTTCTTCAAGATATACCGCAACTCATGGTTCTTTTCGTCAATATACTTAGTAACCGGGACCGGGAAGCCAGGGATACGGATCGTGAAATCTGTCTCTCGTTAGATTCGACATAATCCGTTCAATTGGGGGTGGGGGTATATCATACCACTGAATCCAATGTAAGGATTTCCAAAGTCCGCTTTATATATCCTTCCCGGCTCAAACTCAAAGTCCTTCCTCTTCTGCTCGTCCAGGAAAAACTTCTGTCTCAGGCCATTGTCGTCGGGTATCTGCAGTTCCTCACGAACTGCCTGCCCACTACCTTCACCCCCTTCTTCAACTACAGCCTCATGTATTTCCGCCTCCGAGTTCCCCGTTTCATCCTCCTTACCACAAACCCGGAAATAGTTCCAACTCGACAGACACGGCCCATAGATATAAGGTTTATCCGCATATATGTCCCCTTCTAACCCCGGATCAACCCACCACTTGATAAATTTAAACGCATAGCTTGATCCTGGCGGGAGCCTGTCGCGTATAGGGCGGTCCAGATCATTCCCAAGCACCAGATCGTTTCCGGTTAGTCCCTTTTTCGGTACAAATGAGATAGCGAGAGAGTACTGGTCGTTTACGCGAGTTGGGTGTGAAAAGTGGACATGTGTTTTTGGTGAGGAGTCCGGAAGACCTGGTACAAAAAAAAAAAGATATCATTAGTGTTTATTCCTGAGAGAAATCCTCATGGATTCAAGAAACACTAGGCAAGGACGGTACCATTGTAGTCTTGTATACGAAGACAAAGGTTCACCTTTGCATGCTCGGTCTCAATACATAGGTTGGTATCAGTGTTCACATGGACGAGTGAGTGCGTTGATGTGTCGTATGTCGGCCCAGCAGTGATCTGAAGCTTGTATCGAGGACCTGAATCTCCGGATGTCATTTTTTAAAGCTCAACAGCCCTTCAAGGCGTTTGTAGTTGTTGATTATCTGGGCTGTAGGCTGGCTCTAGGCCTGTTGTGTTTGGGCACGCGACCCAACAGACTCCGGTGAATGGTATAAAAGCGACCGGCTAACGGCGAGGACCGGATAGAAGGCTGTTCAATGATAACTTGTAGGCCTTGAGTACATTTATATTTCAACAAGGCAAGCTCTGTCTGATGCTGGATGTGCGTGCTTTTTTTGATGCTTGCTTCAACCAACTCTTTTTTTCTGCTGAAATGACGTACCTCGGGTTTTAGATGCTTGGAAGGCGGTCAGCAGGTGGCTTGGCAGACTGGATCTATAAAAAGAACAACCTTTTGACTATCAATCAAATTTTAACGGCTTTTTCACGGTCACGGTTTAAAGGTATTATTATTTGAAGCGATCGGTGGTGAGTATAGGAAAATATTAGGTAAATTCTATTAGGAAACTCATAGTATAGGTACAGGGCTGTGATTTCTCTGAAAAGAAAGACCTGGTTCGATACGCTGGCTATGACAAATGAAATATTCAAAATGAGAGGTAGATGTGAAAATGTGACGAAAGTAAATATGTATCCCTCACGCTCGCGGAGAGATTGGTGATATAATAGGGAATGCCGTTGTAGGCTTGCATGCACTCGAAGGGAGTGCTTCGGACTCGGACCACACGTCTTCTTCAACCACCATGTTGACCCCGGAATCTGGACACCGTCTGCGTTTCTTCCCCTTCCCAATCTCTACATTTTTGAATCTGCTCACGGTCTCTGGTGTGATGGGCTCGCTTCCGAAACCATTAAAGGAGTGTCGTAGGCCAGCCATGGCGTCGCCACAGGTGCTTGGTCGACCAGCATCCTTGGCCAGTAGCTGGATCCCGTTTTGCCATTCAACAATGGCCTTCATGGCTTCGCGCTGTTTCTGCTGGGTCTGTCGGATTGCATTCCAGGATATACGTTCCATGTTCCTCTGCCGTTTCTCTAACTGTGCCTTTTCAGACTGCAAAGTTGCGTTTTCGGCCTTGGTTTCGTTGAGCGAGGTCGAGATGGCGGACAGACGAAGGTTGAGGTTTCCAACTTCCTTCTGATGCTCGACAGACTGTTCTTTGGCAGCCATCTCCAGGGCAGAAATCACTTCTTCCTTCTCAGTTTCAAGAAGCTTTATCTTCTTGTTAAGCTCCAAGACCTTCAAATCGCTTTGATGAAGGGACGCCTCGATGGATGCAGTCGTTTCCTTCTCTCTCTTGAGGCGGCCTTCGAGCTCAAATATTCTTGCCTGGGAGAGATTGCCTGCATCCCTCATTCGGTTATTCAACATTGTCAGTTTCTCTGCTTTCTTCTCTGAAGCAGCCACCTCGTCTTCTAGTTCTGAATTCAGCCTCTCAAGCATGAGTAAGTCCTCTCTATACTTGCTTAACGCATCTTGCAGCCGGATCTTGTCTGTTTCTTGCTCTTTCATGTCTCTTTCCATATTCTGTAGCTTGATGCGCATGTTAAGCGTATCCTCCGCGATCGATTCCGCATATTTCCCTAATTTGTTTTTCTCCTTTGTCTCTTGCTCCAATCGGAATAGAGTGGCATCGAACTGCTTTCTTAGCGCTCTTTCGCGATCCTCGCCACTTTTAATTTGATCTTTGGCCTGTGTTAATCCGCGTACCAAACGGTGGATTCGATCAACTAAAGCATCAATAATAGCTTTCCAGTTTGATAAGCTTGCGTTTGCTGTTTCCCCTGGAACCAGCCTTTCGAGCTCCACTCTTGCATGTCGGAAATGCGCTTCGATACCGGCAATAATTTCCGCCGCACTTTCTCCATCAAAGCCATGACCAGAGAGCTCACTTTGAAGATCTTTCACATTTTGAACTGCCTCAGCTGCCCTGACAGTTGCATCTTGCAGTGTTGCAATGACCTGCTTTGCCAGGTCAGGCGGGGGTAAAGCGCTGTGTTCTTCTCCAGATTCATTATCCTGGGTAACAGCATTGGGCTGTCCTGAGATCCTTTGCCATTCCTCAAAAAGGTACAACTGATCTCTGTTTTTGTCGTTAAGTTCACTAGTAAGCTGCTCAATCTGGGCCAACGTATTTGGGTCGGATAAAGTTGTTGACGAGACCGCACGCCCAAACGTTGATATTGGAGTACTGCTGGCCATGGGCGTCCATAGAGGGCTGTTTGGTGCGCTAAAATCCTCATCCATCGTGTCATCGTCCATTATTGCCGCAGAATCTCCGCTCGTATTCGGGCAGGGAGTCAATAAGGATTCTTCTATGGGATGAGAGTGTTGCCTTTCACTCCTTTCTGGGGTCTTGCAAACGCTCTCCTCTGTGGTTGAATGTTGGCAGTCTATCTCCATCCTTTGGTTTCTTAACGACTCGACTTCCATCTGCAGTTGCCTCATCTGCTCGTCCTTTTGCCTCTGGAGCCTCTTCTCTTCTTTCCGTCTTCGATCAATCTCATTCATTGCTTCACTAAAGCCGAGGCGTTGTATCCGCCTCCTAGATCGCGGATCAAGGATATCATGAAAACGTAGATACCGGAATATGTTTGAGTCAGGGGTTGACATTGCCATCTCTGCCTGTGTCTGTCGAAGTTGGGAATAAATGGCAGGATCAGAGTGCCGCAGACGCGAGTCTCGCCGTTTTCTACCACTTCGTGATGTATGAACAGCGGCATCTCCAGTTTGATCTGCGAGAAGTGTAGTCCGCGACACGAGTGGTGTTAGTCCAGTCGATGGATCGCTTTGCTCTGGGGTATTATCTTGGTCGATGTGGCAACCAGGATCAGAGAACCGAACCCGCTTCCTCGAACGCCGAGAGGCCCGGGCTTTGCGCGGCGTACACGGCGCTTCATCAAGAGAGCAACATGCTGCTGGCTCTTGGACCACGGAGGCCGACCCTTCTCCGGCTTCAGCGGGAGCTTCGGCTTGAGTAACCCGGGTCTCAACTGGCGGATCGCCAGCTCTGCTTCGTAGTCCAGGGCGCATAGAGAACAACCACCACCTATACGTCTGGAGAACCTGTAGTCTGCTCACTAACCAATCCGGTGGTGCTAGAGATTCTATTAGCGACTTCTTGTTCATAATTCACAAATCCTTGTGGTTCGTTAGACCAGGGAGGCCACGCAGTGGTGTTGATGTACAGCAAGCGTCTTCACCAAAACGCCACCATCCACGGACCCTTTTAAAAGATCGCGAACAATGAAGCGAGTCTTTCATCCCATACAAAGAAAAGTAAACAATAATTGCCTTACCTGGGGATTGAAGAGCCGGCAAAAGTGTACCCGCGTCGAGGTTCGAAGTATGTGTTGGTATATATACTGATATGTAATGCAAGAGTCCTCTGCCGAGTCGAGCAAAAACAGTGCCTAGTTAAATAAGCGCGTCTGAGAGGAACCGATGGAGTAACTAACACAAAGTAGACTACCCCAAACCCCAGGAGTGAGACACGCAGTTTATTTATACATGCAGCGAAGCCTCCGGGCTGCTGTATGTGATCTTGTTATTATTATTATTGCCAAAACATAACACATCGCTCGCTCGCTAGCTAGCTCGTTGCCTAAAGCAGGGATTGGCTGGTCGAAATGCAAATCAAAACATCAACAAACACCAATTCTTGGCAACGGCGTCGCGTCTGGCGTTAGTTAACTAAGTGGAAAAATAATAACACAGATAGACGCGCTACGCCGTTCAGGCGGTTTGTGTAACCGCAGGAGTAAATAAACAAACCTGAGATATGGAAGAGTGCGAGGGCTTTACTCCGTATTCGGCATGCCTTTTTTCTTTTTTTCTTTTTCTTTTTTTTTTTTTCTTTCTTAGTTATCTAGTTACTCGCGACTCGCGAGCATGATAGGCGCAAAGCTCCGGCAGTTACATCGTTTCGGGTGTGTTTACTTCATGCAAGGATGGAGTCGTCTGATATTTAACTAACTAGTGATAGTTATCGCTGCTAGGGTTTACAGCATAAAATATATTCATAATACCAATTTTTGCAAAAGGATGTTTCTTGGACAGTGGTAGGTTCCCACTGTGAGATCTTGTCTTTTATTATTTATTATGCTATCTAAATTCCTAAACAACAAACCACTTCTTTCTTCAATCTCCCCCTAGAAAAATGCGCTCTTGTCTTTGATCTTTCCATGGAACAAGGCACTCTTGTGTTCAGTCTTCTCCTGACATTTATCGGCCGTTGACATCGAAACGGAAGAAGAGGCAATCGTCGAAGTTCTGGTGGCCTCCCTTAGCAGTCATCCAAGACCATTCGCACCAATCGATGAGGTCGAGGAAGATACCGCCGCAGTTGTCGCCAACGTAACGGTCGTGGTTGCATTTGTTGGTAACCCAGTACTCGATCTTAACGGTAGGCAGCCACTTGACATGGTAGAGCGAGGTGTTGCGGAAGTTCTTGAACTTGTGCATGTTGCAGAATTCCTGGCTGCCCCAGTAGCAATCTCCACGGTTGGAGATTGCGCCGCCGCAGTAGCAGTATTTGTTCTCATACCACTGGTCGCAGTTCCCCTTGGAGCCGAATCCACGCTTTTCAAGGCCGGTGGTGGCATTTCCGGGGTTGTTCTTGAAAAGGGCCACTATAACGGAGTCATTAGCCTCAGGAAGGGACAATTCGAGCCACTGTCTCGGTGGAACGGGTGATAGGTAACTTACAGTCCTTATCGGAAATATCAACGAAGTCAGCAGTGATAGTGTAGGGCTCGCCATGCTCAGTGACACCTTTGCCAACAACGGTTCCGGTGATAGGCTCGAGTGCCTTTTCGGGAGTGGCAGGGATAGCGGAAGAGATACCGCTAAGGGCAAAGGTAATGGAGAGGAGGTTAAGAAGCTTCATGATGGCTGAAGGCGAGGAAAGATGGTGAGAATAGGTAAGCTGGACTGTTCTCTGAGGTTGTTCTGCTTGTGTATTTGTGACTGACAACTGGAGGAAGTCCACTGTTTTTATAGTCGAGCAGATGATGGGATAGCAGCACTTTGTTCATTGGGAGCGCATGTAGTCCGTAGCATTCTCTTCGAAGGATTCTCTCTGAAGGATTTGCTATGTAGGATTTTCTTGGGAAGAATTTTCCGGGAGGGCGTTAGGTAGCATCGTGGCATGTTGTAGAGATCAAGATAGCCCAATCAACAAACTCTCTGTCTACGGTCCCTCAACGGAAGTCTGGGCAGCTTCTCCATCGAAATCTTAGGCGGATAGCCGCCCAGGATCTGGCCTGGTACTTTGCATAAGCGCCTCGTCTAGCGCATCTATTTGCAGGGGTCAGTTTTGGGCCGTATTCCATACATACGGACCCTTTCTCCTGGAACCATTAGCAACACGCTGCGGGAAGCGCTGGTCTTGTGTGCTTGGTTCAGCTTGAATGCCTTATGCACTATGTGTTACCTGTTGCTAGTTACCACCTTGCTAAGTGTTCATCATGGTGTACAATATAGTGAGGCACTTTGATAGCAAGATGGCTTTCGCGCAGAACTTTAGCTATATATAGTGTTAAACTCTATAGTTAGCAAGAGAATTGGCATCCTACAGGCCCTCATCAGGGATCTAGCCAACGAGTTACTTATGAACTCGCATTTGGGTGGGTATAACTGGGTGCGCTGCTCGGAATTCCGTGGGATGCGAATTTCCTTAAGAGCTGTAGTTGCACCTAAACTCGAGCCTGGGCAGAGGATTTAACTAGATTGAGGGAGTGAATGGCTCGTGGTAAATATGACGTGGGGACTGAAGGCTTAGGGCCTCTGCACGCTGCTTAACCCACTAAGGCAGCCGAGCGGGGGATTAATAGGGTATATCACAGACTGAGATGCCTCGAAATAAACTGATGTCCTCTTTAAAGTTGACGAAGGATTTCGACGAAGGATTAAACGTGTGAACGACCGGGCGGGTCCTTCAGCATTAGCCAGGTCGAGTTAGCGTGAGTTAGCTCCCACGTGGGAACCTAGAGTTAATCAGCCTGTGTGGGGCCTTTTCCACCAGTAGCAGCGAAGGGTAACCGGATAACCAGCCTTAGGGGTTGTCGATTTCTCACTCCGTATCTAACCAGGTCAAGATCCTCAGCAAGGTTGATGCTTGACTCGTGCTTTGCCCTTCTAGAACGCAAGAGCCACACCAACGCTAAAGTGGCCGCCGAGGGAACATCCTTCGGCCCAGCAGAACCCATATTCAGGTGGCTCCCTTTACCACCCTGCTACCTTTACCAGCACTCGTGACTATACCATGGTTATCCGGGTCATAGTTGCCATCACTATCACCTACGATCGAATCCTCACACACCAGCCGATACGATAGTTCCTCACAGCTATGGGCAAGGCTAATATCGCCGCCATTTTAGATGAAGGAAGATGCCTTAGTGTATCTCCGAGGCCATTCAAAATGACCCCGTCACCTTTGCAGGATGCCCCAACGGTCTTGGGACTACAGAATCCTGTAGTTTTATTATGGCCTGATTACTTCCAGGAATCACTCCATGGAGTCACCTGGGACAGTCCGCACATGAGCATGACATTTCTTGTTTTGAGAAAGAGACAAGTGGGCTAACGGATGTCAGTACTTGATTATCTGGGCGCTGCGACTACGCAGATTTGCACAGGCTCAAGCTTTGACATACCTACGCCATAGATACTGCTAGAGAATACGTAAAATAGGTCATCTCTTTCATACCAACCGTATCTAGGACGATGAGGCCCAAGGTTGATCGGAAGTCACTCATCGTATTTACGATAATGCATAGATTTGATGACACTTGCTAACAGCTCATCCTGCATCCCCACTTATCGAGAGTGACAAGTAGATGCAAATAATCCACTTCCCTGGGTCTTAGGGGATCCTGGAACCTGGAGACTATGCTGGCGCTCAATATCGCGGAGATATTAGAGCCAGTGGTTAAGGCTGCAGATAACGTCTTGCTGTACTACTTCTGCGTTAACAGCGACAGGGACTGGAATACCTGCTTCAATACCCGCTTTGACAATCATGAGGTATTCTGCATCTATGGATCGACCTATATCCTCACATCAAGAGCTCCTTCGGACGGACAAAGACAACCAAATATGTCATTTCTAGTTTTGTCCTGTTGTGAAGGGGTTTCCAAGCTCTGATCCAGCAGAACACAGCTTCAGGGGTAATTACTTGTTCCCAGCCAGGGGAAAAAGATAACGCCAGGACTGAAGCTTATTATCCTCTTCCGGCCTCAGCCGGCTCGTTTAGAGAGTAAACTCGACCAGTATCAGAGGGCCTGGCTAGATACCTTTAACACGAAAATCTCGTATAATGTCGATTGATATAGCTGCCAAATTGGTATTCGAGCAGAATCCTTCCCAGGAGACAGTCACCCAAGTCCAGCAGACCTTGTTGGCTGGCAGTAATGTGGCCTTTCTATGGGTCAGGCTCGTGTCAGGAAAGTGGGAATTGGAGCAAAATCGATGAAATTCCCCGCCATATTCCTAAAGGACCTGCTGGGAACCTATCAGCGGTCTCTCTGATAGGTCATCGACAAAGAAGGATTTTGTCTCCCTTTTTCAATAGTCGTTCTCGTTTCTGACCCTCACACTGGGGGGAACTGGCGGTGACCATAGGGATCACGGCAGCTGTTACCAGTTTAGCAAGGCATGTTAACTCATAAACGGATCAAACCTGGTGGGCTGCTCCTGAAGGTTGAAGGAGTGTTTATCAGCCTCGGCAATGGAGTTCTTTCAGAGTGATCAAATTAACATCAAGGGGATCAAGATGTTCCACCTGGGCTAATAAGTCCACGAAATTCTCGTGGAAATATGTTTAGCACACGTCAAACGTGCATGCGGAAATTGTCGGAATATTCACGATCCCTTCTTATCTTATGCCAGCTGGTACTTGGCCGGTGTATCTCCTCTATACCCTATACCATATATGTGCCATTCTGGAGAATTCGAGAGAAATAGCGCAGGATCTACTTAAGCAGAGAGCGCACGGGGGCAAACTGCTAGCTACTTTAGGAGTTGTATTGCTGACAGATCTTACGGATCCGATAGACGGGTGGGTGAAAGATCTGCTTGGGCTTCCTCACCGCGCTTCAAGTATTTGTCCTGGTTTGTTGACCTAGTCATGAAAAGGCTGGGTTTTTATCTCCGCTTCCAATCCGGGAGCTGATGCCTGATTATCTCGAATATGTGGCGTTGAGCAGGTGGGACAGTCAGGTCGTACCAGGAGATCATCTAGGAGAACAAAACGGATGAGCTGCGGGATGGTCAAAGCTGTACCATATGTTCTTTCTGAACTCGTGGTCGCCAGTAACCAGAAGAAGTCAAGACGATGGGCGACTTGTGGACGCAGATCTTACGGAAGGTCTAAAATTTACCAGGTGCTGCTGGCCACCACAGCCTTCACGGGTATGGGAAAGAAGCTGGCTGACGTAAAACATGGCTGGGAAAAAGATGGCACTACAGCAGCAGTGGTTGTAGACTGGCCGCTGCCGCCTGCGACAAGAACGTGCTGAAATTCTTCCTATTCGCCATCAAAGAGGTCCTGGAAAATTTTAGTGGTAGCGTTCATGTTGAGAATCTGGAAGAAATGTATTTCGGACAATTGTGCTCGTGACGGGCTACTTCTTCATGATCACCAAATAGGAGCCATGAATAATCGGGTAATGCCCCCGGATCGTCGCGTAGCTCTTCAAAGGATAAATCAGAACCAGCTATGAAGTCGAGCTGTTCAGTATGCGAGCCAGGCATATGCCAATAAGCTATCGTTTATTAGCGAGAATGGAAACTCTGACAGGATACACCTTCTCCTGACCAGTAGCTTCCAGTTTGCGCGGCGGGCAATGGTAAACGGAGAGGAGTACTTTCTCGATATCCTCGCTAGCATGCTTGATTCTGTGCTAGAAAAGATGCCGCCGCTGACGGTTGGTCGGTTGACAGCGAAGGAGCCTCCGAGCATGCAGCAGCAGCGGTCATGCAGACCCCCTGTAGAGAGCCTGATCATCGGGAAGCAGCATGGCTTGACATTACCCGACAACGCTCCACGACGGAGAGTGGAAGCATTGAAACATTCCATAAGTACCCTTGGTCCAAATATCCCTCGCAGCTTACATGCCACTTCTCTCTGGTGTTTGGCATTTGACGTTGAAAAAAGCTTCACCCGAAAATCATCTGATCTCCACCATATAAAGTTTCTTTGATAGAGCCTCAGGCCTTGGCATTCTAGCAAACGAATAGACCCTAAACATTAGTCTATACTTTACTAGTCATGGAGTACAGTCTATTACAAGAAATATTTGGTAAATAAAGCCTATGCCTACCTAAAACATCCAAGGATAATATTTATTAATTGAGGTTTATCTCAACGTTGAAGATTCTGGGCGGAGCCGGGTCCACGGAACTACCCCCCAACGACCGGGGAAATAGCGCTTGACGTATACAGCATCGTCGATAATCCCGATAATATACCGCTTGCGATTTTTGGCTTCATACTAACACCGTTGGGGCTGGGTGATCTGGTTATGACCAGCAAGGCGACCGCAATCACGCGCGGCTTGAGTGACGCGGACCCGGCCAAACTGTGAACAAGTGTGAGAAGGAAGTTGGCAAACGCCCAGAAAGCGACATAGAGTTATCGCAAGGCATAAATGGAATCGTTTTGTCCTATTTCCACGAAATAGTCGTGGCAGACAATAAATACGAATTGGCATGACCAACACCTGGAGAAGTAGTCATTATAATTAGGCGTAGTAGTCGGCATCTGGGGTGGATGTGTATATTGCAAAAACATTCTCTTTTCTCAGAGCAATTCAGTTTAAAATAGGTTAATGTTTCTGCGTGAAGCTTGATGAAGCATTTCGCTAGCTGGTATCTGGTAGATCCAGTGGATTTAACTAGTAGGTAGAGTGGAAACCTGGCTGCTAAGAAATCAGCAGATCCGATAAATCAAGCTAGCTAATGATCACTTCAAATGAGATTCAGTGGGTTCATGTAGAAGATTCATTAGCCTAAACATCAAATCTGGCCTTGTTACATATACTACTCCAGCTGACTCGAGACCGCAGCCTCCATAACTCCTCACGTGGGTGTCCGCGGGAATTCACCGCAATACTGTCACAGGCTGGATGGGTATCTGGATGGCTGGTATGGCCTACGAGGAGAGAACGGTCGAATGGAGTGGTGGTCCTTTCATGGATTTGGTGTTCTGGTGGGTTCGCAAGTGGAAAGGCCAGTCCTGGCCTGAGCGACAACGAGAGTGAGATAACAAGAAGTGTTGTTCTACTAAAATGTGAGCCCCATACTATTCATTCTCCCCCCAACCTGCGGCGGCTTGCGAGGCTTTATTAGTACCACTCCAGCTTCGTCGACAGGGACATCGCCGGAATTTAAGCCTGCATCAAGAGTACCCAACTCGCCGGGGATCCTCACATAGTCTCTCAAAAACACCTTTAACGATGTATTGGGATCCTTCCACGAAGTGGATCGCTCTGGTATCGCGGCCGATCTAGTCTTCTTGGTGCTGGATGTATTTCTGTGTGAGGGGAGTGACGGTGCGGGTGATCTCCTCGGACGAGATGGCTTGGCCTTAGATGGCATGTTCGGTTCTTTTGGCTTAGGGAGTGAGGCAGTTGGGCCTTTCGCAAGAAGAGATGAAGAACTTGAAGACTTTTGATGGGTGTTGTTGGTAGAGACACCATCTGTGTCCATTTCGTGGCTTAGACGAATGGGCCGGTGTAAACTACCGCGTACAGAATGGAATACATCTTCGTCTTCACTCTCTTTGGCCTCATCCTCTTTAAAAGGAGTTGCCTTCCTTTTCTGCGATTTATTGACGGATACACGACAATAGGGCTCGTCCCCAAGCTCAACACTAGCCCTATCGCGCGACGAAGCCTCCAAATTAACCTTGGTTGATTCTGAGTCGCTGCCCTCGCTGTCCCAGTCTTGAATCCCGTATTTGCATGGCGATTCTGGAATGGCCCGCTTTAAGGTAGAAGTACACTGTAGCTCAGGGGTTGCTTCTTTCCCGGGCCCATCTCCTAGCTCACTAGCACAGTCACTCTCACCTTCAGCCTCGGTGACCACTGCTTGAAGATTCTTAACTGTCAGATTTCGCCTCTTGTACAATGGAAATTTGGCGTGTTTTTCGAAGTAATCTTCGTACGTATTTGGTTTCTTGTGTCGCTGGTCGCACCTTTGCAAATAGTTTTGGTATTCCAACACTTCACGAGCAACAAAATCATCCCACAGTATTGACCTTTTCAGTAAACCGTTTCTGAGGAATTGCAGCCTGCAGCATGCCCTCCTGAATACTTCCAGGCTACCGGTGTAAGTTTTGTATGCTTGTTGGAATTTGTAGTATATTTCTTCGGTTTGAGAAGAGAATTTGACCTTGTCGAACGTTCTACTGCCCCAGTGGCTGGGGACAGCCGCACTTACACTTCTATCTACTTCTGCTATCCTCGGAACTTTTCTTGGAGATGATGGGAGTGAAGGCGATCCAGCTTTGCGCTTATGTTGTTGATTGGTATTATCAAGCAGTGGTACAGAGGCAGAGGCCTTGGTTGACGGAAGAACGAGCACATTATGGTCGGCATTCTCCAGCGATGACCTGGGGACCTGCAATATACTTGTAGAGTCATTAACGTTCCCTGAGCCGGCACTCCATTCCCCAGAGATCTGGGAAGTAACAACCATTTGATCATTGTTTGTGAAAGGATTTTGGGTAACTAAGTCATGCTTTGTTGACTCGCAGCTAGGCGCAGGCTGTGCTTTTAGTTGCTGTGATAGCATGGTCCCGGACAATCTAGTAACATCTTCATTATTATCCATCCCTGTATCACAGTTCTGTGTCGAGGTATACAAATCCCGGGGAATGGAAAGTTCTATTTCAGAATCTGGACAACTTTTGTCATCGAATACTTCTTCAACTTTCGTAGCAAAACCTGGTACATTTGTAGGCGGGGAGTGGTTAGGGGCACCAGTAGAATCGGTGGGATTAGCGACTGATGTACGCTTATTGGAGGTGGTTGCAGACGAATTTACGCTTCTCCTTGGTGGGCTGCTGTCAAGAGGCACAAGGGGAACTGGAGACGTTGGGGGCCAATCTTCTGATCTTATTTCATCATCAGGGGCTGGGCTACCAGTGGAGGACGCTCCTTCTCCTAGAGTTGGGCTTCTTCGTAGGCTGGTTCCTATAGAACTCGTTTCTTTTTTATGACTCTCGCTCCACTCTTGCAGGAGTTCAAGAGGAACGAAATTCTGGGGAGTTTTCTTCCCAGGGTCCGGGGGTATCCAAGAGTCGTCACACTCGATCAAATTCAGTTGGGATTCAGGTATTAACACATCGCGTCGTCGTATTTTGTTCCAGCTGCTAAAAAAGCCCCTATTACTAACTTTCTTGGTTATTTCTGAGTCGTCTGGGCGGAATAAATTGTTCGAATATCGAGACCTAGAGGAATGTCTGGGATAAGTCGCCGAAGTGGTCCTTTCTTCAAGGGATGATATAACTTCGTGTTGGTCAGTTTGAGATGGAATTGGGTGCGCCTTCTGTGTGGCTTTGCCAACGCTGTCGGAGTATGAGTGTCTGCGTGGGGAAGAAGTTATAGAAGACGAATCTGTGGCTACAGGTAATGGCGTAGTTTGACCAGCCTGCTTGTCATCATTTTTGGTTGAATGTTCCACTGTAGGTGACCTCCGCGGCCTGTTCTTAGGGATCGTGCTCTTCGGTGGTAAAGCCTGCAGTAGCTCTTGGGCATTTGATACCTGAACAGCCACAGAATCCTTATTTCCCTGAGCTTTGGGTATTTGCGATACAATTACAGGTGGTTGGGTATGCCATCCGTTTTTCTGTGTTGAATTATCATGATGACCTGTAGGTTTTGAGTTTCCTCCGTTATCAGGGGTAGTAGCATCGGCCTGTGATTTTGGGCGCCCGGATTCATCATTCCGTGGGCTCGGCACCGGCGGCCCCAGGATATGGATTTTGCGAAACCATTTATCCTTCAGCTCAATAACAGCCTTACACCGAGCAATGTGTCCCGGATTCCCAAATACCCCCTCTTTTTCACACCCTTCAAGTTTAATTTCACCAATATGAAGAGATATTTCTGGAGGGAACTTGTTTGATTTTGCAATAACGATTTCACACTGCTTAATTCGTAGAAGACACGGTGTCAAGTTATTGTTCCAGTTGAAATTCTGACAAACACGCTCAGAGAATCTGGCAGGAATGAACGTATGGCTATCGGAAAGAATAGCTTGCGGAGTGGGTGCTTCCGGTAGCCACTATTGGGGTAACAACTGATTAGCAACTGATACAGCTCATTAGCTAAAGGGGAAGTAAGTACCTCTAGTAGCTGGGCATATTTAGGGCGCGTAACAGGTATGCGAAAGTTTTTCCCATCGTCAACAGTCGTTTTAAGCTCCCTGGGCCTGAGATTCGGATCATTTTTGTCGGCACTCTGGCTTATAGCAGTTGCTACCAGCGGTTCGATCCAGTTCTTCAGCAGTTCCATCCTGGTTTAGTATATCCAAATTCAGAGAATCCGAATCAGGACTCATTTTGCCTGTGAGCTCGGCAGAAGGTAGAAAATCTTGTCTGTCGTTCGCATTCTCACTTTGGCCGTTTTGTTGTCGCGCTTCGCGGAGGTAAGTAAATAAACGCTGGTGCGGCTAACTAACACAGCCGCCGGATGAGGGTCAAGTGATATTACATAATACTTTTACGAGGTTTTGATTGGTTTCCACTGGCGCCGGCATCCAGGCTGTGACGTTTTATGTCGATATCAAGGAGAAGCATCAGACATCCATTACCTTTTTTCGATTATTCACAAGCGTCAGGTACCAACACAACTACACTTCGGACCACAGAGATTGCCATCCTTGTCCTTTCTTTTGATACAGTGTCTATTACCTTTCGGAAGTACCGGCTATATGCCGCCTTGACCGACAAATACAACAACCAGGCAGCATGATCAACGTCACAACAACTCCCCAAGATATCTGGTAACGACTATAGTCGGTCCATTTATTCGAATGAAAAGTTTGCGGCAACGGAGTTAAAGGATATGGGCGCCCAAGACTTCCTCGAGAAGTCTCCCGACGTTTTTCAACTATGGCATCCAACACGCAAGAACCTTCGAGCCCCTCGGCTTCCTCTATATTCCTCCCACTCGGCAGGCGGTCTCGGCGTGGCTCCCACACCTCTATCACTAGTGAAGCTGAAAAGGAGAACCTAACAGAGGCTCTAGATCAGATACACAGCGCCGCTTCACAGATGGGAACCCTCACCGTGTTTAATGAATACACGAATCCACCGGTTCGATCCGTAGCCATCGATAACAAGGGTCTGGTGGGAGATCTCCAAGGTGGATTAAGCGGTCTTTACAACATTTTCAAAGCATCTGTTGGGGGAGTTAGGGAAATGGTTGGCGGCCCCAGTAAAGCTGCAGACGCTGTATCCCAGGACCCAGGAAACAATGATTCCTCAAAAGCCCCGGTTGTTGGCGCTCGCCTTGCAGACACTTCATCTACTCATATAGCCTCAACACAGGCTTCGGCTACAAACTCCCCCGTCATGGGAACATTCCCACCGCTCTCAGAAGGAGCCGGAAGTAGCCAGCCTAAAACCATCAAGATTCCCTCCAAAGCCGCGAGCGTCTCATCCAAGACATCGATACCCGCCGGAAACCCATTAAAGTCTCCACTACTACCATTATCTAAGGTACACCAACCAGCTACAGCAGACCCCACTGTGACTGAGATAAATGTGAATGCTATCAAAGATGGCCACCATCATCACAGAAGTAATTCCGGGAGCTTATCGTCTAGTCTGCTGATGAACTCTGATACAATAACCTCTGAGCGCAAGGATCGACCATCCCATCTATCTTCTAGTCAAGTATCCCAAGAGTCCACCGTAGCTATGAGATCTCAATCACCCATACTACTGGCAAAGGCAAGCAGTGGTAGCTACAGAGACTTCCAGGAATCCGACTTCAACCAAACAGCCTTTCCTGAACCGACATCTCACGATGGGTCAATATCCCTGAAATTATACTCAAACAGCGCATCCAGGAGCGGCTTATCTGAAATGGATACTTCCATGTATTCTACCCAACAAAAGCCTAACCAAGTTGAAAGTACTCATGATGACAAATATAGGCGCAAAGATACCTATCCTGAGGATTCCAATGTATCACTAGCCATGGATTCTGGCCCAACCTCCATCTCAAATAGCATGTCCAAGTTTGGTGGTTCAACTAACGATGGAAATACCATCGCTACGCTAGACACGTCAGTGTCCATGACAGATCATGGGATCCCTTCGGCACACTCATCAAAGGCATCAATTAACGTATCCAAAGAGAAGCTACCGCCCCGTGTTACCCAGCCGCATGTTCCTAGATTTGTATTTCCTAGCATTTCATCCTCAGAATCTTCCCAAACAGTCTCCACCACTGGAAACACTTCAAAACATGTTCAAAAGGAAGCTGAGAAAGCCAGCCAAACGAACAACTATCCTTTTTATCCACGATGGGGCCAAAGCGAGGCGCAGACCGGCGCCAAGAATAAACTGCTTAGCAAGGAGTTTTGGATGAGAGACGAAAACGCAAAAGATTGCTTTTACTGTGGCGAGCCTTTCTCAACTTTTAGAAGAAAGCACCATTGCAGGGTTTGCGGACAAATCTTCGATGCTAAATGCACTACCCTTATCTCTGGAGTTTCTTTTGGATATTCTGGTTCCATTAGAGTCTGCAAACCATGCGACGCTGTTATCAATGCCCCAAGGGACGATTCTTCCGATTATTCTGGCGATGAAGTGCGCAACCCGGTCGTTATCAATACCAGGGGGTTGGAGTCTCCGGGGGATCACCTGAGTCTCAGCAATATAGGAGAAGACGACGCTAGCTCTACCGTATCACAGTCTCTAGATCATGTACTAAAAACCCCGACCATGGCAATACCCGCCACACGACGTACTGGTGATGGAAATCATAGACGATCAGCTATCCTGGAAATAGACTCGGATCGTCAACTTGCTCGGCCAACCTCATCAAGATCTTTGAAGTCAGGAATAAGTAGGTCGCATTCGGTTCCACATAAAAGACACCATTCAAGGACACAGTACATACGCAACTTCAAACCCTACCATGACGAAAGAGCCCCATTCCAAAGGCGCTTTGGAGATGATACTCTTGGTGATAAATTGCCTGCATTCCATAGAGATAATATCATCGATCCTGACTTAGCCCAATATCTTTCCGATGATGCTTCAAGTGAAGAGGACCAGCCAAGCTTGTTCTCAGTTGTTGGTGAAGGCTCACTGTCGCGAAGTGGCGGAGATTCTGAGAAGGCTACATTTGGAGGCCTGCTTGCTGCTGTTAAAAAAGGTCGCTCTCGTTTTGGCGATAAGAGTGGGTTATATCCTTCGCGTGACATAGACGATGGGAGTGTTAGTAGTTCTCGTGCTATTAATTTGCCACGTTCAGCTAGGAGGCGAAATTTGAGCGTTGCAAGCAGCGTTCATCAGCGGATATCTCCCCGAAATTCGAAGGAAAACCCATCGCTCCATCATATACATGATATAAGTGCCCCAGCATTCACCACTCCAACAAACCCTGCAACTACTGGGTTCAAAATGACCAGGAGCGCCTCCATGAGAGGTGCTGGGGCGCCAGCCATTGAGCTAAATAAAGCCAGTCTAGACCATGTGCGCAAATTGCTGCACCAGCAGCTACGTGATTCATCAGTACCGAACTGTCAAAGCTGGGAAACCGCACTCCTGCCTATTCTACTGAAGGCAACAGATGACGTCGAACCTGATGTCCAGCATGGTGATGATATGGATATTCGCCATTATGTCAAGCTTAAAAAGATCCCGGGCGGCCGACCGAGTGATACAGCTTATGTTTCTGGTCTGGTTTTTACAAAAAATCTAGCTCTAAAGAGTATGCCGAGAAATATCTCACACCCCAGGATCCTCATCGTTACCTTTGCCTTGGAATACGCGCGCCAACAGCAGCACTTCATGAGCTTGGAGCCAGTTATTCGTCAAGAACGGGAGTTTCTAGAGAACCTTGTCAACCGAATAGCAGCTCTTAGCCCTAACTTACTGTTGGTCACAAAACATGTGTCTGGCTTAGCCCTGCAATTGCTAGAAAAAGCGAACATTGCCACAGTTTGCAACGTTAAAGAGTCTGTCGTGGAAGCTGTCTCGCGTTGCACACAGACTAGGATTATCACTTCTATGGATCGTCTGGCTGCGTCTCTATCTTACACCGGCCACTGCGGGAGTTTTGACTTGAAGACTTACGTTTATGGCAAACGCAAAAAGACATACATGTACATTTCCGGCTGTCCAAAGGAACTGGGATGCACAATTGTACTTCGTGGTGCTAACAATGATGTTCTTGTCGAGATTAAGCGGATCACAGAATTCATGGTGTACGTGGTGTACAATTTGAAACTTGAGACTTGCTTAATGAGGGATGAGTTTGCAAAAATTCCGTCCTCTCCCTCTAAGCTTGCTCAATCAGGGCAAAAAAGCCCAAATCCCCCAGGCACACAATCAGGCGATGACTCAACTTCTTACACTGTCAAAAATGAAACAGCTGATACCCCCGTCCCAGCAGATGGAGATTCTGGTAATGAAGTGTCTGCGCCTGAGAAAAGCCTACCTGCCATACTAACACAGGGCCAACCGGATGAAAGCGATGTTCCTCCTCCGGCTTTCTATGAAGACATGGTAGAGAAACATCAAGTTAAGCTGTTGTCAGCCTCTCCATTTGTGAAATTCCATCAACCATACCTTCTTATGCGCGCGCGAGCCTTAGAACGCCAACTTGCCTATCTTAAACGCCTTCGTGACCAAGACTTCTCCCAAGAGTCCTCTCCGGAAGAGAAAACGAAATCCGAGAAATTCTTCCTGATCACTCCGGAGATGATACACGAATCATTATCTGGTGCATCCAGTAAAGTGAAAGAAGTAATCCATGCAGTTCATGATGCTGAATATGACAGAGCGTTGCATCACTACGAAACTCAAAAACGGCAATGGGAAGCATATATATCGGGGAACAGGAATCTCTTTGACCCGCATGCTCATCAAAATATAGTTGTGTTGTATAGTTTGGTCTGTACAAAAACGTCTATCCCATGCGCTGGCCCCGATACCTTTGCGCTAGCATTTTACAATCAACACGAAATTGATAATAAACTGTTTGAGGAGGATTGCACCCTTGGGCAATACGTTGAAGATTTATGCCATAGTGCAAATGCTGTTTGTGCAGCAAACGGTTGTGAGGAACGAATGTTCGAACACCATCGTCAATACGTTCACGGCGAAGCTCAAGTCAGCGTATTCGTTCAACCGTACCCGTCAAAACTACGGGGGCTTCAAGACACAATTCTAATGTGGAGTTGCTGCAAGAAGTGTGGCAATGAGACACCCGCGATGCCCATGTCGGATAGTACCTGGCGGTATTCATTTGGAAAATATCTAGAGCTTTCGTTCTCCAGCGCTGACTTGCATGCTCGAGCTGGGGTTTGCCCCCATGATCTGCATCGAGATCATCTACGGTACTTTGGGCTTAAAGATATGGCTCTTCGAATACACTACGACCCCATCAACCTGCTGGAAATCATTGTTCCTCGCCCAAGAGTCACTTGGAAAGTGGATAAAGACCTGAGGGTCCGTAATGAAGTCTACCTTGCAGCGGAGAGAAGGATAAATAAGTTTATGGCATCAGTGAAAGCACGACTTAAATCCATAAATGTTGAAAGTGTCATGCCCGAAATAGCACAAGCTTGCCAGCAGGAAGTTGAAGCACTTAATAAGCGCGCTAATGATGATCATCTTGCACTTATTAAGGAGCATCAAGCCCGGTACATGAACACCCGGTACTGGGAGGTTATTCCTTTGAATACCGTTATCATCTCAACACAAGAAAAGGTCGTTGAGTGGGACGCAATATTTGCCGAATTCGAGAGAAACTATTTTCCATCTGAGAAGGACATCAGGCGATTGGCGACTTTACAGCTCAAGAAAATTTTCCTAGATAGAGATGTGTCTGTCACTTCCCTCACGTCAAGTGAAGAATCCGGAGCGATACCAGTTGAAACAGAGGAGGGGGTTACAACTCCTTCAGGCTCGCCTCGTTTGACAAGAAGGATGACACTGTCACCACAAGAGGCAAAGCATATGTTAGCCTCGGTGGTGGAAGAACACACGACAAAGCCGATAAAGCAGATTGAAGGTGAAGAGCCGAATCCACAAACTCCCACACCAGGTGCGGACCCCCAAGAAGCAGGTGACATATCGCCAATGAAACCTATAATCGCCTCTGAAAACGAATTCCGGCATTTGGATCTGGCTATCCCATCAAATCTGGTTGAAAAGCTATCTCCTCCAAAGGCTAATACGCCTGACAACGTTGATAACAACCACCCTGATAATTCAACAGCCAATGATACACCAAATACCCCGGTGGACGAAGTTGAGATACCAAGTGAGCCTCGCTTGAGCGTTGATAGTAATTCAAACAGCCACGATGTCACAGAAGCCGTCAAGCGTCCTTCAGGTTTACCTCGCCCCCGTGATAGGGGTCCCTATAACTTCAAAGGAAAGTCCCCGCCCTTAATGAGAACGCTATCACAGCCAGCACATTCACGGCAGCCACTTTCTAGCCCAGTATTGCCCCAAGATAGACCCTTGAAACCCAGTGGAGAAAAGCCGGCGGAAATCGGTAAAGGAACCTTCACATCTAAAAGGCAGCGCTTCTCAGAGCGGCTTAGACTCGCAGGATTGAAATCACCAAAATTACCTGGCGGCCCTTCTTTAATACCCCGTTCAGTTGCAAAGAAAAGCTCTCATGTTTCTTATCTTACTAGACATTTCGAGGAATTAAGTCGAGAATTCCAAAAGGAACGAATAATGCAAAATCACCGACGTGCTGCTCAAGGGAAACAATCGCGAGCTTACCCAATGGCATCTTCCAAACCAATTGTTGAAGTATACAAAAGTGTCAGGGATGCTGTGGAGGAACGTGAGCCTGGGTATGAAGAGTTTCCTATGAGCGCGCCCACAGCGATAGTACAGAAGGAAGAACCCGTAGCCCCAACCACGGAAATTGTTGAAGTTGCCGAACCACCAGTTGCTCGGCCGGAGACTCCTGATAAAATCATTGAGGAGCGGCGGACTTCCGATGAAAGTTTGCGTGATGGTGATCAAACAGAGCAAAACCTTTCAGGAGGAGATGGCGAAGATGAACACAGTGATGGTGAAAAGAACTATTTGGACGATAGCCGGAATATAGAACCAAGCGATGAGGCTACTTCACTATCACCGGATGAAATCGCCCTAGACCTCAAAGAGCTTCCGAAACATGAGCGAACCTCCTTGGTAAAAATGCTTACTAACTTCTGGGCTGAACGTTCCGCAAGTGGCTGGGCTCCCTTGGATTATCCGCTTAGCGACTCTGACCATGTCTTTGCGGATTGCGATATTATTGTCAGGGAAGATGAGCCGAGCTCGTTGATTGCCTTTGCTTTGAACTCCGAAGATTACCAGCAAAAGCTGAAAAGTATCCAGGAACAGAATGAAGCAAGCGATTCAGTAAATGTTGATGCGGGGCCCGAGGTTGAACAGTCGTTGCTTCGAAGTACCGGCACACACCTCAAATATCAATTCCAAGAGGGCCAAGCAAAGATGCTTTGCAAAGTATTTTATGCTGAGCAATTCGACGCTCTTCGCAGAAAATGTGGTGTTGCTGACCGTATTGTCGAGTCACTTTCTCGGTGCATGAAATGGGATTCCAAAGGAGGGAAGACGAAATCAGTCTTCCTTAAGACACTAGACGATCGATTTATACTGAAGTCGCTTTCAACCATAGAGACTCAAGCCTTCTTGAAATTTGCACCTGATTACTTCCAGATCATGTCTGAGGCGCTCTTCCATGAACTTCCTTCTGTGATTGCAAAAATGTTTGGTTTTTACCAAGTCATTATCAAGAATCCGGTAACGGGAGTGGAATTCAACTGGTTTCTACTGATTATGGAAAACTTGTTCTACGACCGTACTCCAACTAGGATATTTGACCTCAAGGGTTCCATGCGTAACCGGAAGGTTCAAAGCACCGGAGAAAGAAATGAAGTCCTGCTTGATGAAAATATGGTTGAGTTCATCTACGAAAGCCCACTTTTCACTCGAGAACACTCGAAAAAACTACTTAGCCAAAGCGTCTGGAATGATACGCTATTCCTCGCACGCCAGAATGTCATGGACTACTCTCTCATGATCGCTATAGATGAGAGCAAGCAAGAAATTGTGGTTGGCATTATTGACTGCATCCGAACTTACACTTGGGACAAGAAATTGGAGTCTTGGATTAAAGACCGAGGGTTTGCAGGAGGTGGTAAGAACCGACCGACAGTGACTAGCCCTAAGGAGTACAAAAGTCGCTTCCGGGAAGCAATGGCTCGATATGTTCTCTACGCCCCTGAGTAAGTTTAGGCCTTGGCTGCTCTATCATTTCTATAGCTGTGCTAACTATCTCTTAGCTCGTGGCACCAGTTCCATGCTGTCAATCCAAACAAGCAGCCTCCCAAAATCCAAAACGAAACCAAGGATACAATTACCCCACAGAGCAGACTACCAGATGCAGCTGTCCCTCCACCATAATGGCGCTAATACAGTTGTATACCCTTTTGATTACGAATAATGACTTGCGACACTCGTTTACAGATTCTCACTTTTTGGCTTTTTTCTGTATAACAGCACAGAAGCGTTCTGGCACTTCAGATATTCAGACTTTGATATAACACATTTATGGACAATTAAACGACCTTATATCTAGTCTTTCCTGCTAGGTTCGGGAGAACTCTTGGCCATTAATCACCAACAGCCCGTTTGGACATTACTTAACCAATAAGCGGTTAGAAGTGAACATAAGTTAGGTTTCATCAACACCCTCCGCCGCCGCCGCCTCCGCCATCACCACCGCCCATTCCCGCTCCTCCGCCACCGTCACAGCCGCCCCAACCCCCACCACCGCTATCTCCATGATGCCCATGATGGCCACCCCAGTAGGAGCCACTGCTGTTGTTTCCATAGCCTCCGCCGTCAATGAAGTCACCGTGATTCTTGTACTTTTTCTTAGGATAACCATGAGTTGGTTTTTGATTGTATAACTTAGATTTTCGGGGCGGCGGCGCATAATCACGATCACTGGATGAAAAACACATATTGATCTCGAAACGGCTACCGTTCAAGGCGTATGTCGATAATTAGAGTATTATCAGTGGGTTCAGAGAGCGAAGAGTCGTGCCCTGTTGGAAAATGGCGGGTTTGAATTGGAGTTTGAAGGTATAGAGATTGGTTTGATATTATTAACGGCCTCAGTTTGTCATTTTATGATTTTCTTTTATTGTCGGGAAGTAGAAATTATTTATTAACAAGGACTTTTGGTGCATTATATATATAATTTCTCTACCAAAGTAAATATAGTAGCAAACTTTATTGTTACAACCTAAATAGGTGCCATCAGGCGCTCAAGACTCAGCCGCAGAGTGATTCTCGAAGGATTCCTTCACTGCCTCCTTTGCCTAAATACGAGGTCGCATGGGCGAGGATCGCCCGTCTCCGTTTAAGCCTTTCGTACCGAATCAGCTAGTTCCATTTACGTTTCGTCATTCAAGGCTTGAAGTACATCTGTGGCTGCCTCGCTACAGGAGACCACTGCTGGCAATATTTTCAGCTACCCTAGCCTTTATGTTTCTCGAGGCGGAGTAAGTTGCTTGTCAGCTAGGCCGCATGAGTGTTGAAAAATGTGATTTTACTTGTCCCTTGATGCTAATATTAAACTCCTAGCAAATAATATAGTATAATGTTGGAGAAAAACGCTTGCTTGAAGGCCTTAATGGTGAAACATAAACACAAGATTGAATGTAGATAGTCATGTAGTATGTTAGAAAATTCATCTGTCGTGTCGTCAAAAAGCTACCTATAACTTCGAGTTGTCATAAGTTATATCCTATTCTCCAATTTCTTGAAGAGTTTATTAACCCCTTTTTCCATTCGCATTGCACTGTTGCCAAGTTTGCTATACTTGGCAGGTTCATTCCTGTTGGTGGTGGGAGGCTGATCGGACCCCGATGGATTATAGACCTGCTGATGTATGGAATAGTCGCTTGGCCTGGGTTGCTGCTGCTGCTGCTGCTGCAGTTGCTGTTGCTGCTGGGGATAGTTATAGCTATATCCACCAGCAGAGTGCTGGGAAGCCTGTGATTCTCGTCGGGTAAGATGACTATGGTTTTGAGCCGGATGCTGAGTATATTGGTTAACTGGTGGAGGCCCAAAAGTCTGCTGGCCATACAAGTGTGCATTAGGGTCCTGAGGAGGCGGCGCAAAGGTTGAACCATAGCTTCCACGATGGCTAGCCGCAGTAGTTGGAGGAGCTGTCGGAGGGACAGTGGCAGTTGTTGGTAGAGGTCCAAAAGACATACCACCGGGTGGGGGGTGACCTGGGGTGTATGATTGCTGATTAATACTCGAAGATGCAGGCGAGTATGTCCCCTGGACTCCTGGAACTGTGTAAGGCTGCGGGTTAGAACCGCTAACATTCCCCACACCATGAGGCTGAACAGGTTGGGGGCTCTCAATTTCTCCAGTAGGAGGTGGTGCGAAAGTCATTCCCATGCCCGGGGTGGAAAGTCCTGTGCCTTCGGCAGCATCGGGGGGTGGAGGAGTCGCCTCACGAGGTTTTATGGGCTCTGGAGCTGGTGGGGCAGCAGGATTATACGCAAGGGGAGCGTACGATGCCGGGGCTTCTTTCTTTTCTTGGGCAGTTGATGTATGAGATGCCGCATCATCTATCGGACTAACAGGTTGGGTCACAACTTGGACACTAGCGGGGATAACGGGAGGCGTGGGCTGCATGGTTGGATGTGGAGGCGGAGGTGGTGGCGGCGGGATGTTCTTTATGCTATGAACATCAGGCCTTATTTGCTGCTGCTGCTGCTGCTGTTGATGTTGGTGTTGCTGCTGCTGATAACCAGGATCTGATATCGCAACCTTCTCCAGGTTTTGTACCACAGCACTCATTGGAGCTTGCTGGGAAGATGGCTGGATTTGCTGTATATTTTCCAGCTGATTGGGGGCTAGCAACCTTTTAACGGTAGCTAAGAATTGTTTTGCATCGTCCAGAGTCCAGAAATATAGATCAAGCGTATGCAGACGAAAGTATGATATACTTCTATCCACTGGATTCATCCATCCTAAGCGCCATTCATGCTCAGTGCTCCCATGAGTTGGAGGAGACACCCCCATACTGTTTCGACATCCATCTACCGTAAGTGTAAAGAGTGTTGGAAAGGTATCAGAAGTTCGTAGGTGGATAGATGACAACGCTGCAAACCGTTAGAGCTTAACAACACTGCTAAACCCAATCTATATATATGAAATAAACGACCTACAGCCATTGAAGGCATCCTGTTCACGGGTCCCAGGATTGTTCGCAATCTCAATTCTGGACCCACCCTGAGTAGGGTTATGGTAGATATAGAGATAGGACCCCTTATCGAATCTGTGGTGTGTAGGCTGCGGGGAGGGGGCCGTAAAGTAATAATGAACATCCGAGAACCTGGAATTTCTATCAGCAACAATATACAGACTTTCAAATTTATCTAATTCAATTACTTACACGGTCAGAAGCCGTTCTTCGCCTGGGAGGGGGGGCATCTTTAGCACCGTCCTTTAGACAATTATGTCTACGGAGCAGTTGAACAGCTGGCGGGTGCCGAGAATAAAGCCTTCCACTGCACAACTGCCAGGCTGTACAGCAAGCCTCCAGTGGGGGTAAAAGCCAGAGAAGAGACGCAAAACAAGAGTCTATCTTTTCGTTGCTGGCTGCTTCTCCTCCTTTTTGTTGCCTTCTTATCGTCCCAACTTCTGCGTCGGTTGTACGGAGTATGCGCAGCCCAAATCTCCAACCAATCAGAAGGTGCGACCTAAGCTCCCGGCGCTTAACAGAGTTATTAGTCATGGATTACTAAATAATGATTAGTAATTATCCGCATTAATTATTATCCGCAGATCTCAAATTTGCCCAAACTGGAAGGGCTCTCTCGCATCTCAAGATTGAAGAACGCGGGAAGAAGAGGAAGAAGAACCAGGAGGGACAGCGACGGCAGCGGGAACAGTGCAACGGTTGATACCCTTGCCAATTGTATATCTACAGTTAGTATTTTGACGAGACACCCACTCATAAGGGTAAAAGACACTAACCTGGTCTCTCTAAAAAGTTTTAGGACAGTTGTTGGAGCTGTTTGTTCCATTTCCATCATCCTATATATTGTCTCAACGATACCGGGAGAGGAGTCTGGTTGTTGAAACAAGGGGTTCCCTCTTGTTTTAATATTGGCACACATTTCGGGGCAGGCCACGATGTCGCTCGTCAATCTCGCACACGTCTGTTCACATCTTTCAAATGCCAGCAAGGCTCGACTGGCTCTAACGTCCATCCCGAATTCGAATCTCCATCTTGCGCTCTCCAATGCCCTTGTCGAGGCCGGGTTCTTGTCATCTGTCGTTCGAGGAGGACCAACACCACCACCGCAGCACATGTTGCTGAATATACCTGCAGTCAATGACGAATTAGAACCAATCGAACCAGTGACCCAAGCCAATATTGCATCAAGAAGACTATGGCTGGGCCTCAAGTACTGGCAGAGCCAGCCAGTGCTCTCCAAACTATCAATGGTCAGCAAGCCTACTCGCCGGATATACGTGGATACAGAAGCATTGCGGGACATTGTCAGAGGGTCAAAGAGCCGCACAATCGCTGGGTTGAGGAACCCTGGTGAATGTTTGTTCCTGAGCACGGATTGTGGGATTCTAGAGTCACGGCAGTGCGTGGAGAAGAAAATCGGAGGACTCGTTCTCTGTCGTGCTGTTTAGGTGGGTTGTATCATACGCCATGGTTTCTTTCTGGCATGGGAACGGAGTTGATGGATTGTGTATATAGATCACTTGATCCGCCCTTTCAGTTGAATGTACTATTATGTCTCTCTCTCTCTCTCTTTTCTCTCGTACTACGCCATGTCTTAATTGTCTTCAAGGAAAGCTACAATGCACTAAGTATGTAACATTGAACTTGACCGCAACTTCTCTGTTCCCAGGTCCCCAACCCCGTCAATAGTTCCTCCATCCAGCCCCAGTTGGTAAGAACACCAAGAGTCATGAGACTCTCTGGCCTGACTTTCTCTTCTTACCTGCCGAAGTGCCCATTCTTTTACTCCGTATCCCCGTTTTTACGTATCTAGCAGCTTCTGCCAATGGCATTTTTATCAAGCTTATTCTGGCCGCTGATTGGCTGATTTTTTCTCCTCCACCCTGAAAGCCAAAAATATGCTCGCGAACCGGCGAGGAAAAAAGGGAAAGCTCGCTCACCCCAAGCTCGGCGCAAGTCATGGTGAATGCATTATCTCGATTGCAACAGAGATAAGCACAGGAGCTGCTTCGAGAATGTTCTCCCATCGCGTCCGTTGAGCCAGACTGAGTGTGACGATTTAATTATCGGCCTCGTATCCCAGCAGAGCGGCCGAGGCTTCCCCACCGCAAAGCGAGCTCCGGCTCTCGCTATATAAAACCCCGGGCGAGGACTTCGACGGAGCCTGCGCTCG